TTCCATCCATTGCTTCTTCTCCTGCCTTCAGGGGCTTTGGAAAATAGCTTGACACCCTCTTCTTTGGGGCAGCCCCTGAGATACTGGAAGGCTGCTATCATGTCCCCCCTCGTCCTTCTCTTCATTAAACTAGATATCCCCAATTCCTGCAACCTTCATTGTACATTTTATCCTCCAGACCTCTAAATCACATATGTTGCTCTTCTGTGGACTCTTTCCAGAGTTGGAATGTCTTTTTTTTTTTTTTTTGTATCTTTTGGGGGCACCCTGGATATTTGACAGATTGAGCGTGCCGTGTATTCCAGGGCAGCCCCCTGTAAAGCACTAGTCCAGCTACACGGTAAGCAAAGCACGAGGTCTTCACAAACCCTCCTGATCCAGGAAAGGCTGCAGTTGGCACCCCAGACAAGGGAGTGGGGGCTCCAGGAAGACCCCCAACTGTGAGCCAGGCCCATCCAGAAGGGACCCCCCTCCCCTCTTTGAACCCAGAGCCAGTTAACACACTACTATGGGTTCCACCTTGAAGATGGAGGGCAAAGTCCCCCCCCCCAGGCTTAAGACCCTGCCAAATAGCTGGTGGAATTGAGACCTGCAGGGAGGGCCCCTTCCCCAATCTGCCCCCCCCCAGCACATCTGTATGGAGTCACACACACCCCATGCACAGCTTGCACTCTGCATCCAGCTGTGGAGCTCTGGTTTGGTACTGCCTTTTGGCCGGCCCACCTCGCAGGGTGGCTGTGCGACTAAGAGGAAGGGAGAGAAGGCAGGAGCAGGGCCGGGTGAGGACGAACCCCCCCCCTGAAGATGGAGACCCTGCCAGGGGCCCCCTGCTAATATCTGAGGCTTCTTTGTGGTTCCCCCCAGCTTTGCCTCCACCCCCCCTCCTTCCCAGACAGCTCATTTGCATAAATCTGGAGGGGGGCTTTTTGCTCTGCAAACACACCAGCCAGGCTTCCCCCCCCAGGTTTCCCAGGGGAAGGGGCCTCCCCCCTCCCCCCCCAGTGGCAGCCCGGCTAGAAGAGTTGACCCCCAGGTTGAAGGTCAGGGCCTCTGCCCCCTCCCCCTTTCAGATGCAAATGGGGGGCAGGGCTCTTTGTGCCAAGAGGTCAAGCTTGGGGGGAGAGGGGGAGGGGGCTGCCTCTCTTTCAGAGCCAGGCCAGGGAGGAGGGGGTCCCCCAGGGGGGGAACCAGGGAAAAAAAGAGCCCCCTCTTGGCGTGGTGCTTTCCCCCCCCAAGACCCCCCACCCAAATAGCTAGCTAGCGATTGGTTTTTGGTGTGGGTTTGTGTGTCTGTGTGTGCACACCCACACAGGCACACAAAATAATTCCTCTGGGCTGAAACTAGTTAAGAAGATTTGACTTATATCTCCCATTATTAATTGATTGATTGACTGACTGACTGAAGGTCAGTTAGCCAGGTTCAATAGCACACACACACACACACACACACACACCCCCAGAAGGCCCTGGCTGGATTCCCACAGGACTCTGTGCCTCATCCTTCCTGCTTTAGGGTCTTCTTTTGTTATTCCGTTTCCAACCCAGACTGCCTCAGCAAAAAGGAGGGGTAGACTGCCTCCAGAAAGGGAGGCTCCATCAGCCATCCGTCTCCTGGCTTACAGGTAGTCCCCGTCTTATGACCACAGTTGAGCCCAAAGTTTCTGTTGCTAAGTGAGACATTTTGTTAGGTGAGTTTTGCCCCATTTTGCAATCTTTTTTTTGCCACGCTTGTTAAACGAATCATTCTAGTGATTAGTTAGTGGCACGGTTGTTAAGTGGACCCAGCTTCCCCATTGACTTTGCATGTCAGATGAAGGGGATCACCTGACCCCGGAACATTTAATCGTCGTAAATATGAGTCAGTAGTCAAGTGTCCGAATTTTGATCACGTGACCCTGGGGAGGCTGCAGAAAAATCAGCTTTTTCAGGGCCATTGTAACTTTGAACAGTCACTAAACAATGGTTGTAAGTTGAGGATGGCTTCTATTTATTATTACTGGTAGTTATAGGTCACTTTAACAGAATAACAGAGCAGGAAGGCCCCTTAGAGGTCTTCTAGTCCAGGCGTAGGCCGCCTTGGCTCTTTTATGACTGGTGGACTTCAACTCCCAGAATTCCTGAGCCAGCCATGCTGAGGGGAAAGGGAGAGGTTTCCAACCTGAGCCATGCTGACTCAGGAATTCTGGGAGTTGAAGTCCACGAGTCATGAGGGGGCCGTAGTTCCCCCATGCTGGCTCAGGAATTCTGGGAGTTGAAGTCCACGAGTCATGAAAGGGACCATAGTTCCCCCATGCTGGCTCAGGAATTCTGGGAGTTGAAGTCCACGAGTCATGAAAGGGACCATAGTTCCCCCATGCTGGCTCAGGAATTCTAGGAGTTGAAGTCCACGAGTCATGAAGGGACCATAGTTCCCCCATGCTGGCTCAGGAATTCTAGGAGTTGAAGTCCACGAGTCATGAAGGGACCATAGTTCCCCCATGCTGGCTCAGGAATTCTGGGAGTTGAAGTCCACGAGTCATAAAAGAGCCAAGGTTGCCTACCCCTGCCCTATGCCATTTTAGACAAATGGTTGACCAGCCCCTTCTTAAAAGCCTTCATCACTGTTCACTGCCATTGTAACCTCGAACAGTGGCTCAATCTGCAGTTGTGAGTCGAGGACTTATAGTAGCACCACACTGGGCCTGGGTGATGAGTGTGGGGGTGAGCACTGACTAAAAGGCTTAGCACCGTTTCATCACACAAGCTGATTTCGCTGCCCTCCTGTTTGCAGCTACCCAGGAGAGAGTCATCCTTAAAGGCAGGGAAACTGAGGCAGGAGCACAGCAGACGTGGCTTCCAGCAGCCCCGTTCCCATGAGGGGGGGGGTCATTATGCAAAGCAAGCACATAAAAACGTCCTGGAAAACCTGAATGAGTTGTTTGCTCATCGATCTGCCTGGCTGATGATGGGCAACCCCTCCAGAGGATTGCAGAGACTGGCGTCCATTAGTCCAGAAGGGGGTGGGGGGGCTGGCAGTGGGGCAGGAGGGTGTTAAGGAGAAACTTCCTATCAGGGAGGACAGTTAACCCGTGGAGCAGAAGTCGTTGTGGGGGCTCCCATCACTGGAGGTTTATAAGAAGAGACTGGACGGTCACTGGTCTGAAATGGGTATAGGCTAGGGCAGGGGTCTTCCAACTTGGCCCTTTAATGACTTGTGGACTTCAGCTCCCAGAATTCCTCAGCCAGGCACGCCTGCCTGGCTGAGGAATTCTGGGAGTTGAAGTCCACAAGTCATCAAAGGGCCGAGTTTGAAGACCCCTGGAATAGGGTCTCCTTCTTCAGCAGTGGGTTGGACTAGATGACCTCCACGGACACTTCCAGCTCTATTCTGATTGATTAATTTGAATCCAAGGATCAGTTCCCAAGTGGCAGTCAGGTATTCACGCCCAGGCTTCCTCTACCTGGTGTCCAGTCTCTCCTGCAGCCCAAGCTAACATGGCCACGGAGGGCAGCGTCCAGAGGGAGGGGCCTGGCCCAGCACAGCCTCAGGGGGTCAACAGGAACTGGCAGATGCCCACCTCACTTCGGAGATCATTTGTAGCAGAGAAAGGGGCAGAATTCTCTCTAGAAACTGGAGCAAGCAGCTAAAGTGGTCTCCGTGGGGAGGGATGGGGGGCTTGAAAAGAGAGCCAGAGGGCTTTAAGAAAAGCCCCTGCACCATTTCATGCTAGGGTGAGCCCTCTGACCCCCCCCATCTCCTTCTTCCTCCCAGGAGGGGTCCAGCCCCCCTGCCCCTTACATTCAGCCTGTTTCTTGCATTGGGGGTCTTTGAAGAATTAGACAGAAGAGGGAGTGGATTAAGGCTTGTGAACACAGCCATCCCCCAGCCCTTCTGTCTAAATTTCCTCCCAGGCACATTTTAAAGAACGGTAAGGTTAAAGGGGCCTCTGAGGTCATCCAGTCTAGCCTGCCCTCTCCAAATTTAGCTGGGAGTCCCTGAGGGGTGGGGTTCTGCCTCTTTTGGGTGAAGGGTCTCCTCCGAGAAAACGTGTCCCATGTTCTCCTGGGTGGGGCAGTTTTGTCAGCCGATTTTCAGTCTGGCCGTGTTTCCTATAATAAACCGCTAAATCAATTTATCAAGTTTTATGCTTACTATTTCTTTGACTGGCCTGGAAGATAAAATACATAATTAGATCAGGGGGGAAAGGGGGGGGGGAAGGCTGTATTTTAACCAGTGACGGGATTGTTTTAAATGTTACCATGAAAATTTAAAAATTTCCTATCCGTCTCCTGGAGCAGCCCAGCTAAATTTCTCCTCTGTCCAATTGTTTGTCTTTTCCATGATTTAATTTCTAATCTGCTCTTCGCCTGCTCTTTAATACTTCTGAATTATTCAGAATTTTATCTGTATTGACGTCCTACTGCTAACTTTCCCAGTCTCCGCCAAGCCTATTGCTCTCCTTTTTACTAATACTGTGGCTCTCATCTTGGTCCTATCTAAGTCTGGGGCTCTTATTTGGAGACACCCAGACACACCCAGACACACACACACACACACCCAAGACAAATCTCTTCTGATGCTCTCCAGAAGGTTAGATCACAGATCCCATCTTCTCCAGCTGGTGGATGATGGTACAAATGGCAATTCAGAACATCTGAAGGCCTCAGAAAGGCTGACCGGGATTCTCCACTTTATTTTCCACTTGCCTTGGAAAAGTCTCTGCTAGCTGCAGTTAGATCGACAAAGCAAGTTATTGCCCCGTTTATTTATTAATATTATGAATATTTGATACTGCCTACCAACAGATCCACCAAGCTGATATACAGCAGTTGCACTGACAAAAACATAACCATCAATAAAAGCCTCCTGGAAGATTTAGAAGAAGAATAAACTCAAGTCAAAACCGTTTTCAAAGGCCAAGTTGTTATTTATTTATTTGTGTTTAAAATGGCCTTTATTTCTAAAAACAAATTGAAGCGTTTTGTTCTTTGATGGCGGGTGGTTACGTGACATCCTGAATCCTTCTGTGTGATGTTGGTTTCTCCTTCCTGCCAACGTCTGCTCTGACAATGGTGGCTGGGGAGAAGGTGTGGCCCTTGGCCCTCCCAGGGCCCCACAGGAGTCTTACCTGTGGATCTGGTCTCAGGTGGGGGGGTATTTTTCTCAGGGACTTTCAGAAAGGCTCTTGGGAGGAGGATGGTCAGCAGTTGACACGGTCAGCTGTGGAGAATGGGTCTCCCATAGCCTCCTTCCTGATGCAGTGGAAAAATGTGGTGTGGATGGTCCCACCACCAGATGGACTCACAGTAGCCAATACGTGGCCCTTAGTGGGTTCTGTCCACCTGGCATGTAGTGAGGTGAAGCACCTGCAGGACAGGAGGCAACGGATGGAAACTCATCAAGGAGAGAAGCAACCTGGAATTAAGGAGAAATAATAATAATAATAACAATAATAATAATAATAAAAATAAAAGTTGGAAGGGACCTTGGAGGTCATCAAGTCCAATCCCCTGCTCAGGCAGGAACCCTACACCATTTTGGACAGATGGCTGTCCAGTCTCTTCTTAAAAACTTCCAGTGTTGGAGCATTCACTGCTTCTGGAGGCAAGTTGTTCCACTGCTAATTGTTCTAACTGTCAGGAAGTTTCTCCTTAGTTCCAGGTTGCTTCTCTCCTTGATTAGTTTCCATCCATTGCTACTTTGCCCTCAGGGGCTTTGGAGAATAGCTTGACTCCCTCTTCTTTGGGGCAGCCCCTGAGATACTGGAAGACTGCTATCATGTCCCCCCTCGTCCTTCTCTTCCTTAAACTAGACCAGAGGTAGGCCACCTTGGCTCTTTTATGACTCGTGGACTTCAACTCCCAGAATTCCTGAGCCAGCATGGCTGGTTCATGAATTCTGGGAGTTGAAGTCCACGAGTCATAAAAGAGCCAAGGTTCCTACCCCTGAACTAGACCTACCCAATTCCAGCAGCCGTTCCTTATATGTTTTAGCCTCCAGTCCCCTAATCATCTTTGTTGCTCTTCTCTGTTCTCTTTCTAGAGTCTCAGCACCTTTTTTACATGGTGGTGACCAAATGGCCCAGACATTTCCCTAATCTGCAGATGTCGTGGAAAAACCCACTGAAAAAAAAAACGAAACAAGAGACAGGAACACAAAACAATACTTCTTACTTTAAGATTCAGAGGTTTATTTCAGCAATGTGGCTAGCACAATCCGACTGGCAAGATTCTGTTATTAGAGTAGAAAGAGTTTCGCTCTTCCTGTGGAGTTGATTCCCGGTTTGGCCTGCCTGGTAGGGCTGATGTTGACTCAACAGTCTGACTCCTTGTCAGAAGGATCTGGGTGTCCATGGGGGGGGGGGAGGAGGGCAGAAAGTCGGTGGGAACCAGCAACGGCTGCCATAAGAAGCCCCTGCAGTGTTGGGCTGCGTCAACAGAGTTTAACACTAAGGACACAAAAAGTAAGGATGCCACTCAAGCCAGCCCTGGACAACCGGAAAACATGCAGGGGGGTGAAGGGGCTCCTGCAGGCAGGCTCCCCGGAGGAGAAATTAAAGGAGGCATAATGAAGACTTCCAAAGGTAGTCAGAGTAGCTGGGAGGGACTTCGGAGGTCTTCTAGTCCAGCTCAAGCAGGAGACTCCTCCACCATCTCAGACAAGTGACCGCCCAGTCTCTGCTCCCATGATTAGCACCCACAACGTCTGAAGGCCACCAGCCGTTCCATTTTGGGCATGGCCCAGTCAGCCTCCTGCCGTCCACGGGCTCCATCTCTGGAGGTGCTCAGGCCATGGCTGGGCAGCCTTTGGTCTGGGATGGCCAGAGGATCCTGGCCTTGGTGGGGGGGAGAGAGGGTGGCCAGAGGGTCTGCAAGACCCCTTCCAAGTCACGGGGGGGGGGGTCTGTTCTATCTTTCCTGCCAGCAGTGGGCACGCCCCCCTTTTCAGGTTTTAAGGCTGGAGCCCAGGAGATTGGGTGCCCAGGGCAGGGCCTCCTCTGACGGGGGGGGGGGCAGGGTAGGGGGCTGCAGGCGGGGCTCCTTTCCAGCCAAGGCAGGTCCCAAGGGTCACACACACACACACACACCCGTGACACCCACACCTGCCCTTCCTCGGCCTCCTGCGATGCCTTTCTGCAACCTTATTTTTCTAACCCCGCCCCCCCGGGCCCCAGCCGCCCCCCCCTCTGCCCTCCCCCCCCAGACGCCCCCTCTTCGGGACGAGGACTCCGGGCCAGAGGCAAGTCCGGGCAGCCGCTTCCGCCTCCTCCCCCCCCCAGGGCGGGCGAAGGAATGCGCGCAGCTCGCGGGCGGAGGGGGGGGCAGGGAGGGGGGGAGGGGGCGGCTTCTCCCGCTCGGCCCCCTTTTGTGTCCCCGACCAGCCGAGCGTCTCCGGAGCGGCCCCGCACTTCAAACGCGCCGCGCCAGCTGGACGGGGCTCTGCAAAGCGCGGCGGGCCGGGCCGGGCCGGGCCGGGGTCGGCGGCGGATCCGATTTCGCCCTTTGTGTCCCGCGTCCTGCAGGGGGGGGAAGCCGAGGCGGGGGCTGCGGGGGGGGGCAGAGGGCAGGTTTGGGCCGCCCGGGAGCCCCCGCTGAGCCCCCCCGGGCAGAACGTTCCAGAAAGGCTGCCCCCCCCCCGGCCAAAGGGGCCTCCCCCTCCCCTTGGGGAAGGGCAGGGCGGCCTCGGAGCTCAGGGGCAGCCTCGCTTGGCCGGAGCCCCGTCCCGCCTGGCCTTTGCCCCGGAGCGGCCCCTCCTGGCCGGCCCTTTCCGGTCAGCTGGGCCGCTGCCCTCCTGGGACGGCCAGGCCGGAGGCTGCGGCGGCGGCGGCTTTCAGCTGCAGCAGCCCGGAAGCCCCGCAAATAAAAGGATGCCTAGTTGAATTAACTCTCGCAAACTTTCTGCTCGGGATGAGCTCGACTAGGTTTGCCCAGTGGGGGGGGGTTGGGGGGCAGCCCCATGTAAGACTTGACTCTGCTTTGGAGGAAAGATCCGGTGTCTCCAGCTGGCTTTTATTTTGGGCAGGGATCTGCCCAGTGTTGGTTATGAGTGCCGAATCAGCTGTTTTAGGTAGAAAGACAGAAAGATGACAGATACAGATAGCTAGGTAGGTGGGTAGATGATGGATAGAGATATAAATAGACAAAAGATAGATATGAGAGAGAGAGATCATAATATAAAAAGACGTTGAGATTTTGGGAAAAGGGCAGAGAAGAGCAACAAAGGTGATTAAACGCCTGGAGCAGTGGTTCTCAACCTTTCTAATGCCACGACCCCATAATACAGTTCCCCATGTTGTGGTGACCCCCAACCACTTAGACATCACCGGGTGCCAGGAGCGTGGCCAAAGAAAAGGGGGAAAAAATGGCGGACAGTCTTGTTTGGCGACCCCCGTGAAATGGTCGTTTGACCCCAAATGGGGTCCCGACCCACAGGTTGAGAACCACTGGCCTGGAGGCTAAAGCACGTGAAGGAGATGGGTCTGGCCAGTCTAGAGAAAAGAAGGACCAGGGGGGACATGACAGCAGTCTTCCAGGATCTGGGGGGCTGCCACAGAGAAGAAGGGGGTCAATTTATTTTCCAAAGCACCTGAAGGCAGGACAAGAAGCAACGGATGGAAACTGACGAAAGAGAGGAGCAACCTGGAACTAAGGAGGAACTTCCTAACAGTGAGAACAATTAACCAGTGGAACTCCTTGCCACCAGAAGTTGTGGGTGCTCCATCACTGGAGGCATTATAAAAGAGCCAAGGTTGCCTACTCCTGGACTAGACAGTCACTTGTCTGAAATTGTATAGGGCAGGGGTAGGCAACCTTGATTCTTTTATGACTCGTGGACTTCAACTCCCAGAATTCCTGAGCCAGCATAGTCTCCCTTTCCTCTCAGTATAGCTAGCTCAGGAATTCTGGGAGTTGAAGTCCATGAGTCATAAAAGAGCCAAGGTGGCCTACTCTTGCTATAGGGCCTAACTGCCTTCCAGTTCTGTCAAGGTGGACACATGAGAGGTGATATAGAGAGGTAGGCAGGTAGATGTAGATAGGCAGGTAGGTGATACGTAGAGATATAAATAGACAAAAGATAGATGACAGATGATGGACAGACATAGATGACCGATACAACAGAGGGTGGAGAGAGATGGACAGAGAAGACAAATAGGTGGACCCTTTTTTCTGGCAAAAAAAAAAAAAATCCAACAGAGTCTTTTTCTGAGTCCCACCCTGAATTTAAACTGGGCTGCAGTTCCCTTCTTTGGAGGCCGGAGGTGGCTGGACTGAGGCAGGATTTAACTTGGGGGGCAGGGGGGGAAGGGGGAGGACAAGTTGCCTGTGGGTTACATATATAACCTGCCTGTGCACCAGCAGCCCCCTCCCCTCCCTCCCCTTCCCCTCACCCCAATTTCAGTCCTTTCTCAGCCCAGCTGGGCATCTGGGGAAAAGATCTGAAGCTTTTAATAATATTTATGAGTCATTAAAGATACCTCCAAATCTTTGGCTACCACAGTCAGTCCTTGACTTACGACCACAATGGAGCCCAAATTTTCTATTGCTAAGCGAGACGGCTGCTAAGTGAGCTTTGGTCCATTTCACGATCTTTCTTGCCGCAGTTGTTAAAGTGAATCGGCTTCCCCGTTGGCTTTGCTCGTCAGGTCACCAGAGGGGGTCCCGTGATCCCCCTGGAAGCTGCGACCATCGTAAATATGAACCAGGTGCCAGGCGTCTGGACTCTGATCACGTGACCCCAGGGAGGCTGCAGCGGTCCTAAGTGTGAAAAACGATCCTGAGTCTCTTTTTTCCAACACTGTTGTAATTCTGAACAGTCAAGTCAATGAACTGTGGTTGAGGATTGCCTGTAGTAGTAACTCCTCTCTCTTCCTACAACACTGTTTCCAACCTTGGTGGCTTTAAAATGGGTGGATTTCAATTCCCAGAATTCCCCCGTCTGCCTTGCAGGGAAGGGAGGGAGGGAGGGAGGGAGGAAGGAAGGAAGGAAGGAAGGAAGGAAGGAAGGAAGGAAGGAAGGAAGGAAAAAGTGATGGGTGAGGAGGCAAGGGAAAAGAAGAGAGGAGGGAAGGAGAGGGAAGAAAGGAAAGAAAGAAAGAGGAAGGAAGGAAGGAAGGAAGGAAGGAAGGAAGGAAGGAAGGAAGGAAGGAAGGAAGGAAGGAAGGAAGGAAGGAAGGAAGGAAGAGAAAGGAAGGAAGGAAGGAAGGAAAGGAAGGAAGGAAGGAAGGAAGGAAGGAAAAAGTGATGGGTGAGGAGGCAAGGGAAAAGAAGAGAGGAGGGAAGGGGAAGGAAGGAAGGAAAGAAAAAGAAAGAAAGGGGAAGGAAGGAAGGAAGGAAGGAAGGAAGGAAGGAAGGAAGGACTGACTTCTGGCTGTGGGTCACTGCCTTACAACCTGGCGTAAGGCCAGAGAGGGCAGTAGGAGCTGAGGGTCCGAGCCCCTTCCCAGCTGGGTCTGGTGCACCTTCTTAGGTGGACTCAAATGTGTGAACAGGCCCAAGACAAAATCAGCAGAAGTTCCCAGAAATGGGTGGGTTTGGGGGATGAGCCTGTGGCTCAGTCCCATAGCGGCAGTGGTGGGATTCAAATAGGTGAACAACCGGTTCTCTGTGTGGATGCCGCTTCCGAACGTCTGTTCTGGGCCCGGGCAACAAGAAATTAGCTACCGGTTTTGCCAAAGTGGTACGAACGGGCTGAATCCCACCACTGCATAGCAGTAAATCTTGTTTCTGTGGCTACATTCAGACAACCCACCAGCCCCTCTTCCTGTTGCAACAGCTGTACTCCCATGACGTGGGGGGGGGGCCAACAAGGCCCCTGTGGTCAACTTCTGGCCCAGCCTGCTTGGCCCAGAGCTGGGGATCCCCAGTGCTCCCCCCCCCCAAGCTGCAGCAGGCCCTGGCTGGGGACCAGTCACAAGTGGGGCTGCCCCAGGCAGACATGAGGGTGGCTCAAGGGAGCCTGGGGGCCTGGGAGGGGGGAGGGGGCCTCCCCTTGGCCGGACTGTCTGAAGTACTGGGGGGAGGGGGGGTGTCGATTCCAGGCCCTGGGCTCTGACCGGAAAGGGCCAGAGACCCTTTGGCTGGACCCCTCCCTTTCCTCCCCCTGGACTCTGCCCTCCAGAGACCTCCTGGGTGGACTATGCAAGGAGTGATGTCTCTGGACGAGGCCACGGGTTCAGGTTTACCTCCCCCAGATGCGCTGGGCTTTCCCCTTTTCCCAGATGGGCCTCTTTCCCACAGGAATTATGGCTCCCCCAGAAAAGCAGTCCATAGAGCTGGTCCAGAAACACTATGTGAGCTGCAGTTCAGGCCCAGCAGGCACTAACCTTAAGATAGACCTTGCTGGATTGTGGAAGCTCCACTGAGTGTAATGATGGCTCCTGCAACGGCCCATCTGTGAACGGGCTTCCTCTCTTGCGAGCCAAGCAGGTGGGTGGCCCATGTCACACAGTCGGCCAGAAACGGGCCCCGGATTGGGGGAAGGATCTGGGGCAAAGCTTCCCCACCCACCCAGGCGGCTTCTCCAGAGCTTTTCTCCTCCAGACCCCCAGGAATTGGATCCTGCAAAACCGGGACAGGCAAAACACGGGGCGGTTGTGGGGATGGAGGGCTCTTAGCCTTGATGGGCTTCCTCGGGAAGCTGGGGGACCAAGGAGAAGGCAGGCTGGCGGGCAAGGTGGTCCAGGGCTCCCCCCCCCCAGAGCCTGGCCTCTGCCCCAGAGCTGCTTTTCCAAAAGGCAGCTGGACTTTTTGTTGTTCCTTGAAGACGTTTCACTTCTCATCCAAGAAGCTTCTTCAGTTCTAGACAAATGAAAAGAGGTGAGCAGAACTGAAGAAGCTTCTTGGATGAGAAGTGAAACGTCTTCAACAACAAAAAAAAGTCCAGGTGTGTTTGGAAAAGTCACTTTGGGGACCACCCTGACCCTGATGACTCTTCTTGTCTTCCTCCCAAACAGCCTTGCAAAGGTTTTCAATGCCCAGAAGCTGAAGGGGGTGTCAGGGTACTTCTCAAAGGGGGGGGGGAATATTCCCCGAAAGGCCAGAGGCCATATTCCCCTATGACCCACTCAGCGTCGGTTTCACACAGCCAGCTCCCAGGGCTGAGCCTGGAAAGATCCCACAATCCCCTTGCCCGGCTCTAGTGGTCGTCTCCAAGTGGGGGGGGGGGAAACTGTCCTGGCTTCCTCCTGCCCCGGAGCAACGGGGAAGGGCAGACAAGCTCCGGGGCTTTGACACAGCTTCCCTCGGGCACCGGCCGGGCCCCCCAGCCTCCTTCGGCTGCAGGACCCCCGCGAAGGGGAAGCCGCCACGGTGTGAAAAATCAGCGCGCACCTTCCTCCCCCCGCGGAATTCCTGCGGCGGGGCCTCCGGGGTCCCTCGCGCGCCGGGGGGGGGCAAGAGCCGAGGGGGCTTCGGGGGCAGATCGGAGGGCGGCGGCGGGGCGGCCGGGGAAGGGTCTCCGCTCGCCAAGCACTTCCCCGGGCGGCAGCGGGGGAGGGCGCGGGAGGGTCCCCGCGGAGCCTCTCGGCTCAGAAGGGGGCGGAGGGGCTCCGCAGCCCCGTTCCCCACGCAGCCCCCTTCCGGGGCTCCATCGTCCCCAGCCGGGGGGGGCCGCCGCGAGTGCCTGGAGCGGCGCGCCAGGGGGAGGGGGGAGGCGGGCGGCGGCGGGCGCTCTGCACGCGCTCAGAGGCCGCCTCCGGCCAGGGCAGCGGCGCCGGGCGCAGGCAGGAAGCGGCGGCCGGAGCGGGAGGCGGCCTCGGCGAGCGGGCTGGCGGGCAGGCGGAAGGGGAGGGCCGGCGAGGGAGGAGCGAGCGAGCAGCCAGGCAAGCAGGCAGGCGAGGACTGGTGCGCGGCGGGGCTGCAGCCGGAGCCCGCGCGGCCCTGAACTTTGCGCCGCCGCCGCGATGCGCTGAGAGCGGCCGGCCGGGACCCCGATCGCCGCCCGTCCCGCCATGGCCGCCCGGGACCAGCCGCCGCCGCCTCCCCGCCCGGCGCCCCCGGAGCCGCCGCGCTGCTGCTAGGAGGCGCCCCGCTCGGCCGGCCGTCGGCGGGGGAAGCGGCGGGGGCGGCGCCGGGGCTCGCCCGCCGCCCGGCCGACCCCAGGAGGGGCCTCGCCCGCCCGCCCGCCGCCCCGAGCCAGCCCGGCGGAACTTTGGCTCGCCGCCCCGGCCGGGGCCCCCTCGCCCTCGCCCGCGGGAGCCCGCCCGGCGCCGGAGGAGGGCCAGGCCGGCCGGGGGGTCCCGCGCCCCCGCCCGGCCCCGCTCCGCCGGCCCCGCCCGCGCCCCGGCCGCTATGGCCATGGTGACCGGCGGCTGGGGCGAGGCGGCGGGCGGCGGCGGCGGCGGGGAGAGCAACGGCCTGGCCAAGGGCTACGCGCGGCCCTCCGAGGACGGCTCGGCCTCCCCGCCCGGCGACCCGGAGCGCGGCGGCGGGGGCGGCGAGGAGGAGAAGGCGGGGGCGGCGCCCGTGGACTGCGTGGTCTGCGGGGACAAGTCCAGCGGGAAGCACTACGGCGTGGCCACCTGCGAGGGCTGCAAGAGCTTCTTCAAGCGCAGCATCCGCCGCAACCTCAGCTACACCTGCAGGTGCGCGGGGGGGGAGGAGGGGGCGGGGGGCGGGGTCCCCGGCCTTCCCCCCCCCGCCCGCCCGCCCCCCTCGGTCAGGCCGCCGGGCGGACGCGGGAGGGCGGCCTCTGCCACGGCCGCGGGGCCAGGAAAAGCCCCCCTCCCCGCCCGGGCGGTCTGGCGAGGGGCGGCGGAGGGCCGGGCCCGGGGCCCGGGGGGGGGCGTGGAGGGAGGGACGGCCGCTCCGTTTGCTGGGCTGCTGCGGGAGTTGCGCCGTGGGGGCAGCCCCTCCCTCCCCGGGGGGCGGCGGGGGGGCCTCCGAGGGACGCCCGGGGCTCAACGGAGGATGCCCGGAGGGCTTCGCGGACGGCTGCGGCAATTGCTCCGGCGCAAACGGGCCCCACGATGCCCCCTCCGCCCCCCTGGCGCTGGGTCGGCTCTGCCCGGAGCTGCAGGTGCTTCGTCCGCCCGCCCGCACCTGCCGCCCGGCTGGGCCACGTGGAGGTGCGGGGGCCGGGGGGCTGCTGGTGCCGCAGGCTGCACGGGGGGGGGCTGCCTCCCTCCCGGCCTCGGGGGCCGTGCCCACCTGGTGCCCCGCGCGGCTGGACGCGCGTGTGGATGGGGCTGGCTTGCCCACGGCGGGGGCTCCCCTGGTCTCGGTGCCTTCTGTGGGGGGAGCAAAGGGATGAGCGCCCGGCTGTGGGGCAGGCGAGCCCAGAGGCGCAGGGCACCAGCCCAGCTGTGGGGCTTTGACTGGGGCAGGGCCTCTGGCTGGCAAACAGGACCTGCGGTTTTGGGGAGCAGCCAGTGGGGCAATTCAGGAGCTTCTGCCTTAGATGGTCAAAATTGGGCCACGTTGGTCTCCCAGCCCCCTCCCCAAGTATTCCTGGGGAGGTGGGAGGATTCTCAGTTGGGATCTCCCCCCCCCTCATCTACTCCTGACCCCCCCCCCGGAAAATGTTTTGTCTCAGAGGCAAGATGGAGAGACAAGTGGGGTTCCCTTCTGATGCTGGGGTTCTGCATTTATGGGGCCAGGTAGAGACATAACCCCCCCCCCACGCGCCTGGCTTGCTCTCCTGCCCAGGATCACCGAAAAGAGACCCCTTCCCCAAAGCCGTGGTCCTTAGAGGTTTCTGAGACCCTTTCCCACGGTGTAATTGCGGCTCAAACTCTTCTGGTGAAGCTAAGGCGCTAGTTCTCATTATGCAAGGGGACCTGTTTTCTTCTTTTCTTCCCCAATGGCTTTTCCATGCTCCCTAACTAAGGAGGTGGGGGGAGTTGGCATGGCCAAGACCAGGTAGATTTCTGGGAGCCGATTGCCACTGGATTGGCAATGACTATCTCCTAGCAAGTTTCCAGACCTCATGGTGTGAGTCTCAAGGGAGAAGCAGCCTCAAAAGTAGTTGTATAAAAACTCTGCACCAAGAAGGATGGGACTTTCCCTACTTGGAGATGGTGGGGGCCAAACTCGGATGCCCCAGTGGTCAGCAGGGAGCCCCCCCCCACACACACTTCTGCCCAGGCCTGTGATATGTTGGACCTTTGTGTGAACCAGCAGGAGACCCATCCCTGGAAGGGCCCCTCTCGGCGTCAGGGCCAGGGGGCCCGGCCTGCCCTCCCCTCTCTGCCTCGGCTGTTACATCTTGCCACAGGGAGGGGCCCCTGACCCACCTGGTCAAATTAGTGTCCCCCCTTGAGTGGGTTATGTGACAGTGAGTTCGGAATTTGGTCTGCCCTCCCGTGCCTCCACCTTGCCCCTCCCCCTCGAGAGCCCCTCTTGCCTCCTAAGATGCTAGTCCTCATGAGGTGGGGATCAGCCTGAATGGTTGGTCTGTCTGCCTGGACTTCCTAAGGGTGCTGCTGCTTTGCCCTGCTCTTGGCTGCCCCCCCTACTTTCTGGCCACTGGAGGGTCCTCTGCTGAGGCCCAGTCAGTCTCCTGGGTGCTGGAGGGGGGGCAGATCAGGGCCCCAGGAAGGAGGGGGAACAAGAATGGCCTTGGGGTCAAGGTTCCCCAGAGGCCTCTCAGTTTGGCAGCTTTGCTCATGGACGCTTATGTCCCCCCCCCAACAGAAGGCCATTGGCACATTTCTCCACCCGGGCTGTTTTTAGTGCAGGGACGGCCCTGGCCTGCTAGGGACCCCCACCTCTCTCTCACACCTGCTTGGTCAGAGGGACAGGCTTGGCCCACCCAAAATCTGCCAGCCGTCTCTGCCTCCTTCTGCCCAGTCTGGGGGGGGGGGGTCACCAGCGGGCAACATCCAGGCCGATTCCCGGGCTGCCATCCCAAAAAGCAAAGCGTCCCTCTGGCCGAAGCCGTGCCTGGGGAAGGCAGGGCGCGTTTGAAGAAAAAGGGATGCAGAAGAACAGCTTCCCTCCCCCATACGCTTTTGGGGGGGCATTGCAGAAGGACGAGACTTCCAAGAACTGGGGGGGGGGCATCTCTGTACTTATCTGGTATCCTATCTGAGCGCCATCCTGGCTGAGCTTCCCAAGCAAGCCAGCATCTTGTGCATCTCATTTTCAGGAAAAAAAAATCACCCCTCCAGCTGGAAATGGGGAGGGGGGATGCTTAGGTGGGAAAGGGGGGTCCTGGGGGGCGGGCTTCGGGCTTCTTCCCTACCCAAAGGTTGTAAATGAGAATCAGCCAAAGTCCCAAACGTTGGGTTCGTTTTCTTTTGCCAGATCCATCCAGGCCTGGGTCTTTTGGGGGGGGGGGCTTTCTCCATCCCTTTGGAGATTCTTGCAGCCAAGTGGGGCTTTTAGCCATCCTCCCAACCTGCCGAGGAATCACAAGGTGTGTATGTGTGAAGTTACATGGTGTGTTGTTAGTTTCTTAAAATAGAGGTGTTTCCGGTTCCCACTTTGCGAATGACTGATGTATCTTAGTGGGGTGTTTGGGCGTCTCGGCCTGGTTTGGGCATTTTGCCCAGTCAGGAAAGGGGGCAGGGGGGGGTCCCTAACCATATGGTCAATAGAAGCTCAGCCAGAGGTGCCCTTTGGAGACCCCCTCCCACTCCCCAGTAGTCACTTTTCCCGTGAATGTAGGTTTAGGGCAGGGGTAGGCAACCTTGGCCCTTTTATGACTCGTGGACTTCAACTCCCAGAATTCCTGAGCCAGCAAAGCTGGCTCAGGAATTCTGGGAGTTGAAGTCCACGACTCATAAAAGGGCCAAGGTTGCCTACCCCTGGTTTAGGGGAGGGTTTTTTTTTTTTTACTGGACAAAGAAGATTTAATGGGTTTGATTTGCTATTCAAATCTTTTCTGGGGAGGAAAGAAGAATACAGGCCGTCCTCAACTTACGACCACAATTTCTGTCGTTAAGGGAGCAATTTGTCAAGTGACTCTTGCCCCATTTTACCACGACTTTTCAGGCCACCCTTGATAAGCGAATCGCTGCAGTTGTAAAATGAGTCACACGGTTGTTAAGTGAGTCTGCCTTCCCCCACGGACTTTGCTTATATGAGGGGATTCCACGACCCCAGGATGCTGCGACCGTCGTAAATACGAGTCAGTTGCCAAGCGTCTGGATTTTGATCACGTGAGGCTGCAACGGTCGTTAAGTGTGAATTACGGTCGCAAGTCTCTTTTTTTCAGTGCCGTTGTAACTTTGAACGATCACTGAGTGAAGAGTTGTAAGCTGTGTACATGCGACGTGGGTTATACTTGGGGATGTTCGTTCCGTTGAATAAGACACGCCTGGGAACATACGTGATCTCGGAGGAAGCGTGCCTGGCTCAGAAAAATGAGCTGTCCATTAAACAGGCTGGACTCGGTCCTGAGGGCCGCCCGCAAAGGATGGCGGTGGGTTGAGGGGTCTGGAGACGGTGCCAGCCTGGCTTTGCTGCTCCTGAGAGGGCACGGAAGCCAATCTGGGTCAGGGTCACAGCGCCCCCCCCTCCTGTCCTTCCTGCCAGGATGGGCTCTGCATATCCAGCCCCCCTGTGAGTCAAGGGGAGGGCAGCCCTGTCTGGAGGAGCCTCTGAGCGTTCCTGGGCCAGGTTGGCACTTGGGTGCCAGCACAGAGAAGGGCTTGCAGGGCACCAATGAGTGCCACCCCCTGGGGTTTTCTCTTTTGGGGAGGGGGTCTCTGGGCAGTGCAGGGATCTGCTGAGTTCAGGAGTGGGCAGGGGAGATGATACTGTGTCACTTTGTCCCTCCACCCGGCCACTGAAACGAGACGTTTTAGCACCCAGGGGATTAGCTTGCCCTGCCCTCCGTGATGGGCACGGTCCCCAAATCAGGCAGCCGTTGGCCCAAAGCCCCGTGGGAGAGTCCCCAGTTTAAGGGCACGAGGCAGGCAGGCCTGGCCGGAGAGCAGGAAGGGCTGCAATGGCTCCAAAACGCCATTTTTCCTGCTGGACCCAAAGTTGCTTCTCTCCTCTCTATCCTTAATTTAGCAAAAGCATCTCTCTCTCTCTCTCTCTCTCTCTCTTTCTCTCTCTCTCTCTCTCTCCCTCCCTCCCTCCCTCCCTCTCCCCCTCCTCCCCCTCCCTCTTTCCCTCCCTCTCCCCCTCTCCCTCCCTCCCTCTCCCTTTTTCCCTCTCCTTCTGTCTCCCTCTCGCCCTCTCCCTTTGTCCTTCCCTCCCTCTCCCGCTCTCTCCCTCTCTCCCTCTCCCTCTGTCTTCCTCTCTCTGTCTCTCTCTCTCCCTCTCTTTCCCTCTCCCTCCCTCTCCCTTTTTCCCTCTCCTTCTGTCTCCCTCCCTTTGTCTCTCCCTCCTTTCTCCCTCTCTCTCTCCCTCTCTCCCTCACTGTCTTTCTCTCTCTTTCTCTGTCTCCCTTTCTCTCTCTCTCTCTCCCCCTCCCTCTCCCTTTCTCCCTCCCATTCTCTCTCTCTCCCTCTCCCTTCCTTTTTCTCTCCCTCTCTCTCTCCGTCTCCCTCCTTGCTTTAAATTTTATGACTTTCACACATGCTTAACCAGCAAAGCCGGTCACCCCCACCAACTGCGGGCCGCCTTCCTTCTTCTCCTTTGCCCGCATGCGCCTCCCTTTGCCGGGTGGCTCATTCCAAGCAAAGCGGCCCTCGCCCTCCCTCCGTGCCCCCAGCCCACCCACCCCCCAAAAAGAAAACCGGGGGGGGGGGAGGGACCTTGTTACCTTTTCCAGCCCAAGGAGGCGTAGAAGCTTTTCTCCTGCACAGCGGGAGCCCGCCTGGCGTGGAGGGTCTGGGCTGGGCTGCTTTGCCTATTTAAAAGCCGTTTTGGCTGGCCGGTTGGGCCTTTAATTGGCTGCCCTAATGAGCTCATTAGCCCCACGCGGAGGAAGGAGGGGCACTGGGGAGCTCCCCCCTCCCCAGCAGCCCCCCTCTCGGGCCTGCTCAGCTCATTGGCACCCCAGTCCGGTTCTCTGAGCCTCCTTTATTTTGCCTTCCACAGAGGGGAACCTGCAGGGGGGGTCTTTGAAGGGGACAGACCCCCACGTGGTTTGGCCAAGGCCCACCCCCCCCCCGCACCCGATTCCCAACGGAGGGAACTGGGTGGCGAGGCCTGGGAAGACAGGAAGTCCTCCGCTTACAGCCACAGCTGAGCCCCAGACTTATGTGAGTTTTGCCCCATTTTTGCTCCCGTTATTAAGTGAATCACTGGTTAAGTTAGGAACATGGTGAATCTGGCTTTACCCAATGACTTTGCTCGCCGGAAAGTCTCAAAAGAGGGGATCATGTGATCCCAGGGTGCTGCGACGGGGCGTAAAGACGGGGCGTAAATGTGAATCGGTCAGTCTCTCTCTCTCTCTCTTTCTCTCTCCCTCCCTCCCTCTCTGGATTCAGTGACTACTCTTCCCTTGGACCCGGGTTCAAGGTTCTCCTTTTTAGAATGAGGATGTGAGAACTGAACGGGACGACCCCGGCTGGTTCTTGCCTTTGTCTGCTGCAAATCCCTCTTGGGGGGCTCACTGTGGAATTATCCCAGAGGCAGAGATGCCTGGGGGGGGGCTGGATCTCCCCACCCCCTCCTCTCTTGCAGCTGGACCCACACAGGTCCTCCCGCCCCGCTTTCCAAAGCTCCTGGAGTTATCCAGATGTGGGGGGAGGAGGGAGCCACGTGTAGGGTCAGCATCCTGAAACTCCAAAGCCCCTGGTGCTCTGCCCGCCCAGGCCTTGCCAGACCTTCCAGTGTGCAAGGAGGGGCAGGAAAGGTGCCTTCTGGGGGGGGGGGCAGTTGTGATACATAAATGCCAGGCAGGGGATTAGCTGTAAGGGGGGGCTGGGGGTCTCCTTCTTTGCTTGCCAGAGTTGGCTGCAGGCTGGGGAGTGGGTGCTAAGGGCTCAGATGGGGCTGGAGCCGGCCATGTGATGTGCAGCCTCACCCCCCCACACACACACTGGGCTTTCTTTTAGGGACCCCCTCCCCTGCCTTTTGGTCTTGGGCCTCCCTTGGGGGTGGGGGGGTTTCTTCTGGTGCCGGTCTTGCCCCCCAGCTAGCACCTCCCCTGGGGGTCAGCATTACAGCCCCCACCAGGAGACCCTCCCTCACTGCCATGAGTGACAGAGGGAGGGGTGGGTTCCTGGGGTCCCTCAGGGGAAGGGAAGGGAGGGGGCAAAGGCCCGCTTTGCATGGGGGGGTCCTGATGAGGGGCGGCTGAAGGGAATATGGGGAGAAGGCCTTGGTGGGGATCGAACCGGTGTCTCTCCCTGCCTGCCAGCCCAGACTTTGCACAGAGGGGAAGGATGCCTGTCCTCGGTTGCCCCTCTTGAGGGGGGGGCAGGGGGGTCTGCCTGCGGTCAGCAGGGGCAGCAATCGCACAGCCTGGTCCTCAAACAAAGTTTGCATGTGGAGGGGGAGGTGTGGAGTAGAGGCCGAGTCTAGCCTGGCTGCAGAGCCCTCCCCGCCCAGGATGGACACACACACACACACACACACACACACAAACAGTGGCTGGAGGAGGCCCCTTCCCCGCCCAGCTCCTCCTGCCCCACAGCCCTTCCCCCACTGCTCCTGCCGGGTCAAAGGGAGGAAATTGCTGGAATTCCTCTTTGCTCATGCGGGCCTTGGGGGGGGGGGCTTTGCTCCTGGCCTGGAGCAGGGGGGTCACCGGTTGGGGAGGGGCATCTCAGGGCAGATCCCAACCCCCCTGGCATCCCCCTTCCCTCCCCCCCCAGCAGTCACGGCCTCCTCTTGATTGCAAACAGGAGGGACTGCCCGGCTTTGTTCATCTTGGGCCGCCCTTCGCACTTTGGCCCCCTCTGCCTGCCCCCCAAGCAGAGGGGTCAGCTGGCCAGGCCCCTTCCCACCCCTGGGAGCCGGGCAGAGGAGGGGTGGAGCCCCTGGCTGCTCTCCCTTCCCCGTGCCCACTCCAGACAGGCTTCCTTAGATGGGAGCATGCCTTTCCCTCCCTCCCTCCCAGCGATGGGCCTTGTAGTCCTTCAGCTGACCACCAAGCATCACCAGCACTGGCATTGGAGGGGAGCGCCGGGCTGGAGCTGCTCCCGGCCTTTCCCGGCATTGACTTGCCGAAGGTCCATCCAGCTGGATGCTCTCTAGGTGTCCCCTACGGCCTGGGTCAGTGGCCTGGCCTGCTCCCAGCCAGCCCTTTGGGGTCCCCGGCAGGAGATCGGGGGTCTTTCGGCAAAAAGGCCCCTTTTGAGGACTTTGGGGGAGAAGCAGGATTGACAGGTCCAGCTGCCCTTCCCCCCCAGGCCTGGCCAGCAGGGGGAGAAAGGGGGGGCAGAGGAAGCCAGATGCTGACTGGGGAATTCTGGGAGTTGAAGTCCACAAGTCTTAAAGTTGCCACAGTTGGACAGCTCTGGTCTAAGCAGCTCCCGGGAGGAAATGTGAGTGTTTAGGGGGGGGGCTCCGTCCCTTCCTCCTCCCTCCCTTCCTTCCCCTCCCCTCCCCTCCCTCCCTTTCTTTCTTCCTCCCTCCCTTCTTTCCTTCCTTTCTTCCTTCCTCCCTCCCATCCTTCCATTCCTGCCCTCCCTACGCTCAAAGATTCTGCTGTGTTTGGGTATTAACAGAATTACAGAGCTGGAAGGGGCCTTGGAGGTCCTCTAGTCCAGCCCCCTGCTCAAGCAGGAGACCTTACACCATTTCAGACAGGCGGCTGTCCAGTCTCTCCTTAAAAGCCTCCAGTGATGGAGCGCCCACAACTTCTGGTGGCAGGCTGTTCCCCTGGTTGATTGCCCTCACTGACACTCAACTCCCCGAGTCCCCGGGGGCTCCTCCTCCTTGGGGGGCTCCCACCATGATTTCTGGGGGACCTTCGCTCCTTATCCGGGTGTGCTGAAGCCGCTTTCCTTCTGTCCCCCCCCCTCCCAGGTCCAACCGGGACTGCCAGATCGACCAGCATCACCGCAACCAATGCCAGTACTGCCGGTTGAAGAAGTGCTTCCGTGTTGGCATGAGGAAGGAAGGTGAGGCCAGTCAGTGGGGGGGGGGCTCTGAGGGACTCAGAGGCAGGCATAGGGGGGGGGACTGGCTGCTCCCGAGACAACCCAAGCCCCAGAGGGCGGATCCTGGAGGGGGATGGGGGCCAAAGGCCGTCTGGGGCCAGGCAGAGCCATGCTGGGTGCTGGAGAGCCCCCCCTCTGCTCTGTCCCCTCCCCCGCGAGGACTCCCAATTGAAATAACCCCCCCCAGGAGGGGTTCTCTGGTGAGGCTGAAGTTCCAGTCTCTGCCTCTGGCGGGAGCTCCCCTGGGTCTCTGCGGAGTTGCCCTAAAGCGGGGAGGGGGTCCCGGGCACTGATTGGGCTTCCAACCATGCCCAGGGAGGAATCTGTCTGTGTGTGTGTGTGTGTGTGTGTGTGTGTGTGTGTGTGTGTGTGTAGAGGTCCATCCTTGGCTCCCTGCCCAGCTGAACACCCCCCCCCATAACATCCCCCCACCCCAATATCGTATAGGAGCACCTGGCCGCGGAGTGGGCGCCAACTGGGCAGGGCCCTCCGGCCTTCGCTCCCGGGACAAGCCGGGGCAGGCCTCCCTCCCTCCCTCTCTCAGCTGCCCCTCCCGCCCCCCTCCCCAGGAATGAAGTCAGACTGGCTGAGAGGTTCCCAGCCAGCCTCTCCTGGGGGGTGGAGTAGAGGAGCCTCCCCCCTTGCTGGAAGGGAACAGTTGCCGGGCCAGCTGTCCCACGCCAAGGGTGCGCTGGGGCCTGGTCCTCAAACAAAGTTTGCATGTGCCCCCCTCCCTGGGCCCTCCCCCACTCTCCCCTGGCACCACACCCAAATTGCAGGGCCCTCCACGCCAGGTCTTGAGGGGCAGGAGGGGGGGCAGCTGCCCTCTGCCTGAAATTTGGCATTCCCCCCCCCCCAGTTTTGGACTGGAGGATGCAGGAAAAGACATCCTGCACTGGGCTTTGGTGTGTATCCAAACGAAAAACAAAAGCCCCCCCCCACATGAGATGCCAGGCTTTAGCCTCCCCCCCCCAGTATATGGCTATATAAATGATCTAAAATAAATACATTTGCAAAGCTGTGGAAGCGCCATGCTGCTCCCCATGGTGGTGATGGCAAAAAGGGGGGGGGGAGATGTGTACAGGCTGACCCCTCCCCTCCCACCACTGCTAGGGAGGGACCCCTTCATGAGTGATTGGATGGGGCTCAGGATGGGGGGGCCGTAGGAAAGTGTGCCCCCCTCAAGAGATGCTTTGGGGCCCTGGATTTGGCCCCCAGCATGGAATTGAACTAGGAGGTGCAAGTGGTGGAAGCCCAATGGGTGCCTGGGTCGGACCGTCCGTTGCTTCCTCGGAGTTTGCCCCCAGCCCTCCCACCCTGGGGGCGCCCAGTTGCAGAAGGCCAGACAGGAAGGGGAGTTTCTCCCCCCTCGTAGAGCCCCCTTGCTCAGGAGCACTTTACCTGGGAGGACCAGCTGCTAAGGAGACGCTGAGGGACGGGAGGGGGGTAGCGTGGCACCCGGGGCCTGGTTGAGAGGGAGGCTCTGCCAGGGACCAGGGACCGGTTGAGCAGGCCTGCCGTGAGGGCCCGGCCCCTGCAGGGCTGGGGCGGGGCTCACGTGACCCAGCTGGGCCAGAGGTCACAGCTGGGAAACAAGGCCAGAGGTGGGGAAGAGTGCCAACTGGCGCCTTGCCTGGGCAGGCGGGCACAGGCCCTCTGCACGGCGGGCCAAATTGGGGCCAAAAGGCACGTTCCCAGCCTGCCAAGGGGTGTGTGTGTAGGGGTGTGTGTGTGTGTAGGGGTGTGTGTGTGTAGGGGTGTGTGTGTGTAGGGGGTGTGTGTGTGTAGGGGGTGTGTGGTGGTGGGGGTGTGTGTGTAGGGGCTGTGTGTGTAGGGCTGTGTGTGTGTAGGGGTGTGTGTATGTAGGGGGTGTGTGTGTGGGTAGGCGTGTGTGTAGGGGGTGTGTGTAGGGGGTGTGTGTGTGTAAGGGGTGTGTGTGTAGGGGTGTGTGTGTGTAGGGGTGTGTGTGTGTAGGGATGCGTGTGTGTAGGGGTGTGTGTGTAGGATTGTGTGTGTGTATAGGGGTGTGTGTGTGTATAGGGGTGTGTGTGTGTAAGGGTGTGTGTGTAGGGGTGTGTGTGTAGGGGTGTGTGTGTAGGGGTGTGTGTGTGTGTAGGGGGTGTGTGTGTAGGGGGTGTGTGTGTAGGGGGTGTGTGTGGTGTGTGTGTGTAGGGGGTGTGTGTAGGGGGTGTGTGTGTGTAGGGGGTGTGTGTAGCGGTGTGTGTGTGTGTGTAGGGTGTGTGTGTGTAGGGGTGTGTGTGTAGGGGTGTGTGTGTGTGTAGGGGTGTGTGTGTGTAGGGGTGTGTGTGTTTCTGTGCTGCTGCCCCTCCGATGCTGACCTGCCCCCCCCCCCGCCTGTCCAGCTGTCCAGAGGGGCCGGATCCCGCCCAGCCACGCCAGCGCCAGCCCCAACGCGGCGCAGAGCGGCGACTACTACAACGGACAGCCGGTCTCGGAGCTGATCTCGCAGCTGCTGCGGGCCGAGCCCTACCCCAGCGCCCGCCTCAGCTCCCAGTACGCCCAGCAGCAGGGCAGCGTGATGGGCATCGACAACATCTGCGAGCTGGCCGCCCGGCTGCTCTTCAGCACGGTGGAGTGGGCGCGCAACATCCCCTTCTTCCCGGAGCTGCCCGTCTCCGACCAGGTGGCCCTGCTGCGTCTCAGCTGGAGCGAGCTCTTCGTGCTCAACGCCGCCCAATCCGCCCTGCCCCTCCACATGGCGCCCCTGCTGGCCGCCGCCGGCTTCCACGCCGCCCCCATGTCGGCCGAGCGGGTGGTCTCCTTCATGGACCAGATCCGCGTCTTCCAGGACCAGGTGGAGAAGCTCAGCCGGCTGCAGGTGGACTCGGCGGAGTTCAGCTGCCTCAAGGCCATCGCCCTCTTCAGCCCAGGTCGGTCGGGACCCCCCCCCCCGTGCCCCCTCCCGTGGGCGTCCGGGTGGGAGGGGCGGGGGGGTGCCTCTCTGGGGGTGGGTGAGGAAAGAGGGGTTCCCCCTCCTGGCCAGGCTCCCCGCTCTCCAGGCACCGTCTACCTCTTAACGACCGCTGTCCACCCCAAAATTTCCGAGGCTAAGCGGGACGGTTGTTAAGCGGGTTTTGCCCCGTTTTGTGACCGTTCTTGAATCCGGCTTCTCCCCTGGGCTTTGCTGGTCAGAGAGTCGCAAAAGGGGATCACAGGAGCCCCCCCCCCAGGACGCTACAGCCGTCATAAATACGAGCCGTTTGCCAAGTATCTGGATTCTGGTCACTCGTGACCGTGGGGATGCTGCAACGGTCGTACGTGTGAACAACATAAGTCACTTTTTTCAGTGCCATTGTAACTTTGAACGGTCACTAAACGAAACGTTGTAAATTGAGGACTATCTGCAAGGTAGTTTGACCCGGAAGCCAGATGCCCCTGCATGGATTTAGCATGTGATGAATCAATTGCTCCCCCCCCCACTTTGGGGCAGGTCAGCACCCATAGTCCTCAACTTACGACAAAGCCTGCATTTTGGTTCAGCTGAAGCTTGGCTGGAAATAGGGACAGGCCCTCTGAGCTGGGGGGGGGGGTCTTCATTGGGGCTTTCCCCCCCCCATGGGAATCTTGCTGTCTATGTGAAATGGCCATGCAACATCGACCCCTGGTGGCCAAATGGAGGTGGTGCGCTGGAAGTTTCTGCACAGCTTGTTGATCACCAAGAGGGTTGCAAAAGTTTTTTTTTGGGGGGGGAGGGGGGTCCTTGCTCTGGTTTTCAGGTTTGGGACAACAAAATGTCTTTTCTAGCCCCCCCCCCAACAGGGGCAGCCCTGGGGAGGATTCCTGGCGTTGTCCTGGCACCTTCCTGCCAATTCTGGTTCTCTCGCCAGACCCTTGCCAGCGCGGTGCAGTGTAGGGGGGGAGGGGGAGCCTGAAGCCCTGGGGGGGAGCCCAGCCTTGGCTGCCTGCGCCCCCCCCTCGATTGCCCCTTCCTAAAAGCTCTTTTCCTGCTGCCTCAGAGGCCTTGGGGGGACGGGGGCAGCGTTGCCTGGGCAGCCAGAGGGCTGGCACGGAGCAGGCAGTGACCGGCTGTCCTCAAGTCGCTCTGCTGGGCACCTCCTGGGCAGAGGCAGCTGCCCTTTGTGACTGGCACCGGCACACCCCCCATTCCCCCCCCCCCCGCCCTGCTCTTCTCCGCCCTGGGGGGCCAGGGCCTTGGGCTGCCATTGCAAAGGCCCAGCTGCTTTGCTTGCCCTTCTCCTCTGGCGGGAAATTGGGTGGGTGATTCCCAGGCGTGCCCGTGTGGAAGGCAGCCCTGATCCAGCTCGGCCCCCTGGGAGGATCTGGGGGCAAGTGGGGGCCCAGGTCTAATCAGAAGCCCCTGGCTGGATTCAGAAGTTTGATCGAGGCTGATCTCTCGGTTGAGTATTCAAGCCACAAAGGAGAATCTTTAAAGCTCAGGGTCTCTGGTGCTGCCTAAGCTGGGCGGTTTCCTTGCAGACGTTTCGTGACCCAACTAGGGAACACCATCAGCGCTGGTCAGGAGTGGGATTACATAAACAAAACTCTACTACTCCTTACTAGAACTGATGATGTTACCTAGTTGGGTCATGAAACATCTGCAAGAAAACCACCAAGTTCAAGCACCCAGGACCTTATAGTCCTCCTCCTACCCCCCCTTCCTCCTCCTCCTCCTCCTCCTCCCCCTCCTCCTCCTCCTCCAACCCCACTCCTTTCCAGCAATGATGATGTTCTCTAGTTGTGTTACCTAGTTGGGTCATGAGACGTCTGCAAGAAAACAACTCAGACAGCACCAAGGACACCATAGTAGTCCTCCTCCTCCTCCTCCTCTTCAAAGCCCCCTCCCTTCCAGCACTGATGAGGTTCCCTAGTTGGGTCATGAGACGTCTGCAAAAAAACAACTCATCTTAGACAGCACCAAGGACCCCACAATAGTCGTCGTCGTCATCCTCCTCCTCCTCCTCCCCTTCAAAGCCCCCTCCCAGCACTGATGAGGTTCCCTAGTTGGGTCATGAGACGTCTGCAGGGAAGCCACCCAGCTCAGAGAGCACCAGGGACCCCTGAGTATTCACCCTTCTGTAAAAGGACCACGAGGACTAGAACGTTTCACAGGCTGAACACGGCTGCAGAGGGAGCCACTGGGGCTGGCGGCCTGTGGGGACCCCCGCAGCTGCTGGCTGACTTCTCCCTCTTCCCTCCAGACGCCTGCGGCCTCTCGGACTCGGCGCACGTGGAGAGCCTCCAGGAGAAGGCGCAGGTGGCCCTGACGGAGTACGTCCGCTCGCAGTACCCCTCCCAGCCCCAGCGCTTCGGCCGGCTGCTCCTGCGCCTCCCTGCGCTGCGGGCCGTCCCGGCCTCGCTCATCTCGCAGCTCTTCTTCATGCGCCTGGTGGGCAAGACGCCCATTGAGACCCTCATCCGGGACATGTTGCTGTCCGGCAGCAGCTTCAACTGGCCCTACGGGACGGGGCAGTGAGCCCGGACAGCTGGACAGATGGACGGACGCCAGGCCTCGCCGCCCCCCCCCCCGACAGCCTGGATGTCCATTTGCAGCCCCCTCCTGCCCGGACGAGACTTTGGAGGGGGGGCCGCTTGGCTTTCGTGGGACCCCTTTGGGAGGGGCCAGGCTGGAGAGCCCCCCCCCACAGCTGAGGATGAAGCCCACCCCTCAATGCCAAGAGGAACCCAAGGTGGGCCCGCTTGAGTTGGAAGTTCTTCTGAACACTCGTCACGCCAGCCGTCTGTGTGCCACATGTAGCCGGAGAAGGAGGAGGCCTGGGTGGTCCGGGGGGGGGGCTCTGGGCCCCCCCCTCCTGGGTGGTTTTTCCCCAGCATGTGCATGAGCACCTTGAAGGGGGGGATGAAGAAGGCCCCCCTCCCCCGGCTGTCTGGGCAGCCCTCCAGAGGCCTGGAGAGGATCCGCCATGTTAGCACCCCCCTCTTGTTTCTGCCCTGGGAGGGGGCAACTAGGAGGGTCCCCAAAGAGGTGAGCACGTTGAGAGTGCTTGAAAGACCCCCCCTTGGTGGGGGGGAGGGGGCAGCCGGCTTGCAGCTGCAAAGGGCCCTTTAAAGGAGGAGCCCCATCCTGCCAGGTTTTGACTGGCAAACTGGTCCTGCCCCCCCCCAGCATGGTTTCCTCATGCAGCTACTCCCCCCCCCCAGGACCCCCGTGCCACCCCCTCAAAGATTGCCCTCCCGTCCTTGGAGAGGAAGCACCAAAGAGAACAGGCGACGTCTGAATGCTCCCCGGGCAAATGCGGGGGGGGGGGCTCCCTGCCCTTCTGGGTCCGGCCTGGCATTCATCTCTTTTGGCAGCCCTGGGGGGGGGCATCGGCTGAGTTGTGGCCCCCACACTGCAGGATTTGGGGCCCCTGTGAGCAAGGGCCAGTCCAAGGGACGCCCCGGGCAAGCGGGCTGCAGTGAGAGGCGGGGTCTTCTCCAGAAGGCCCCTCCCTCTCCTGGGTGCCAACGGGCCCTCACCCGCTGGGCAAATTGAATCCCCCCCCCGAAGAAAACCTGGTGGGAAGTTGGTCCTGACGGTTACAGGCTTGCTTCTTCACCTTCTTCACCTCCCACCCCCCACATTTTAATTTCTGCCTCCCTCTTTCCAAAACCTGCCATGGAAATTCCCCCCCACCCCCCCAAAATCCGGGCTGTGCCAGCCCCCCCCCACGTTTGTGACGATGCTATGCAAATGTTGGCCTGCATGCCCTTGCCGTCCACATGTGGCTGCCCTCCTCGCCCGCCCCAGTGTTCCGGTGACCTTCGCTGGATGTCAGTTCGGCTAAAATCTGTTTGATCACTTTGTGGCCTTCCCCCCCCCTTTCTTTTCTCATCTGCTTTTCCCCCCTCCGTGTGTATATGACGGTCTCTTCAAGGAGCGTGTGATGGAAATTTGCCATTAAACCCGTTTTACAGACAGAGGAAACTGAGGCCACGAGGGCCGGCTTTTCTTAAAAGTCGCTGAGAGTGGTGGGACTTGAACTCAGGTCTCGGAAGTCTAAAGTACCGATTGTAATCTATGCAAACTTTTCTTGTCTCTCTCTCTCTCTCTCCAAATTCCAGATCAAGGATGCGTCAGTTCTGTGCTTGGAATAAAAATATTTGGGTATCGGATGTGATTTATTTCACCTGCTTGGGCAGGGACCCCAAACCCCCCCTTCGAGGTCCACCTGCTGTGGGACTCGAGTGCCCATTAGCTCCCTGGAGGATGGGTATTCTGCTCCCCCCTTTAGCCGGTGGGCAATGGGGCCGGTTGCCAAACTGGGTCTGTTGGGTCCTTGATTAAGGGGGGGGCACAGCTTTGTCCCTCAAGCTGAGTTCTGGGGGTCCCCAGCTGCACCAAGAGATGGAGGGGGTCTTTTCTGCTCCGGTTGGGACGAAGGACGCCCATCTCTGGAGCCAGGCAAAGGCTCTGGGGTCCAGGACGGGCATCCCTGGGTGAGGGAGGGGCACCTTTCCCCCCCCCCCAGACTGCCCTGGCAGCTGCAGCTGTGTGTGGCCACTTTCCCTTCTGGGCTGATGGCACCAATTACAAAAACCAAACAATATTCTATACATTTTTATCTGGGGGTGGGTGGAGGGCACCACGAAGCCAATCACCAGACCGGTCCTGCAGCCACAGGCTGGGTTTTGGGCTTGCCACACACATACACACCCACACCTGGGCTCTGCCAGGTGCCAGCGAGGCTTCCTTCCCTGGGGCATGCCAACCTTGCAAGCTCCAATCCTGCGCCCTCTCGGTGCCCCTAGCTGGCTTTGCTCTTCAAGAAGGGCACGGGACCGCCTGGCACAGCAGGAAGGCCGTTTACTGTGCAGACCTTGAAAGGCTGCCAGGCTTTCTCGCCCCCTTGTGCCCAGGGATGTTCTTCCTTGCCTCGGTTTCTCCCTTGGGAATCCCCTTGCTCCAATCAGCCGGGGGCTCCCCCGGGGTGCTGCTCTGGAGGGTCTCGGTGGCCCAACCCCACCAGCAGCAGCCGAGGGAGCCGGGCCAGAGGCTGGCACCCAGGCCTTAAAAACGCCGGAGGTTTGGGGGAACCTTGTCTGAAAGGATAGAGGTTCTCCTGGTCGAGCAGGGGGGTGGACTAGACGACCTCCACGGTCCCTTCCAACTGCTATTCCTTGCTCTGTTCTGCCAACTAAGTCCAGAGGCAGAAGTGCCTGGGCATTTTCAAGGGCCCTGGCAAAGATCTCAGAGATTGGGGGGGGCATTTCACACCCTAGAGCAGGGGTGTCAAACTCAATTTCATTGAGGGCCACATCAGCATTGCGGTCGCCCTCATGGGGCTGGGTGGGTGTTGCCTGCTGGGTGGGTGTGGCCAGCTCTACATCGTTCGATTCAAGGGTGCCTGTGGGGGCCTGGGCAGGAGTGGGACAGATCTGAGGGTCTCTGGCAGAAGGGGGTGGGACCGGGGCAAACGCCAAGGCATGGTCCACTGTTCTTCTCAGGCCATGCGGGGGGAGGGCTATGCAGCTAAGACTGAATGTATTTCAGCATAAATGGCTACTACAAAATAGTACATTGGCTCCTGGGCAGCTTGGGCCAGGGCCAAGGCAGCAGGGGTTGTTCCCTCACTGTTTCCAGGATGGCTTCGTGGGCCACATGAAACCACTTCGCGGGCTGCATCCGGCCCCCGGGCCTTGGGTTTGACCTGTCTGGCTTAGAAGTTGCCAACAGACACAGGAACCAAGGGAAGTTTTCCCACGTTTATTAAAGGAATAGTTTTACTATTAAAAAATAGGCCTGCCCTCCCCATTGTCACAATATATACAGTTCCCCCCGCCCCCCATTGACAGATCCCGCTGGGCTGTGGCTGGGGGGGGGGCGGTCTTGGCTCTCGCTTGGCTCCAAAAGCAGAAATCCTGGGGGGGGGGGAAATGCAGATGTTTATGCTTGGGATTCCTCCCCCCCCCCCTTTCTCCCTCCCCGGGAGAACTCTCTGGATCCGCTGGCTGCTGGCAGGAACACCAACGGAGGGGCACTGCCAAGCTGGATCAAGTCTCCAACAGCAAAAGGCCCTTTGGGGGAGCAGAGTTTGCCACACAAACACAAGTTGGCACTGGAGGGGAGGAAGAGAAAGTAGGGGGAGGACAGGGAGGGAGGGAGGAGGAAGAGGAAGGAGAGGAAGGGCAGGTAACTGCCAATCCTGCTGGTCTCCCCCCCCCGAAAAACACCTGCTTTTTCACTTTGGGGGAGCAGCCAGGGGTACAATTCCCCCCCCATCCAACAATCAGGATTTGATCCCAAGACCTTCGGTGCCAAAGGCAGCCTCATCTTTAAGCTGCCTCAAGGGACCCTTCCCATTATTGGTCTGTTCCCCCTCCTCACTGCACACTATTGTGTCCCTGTGTGTGTGTGTGTGTGTGGAGGGGTGTTTCCCCAACGTGATTTGCCCCGAAGAGGAACCCCACAGCCATCAGGCCCTGGAGGCCCCCCCCCTCAAAAGAGCTCTGGGTCGATGCCCACCCTCCTCACTGCTGGCACAAGACCCGGAAACCAGCCTTTTGGCACGAAGCGGGAGAAAAATGCAAGAATAAGAAAATCCACAATACACACACACACACACACACAGACTGGCATCCTCGTCTCTTGCAGGGAGGGGGCACTAGCACACTGGCACCCCCAGAGTCTTGGCAGGGCTGGGCCAGGCGTCCCCGGGTCCAAACGAAAGGTGGGAAGGGGCTGCCCAGCTGGTCAGTGTCTGTCCTTCTGGGCCCAGGAAGGGAGCTGGGCCTGGGCGCCCCTCCCCTTCGGGGGTCCCGGGGGCCCCACTCCGGGCTCACCCCCGGTGCTGGTCGTAGTCGCTGACCATCCGCTTGATGTGGAACAGCTTCTTCCTCAGGGACTTGGTCTCCCTCTTCTGGCTCCGGTACTCCGGCGTCTGGCACGGGTTCAAAGGGGGAGAGGAGAGCTTGGGTGACTGGAGCAGGACTACAGCTCCCCTCATCCCCAGCCCTGATTTAGGAAGCCCCGGGCTGGCGGCCACCCCAGTTCAGAGCCATCCGGAGTGGGGACTCGGCACACGCTGGTGGGCACCAACCAGCAGCGATGCCCCTTCCGTGGGATGCAGGCAGCACGCAAAACCAGGACCCCCCACCCGCTCTGGTCTGGGGAAAAACCCCTCCCCATGGAACCGGTCTCTGGTATCCCAAAGGTTGGGGGGGGGGCTGCCCTAGTTAACTTTCCAGCCTTCAGTTTCCTAACTCTCTGTGTTTTTTTTTATTTTCAATTTGCAAATTTCAATCTCCTTTTTCGTTCTGTCTTCAACTGGGCTTTTAATCGTGGTTTTTGTCTTGTTTGATGACGTGCCCAGCGTCGCTAAGGAGAGACGGGCAGGGCAAACATCGGATGGATCAATAAAATGAATAAACGGGGCGGCTTTGGTAATGGAGTCAACGGTGCTTAAGCTCTGCGGGCTGCCCAGATGTTGGAGGGGCCGATTCTCCTGATGTGACACACAAACCGCCCAAAAAAAGCCCAGAATCTGAACACAGGTCTCTTCAGGCTTCCTTTGCCAAAATAATGGGGGAGGGCCTTGCCCTGCCATCCCCCCCCATCCCAGTTCTGGAGATGGGCTGCAGGGCTTCCCGTGGGTCTGATAAGGAGGGACGGGAGAGCAAATTCTTTTTCTGCCGCCGTTTGCATTTCTATTAAATGTAGACCCTCCCACCCCACCCCCACCCCACCCACCCACCATGGCATCCCTCCAGAGCCCAGAGGGCAACCTGCTTCCCTGGGCATTTCTCCCCTGGGTTTCCCATGGCCCCCAATCCAGGCCAGGGTGGCTGGGGCTGATGGGACCTGGGGATGGGGGGCAACTAGGCTGGGGGGGGGGACTCACCTGCTTCATCTCCTTCAGCCGGTTGTACTCCTCTGCCACGCCCTGCCGGAGAAACACCAGAGTTGGGAGGGGAACAGACCGGGGGTGGGGTGGGGGGTGGGATGTACACAAAATGGAGCTCCCCTGTTCAGGAGCAGCACAACTCAGAGCAAGGCAGGAAACTCGGTGGGCAGCTGTGGGCAAAAGCCCAAGGAGCTTTTGAAGTGGCCTCCAGCACCGGCTGGGAGGGAGGGTCTGCCCGGGGGGCTGGAGGAGAAGGTCAGAGTGTCCCAGGCACAGCTGACCCCTGGTGTGACCCCCCCTCAGCTTGCAGCTGGCATAAGAGCAGCCATGGGGCATCTGTGGGGTAAACCACAGATGCCCATGAAAAGGCCTGGCAGCTCCATTCCGCAGACAAGGAACCGGCCCTGGGCAGCGCCGGGGGGCCCCAGAGGGATGTCCTGGACGGGGCCCCTCCCAGTGGCTGCTCCCTTTTGCCACAGCAGGGCCGGCACCCCGGGGCTCCCTCCGGTTCGTGCCCACCTGGTACTGGAGGGTGCCCTCCGGCAACTGATCCAGCTGCCTGCTGAGCTGGTTGATCTGGTCGTTGATGCCATCCATGTGGGCACAGAGCTGCTTGTAGCGCTTGAGGTCACTGTCAAAATCCTGCTTGTATTCCTGGCGGGCATCGTCGGACGTGATCGGTGGGTAGTGACTGCGGGGAGGTGACAGGAGGGGCTCAGCCACGGACCAGGTGGCGTCCAGGCCCCCCCGAGCCCCCCTCCCTTTAGTCTACGCTGGCAAGGCTGGCAAGGCGGGGTGGTAAGCAGAGGGGAGGAAAGCCCCCCCCCTTCACACACTTTTAGGGGTTCAGAGCTCTGCTTTGAGGGGTCCGGGGGAGGGCTAAGCCGGAGGGGGCTCCCAGCAGGGCATGCTCTGCCAGCCCTGAGTCAGGGGACACCCCAGCAAGAACCCCAGTGGGGTTCCTTTGACATGGTGAATTAACAGGAACCCCAAAATTTGGATCGCCCACAACCTGTGAGCTGGTTCCTTGCCTTCTTTCAGTGCTGGCCTCTCGCCCAGCACCAGCTGCCCTCCTGAATTCCTCCCCCAGCCTGCCCTGCTCCCCCCCCCCAGCCCAGCCCTTCCTGCCTTCCTGTTTCCTGGTCCCCAAAGCCCCTTCCCGGGGTCTCTGACCAGCTCTGTGGGTTTGGGGGACCCCTCCCCAGGCTGCTCATCTCTTGCAAGGAGAGAGGTTCCTTAAATTGGGGTCTGACAGTGGGTCTATGGCCCCCAGAGGGTGGGCTGGCTTGGTGCAGCTGCTCAGTCCAGAGACCCCAGGGAGGGGGTCTCCCATTGAAAGCCCCCCTAATTTCTGGCCCCTGAGTGTTTGATCGGAGGGCCTGGGCTCCACTTAATTAATAAAAAGATGATTAGGGGACTGGAGGTTAAAAAATATTAGGAACGGTTGCTGGAATTGGGGATGTCTAGTTTAACAAAGAGAAGGACAAGGGGGGACAGGATAGCAATCTTCCAATATCTCAGGGGTTGCCCCAAAGAAGAGGGAGTCAAGCTATTCTCCAAAGCGCCTGAAGGCAGGACAAGAAGCAACGGATGGAAACTAACCAAGGAGAGAAACAACCTAGAACTAAGGAGAAACTTCCTGACAGTGAGAACAATTAATCAGTGGAACCACCTGCCTCCAGAAGCAGTAAATGCTCCAACACTGGAAGTTTTTAAGAAGAGACTGGACAGCCATTTGTCCAAAATGGTGTAGGGTTTCCTGCCTGAGCAGGGGGTTGGACTAGATGACCTCCAAGGTCCCTTCCAACTTTACTACTATTATTATTATTATATTATTATTATTATTATAATAAAAAAGGCAAACCCATTGCGGTTACACGCCTATTGTTGCGTCTTGCCAGCACCCACAGGGATGTTGCGATGGTCGTTAAGTGTGCAAAATGGGTACGAGCCCATGTTTTTCAGGGCATTGTGATCTCAAACGGTCACTAAGCAAATGGCCGTAAGCCGGGGACTGTTGAGTTGACGTGTCTTGCATTGTGCCAATTGCGTCCATCGAGAGTGCTTGGGGAGGGGCCCTGGGCTCCAGGGTCCGGTTTCCCTGGGTGCCCCCCCCATTCCAGCCCGCAGGGCCCCTCACCTGCCCCACTCGTCTGGGTCCTGCTCGTCGCTGGACTCCATGGCCGTGGTGGGATCTGTCTCATACTGGGATTCCTCCAGTTCAGGGCTCCTCTTGCGCGACCTTCGGCCCCTGCGGGCGGGGGGCTTCCTGGGGGGCTCCTGGGTTTTCTCCTCCCAGGTGCTAGAGCTCAGCGTCCGAGCAAGCTTCTCCACAGGGGGCTGGAAGGGAGAGCTGGGGGGGGGCAAAGACAGGCCAGGAAATCAGCCCCATCAAAGGGCTCTTGACTGGGGGGGGGGTGTTATGCGGAAGACCTTGCAAATCTGACTGCGCTGGACCCCCCCCCTCGTCATGCCCCCCAGGGAATTGGGGAGGGGTCTGCCTGATCTGATTCCAGGCGTTATCTGGCTTCCCAGGACTTCAGGAAAGTTTCAGCCCCCTTGGCCCAGGGCAGGCAGTCCTCCAGTTACGACCATAAGGGAGCCCGCCCATTACGGCCGTAAGGCAGGACGGTCGTAAAGCAGGTGGCGTGACTGAGCCAACTTTACTACCTTTTCTGCCGCTGCTGAAGGTCATTAAGCAGACCTTGTGGTCATTAAATGAGCCCATGGTGGGCTGTGGGCCGGTGGTGTCAAAACAAACCAGAAGCAAAACCTGGTTTTTAGTGAAACCGCCGTAAATTGCGGTCATGTGATCGAGGGACGCTGCAAATGGCGGTCAAGGCTGGCTGGCTGCCAAGCACCGGAAGTGTGAAACAGACGCAGAGTGACCCGTTGTAAATGGAGGACTATTCGCAATGGCTCTTCTGTCAGGGTCCTCCGTTTGTGACTCACTGGAGACCCTCGCCTGACCCGAAGGTGCAGGAATGGGCTGGCCAGGAGGGACGCGGGCCGAGGAGGACCCTCCCTCAACAGCCACCAGCCGGCACAGCTCAACGGAGCCCCCTACCCAGGAGCAGTCTACCCCCCTTAACGTGAGAACAACATGAGACCAACGAGACGGCCAGCTGGCGGCTGTGCTTTTCCACTGCTGATGGGCTTGAGGGCTCCTCGTTGGTCCATCAACCCCAGTCCTGGCAGCCTGTAATGGCCGGCTGCCTTGGAAGAGTCCAGGGGGCCCATTCAGTGGAACCTCCACAGGCAGCTGCAGTCTCCCTCTAGCACTAAAGGGGTGGCATTGCCAGGAGGGGTGCTGTCAATGTTCCCCTCCCGGCCAAGCCCTGCCGCCCCCCCCCCCCCGGTCCTCCGGGGGTCTCCTTGGGCCGGGTGTTGGGAAACCTCCCCCCGCCTGCTCACCTGCTCCGGACATCCACCTTGGAGTAGTAGTCCTTCTCTGTGTAGTTGGGGGGGCTGGCGGGAGCGTTGATGGGGCCGGTGGGCTTCTCCGAGTAGGCCAGGGTGGCCGTGTCGGTGGGGCTGGCCCGGCCATCCACGTTCTTCACCTGCAGAGGGGCAACGGGCTCTCCTCAGCACCCCAGAGGTCCCGGGGGTCAGGGGTCCGGAGTGTGACCTTCTGACCTCAGCCTCTCCCAATCTCTCAGGGTGAAATCCCCCAAAGGATTCCCCACCATTAAGAGGGCAGCATGGCCTGCCCAGCCCCAGAGAAAATGCAGCAACAGCTGGAAAACGGGGGGGGGGGCTGGGATGGAGGCAAAAGCTCACCGCAGCAACATCTGGCACACCAGACTCTCCCCCCTGCCCGGGCTTTCCAGATGCCCACTGCACAAGCCCTCCCCTGGGCCCGGCTGCCCCCACAGCTGGCTGAGATTTGACTGGTGCCGTCCTGACCAGGCTGGCCTTTCCCTCCCGGTCACCCCCTGTCCTGACCCTCCCCATGTCCAGGGGGTCTCCAGCCCCCGGGTCCCGTGCCCAGCATTCCCACCCCTGGGGAGACGGGGAGGCCGTGTGCCAGCTGGGGGTTGTGCCCCCCCTTCCTCTCCTCCTGCTTGGAGACAGTGTGGGAAGCAACAAGGAGACACCCTTTGTGGGTCAGCTCTTCCCTGCCCACTTGAGCAGGGGGCTGGACTAGAAGACCTCCAAGGTCCCTTCCGACTCTCCCCCCCTTCCCCTCCCCACCCCTGGCTGACCCTTTGCCAGAGGGAGAAATGGCAGGGCTTGCTGTGGACCAGATCCAGCTTGGAGCCTTGGGGAACAGCTCCCCACTTCAACGCCCCCCCAGAACCAAGTGGGGTGGGGGTGGGGCATTCTTGCCCTCCAGCTCCCCCCCTCTGATCCTCCCCCCCCCCGCTTTCCCAAAGGCCAGCAGGAGACCAACGTTCCCAGCCTCTTCCCCCCCCTCAGAACTTCAGCAATGGGACAGAGGCAGCTCCTGAAATTGGGGGGGGGGAAGAAATGTCCACAGGGTGGAAGGCTCTCTTCTGGGGAGGGGGACACCAGGGCCCAGCCCCCACACCCTGGGTCCGGCCGGGCCATCTGCCTCTGCAGTCACAGCAACGGCTCCTGTGGGCTCAGCGGTTAATCATTGATGGACCGAAACCAGAGAAGCTATAAACAACCAGGGGCACTCTCGGTTACACACACACACACACACACACACTCCTTTCCAGTGCAGGTGGCAAGGCTTGTGAACCTGTGGCTGTTCTTGCAGATCAGAAATGGGGGGGGGGAGAATTATGGAGGAAGGAAAATGGCCGAAATCAACACAGACGGACGGCCATTTTCTCCCGCGCTCAGGCAGGCAGACCAGGAGCAACTGAGGGAGGGTCCCCCGGGGTCTCTTCCTAGCCAGGGGGCTGCCAAAAGGGGCAAGTGGGCACTGCAGTTTCACGAAATGTGGCAAAAAGGGCTCAGCTTTGAGACGCTCCTGTGGCAACAGAATGTAGCAGAGGGAAGGGGCCTTGGAGGTCCTCTAGTCCAACCCCCTGCCCAGGCAGCCTCCAGTGTGTGATGCAGCACTCACAACCTCTGGGGGCAACTTCTCTTCCGCTGGTTGATGGGTCAGGACATTCATCCTTAGTTCTGGGCTGCTTCTTTCCTTAGTCACGCAGGGGTGGGCAACCTCGGCTCTTTTATGACTCGTGGACTTCAACTCCCAGAATTCCTGAGCCAGCCACGCTGAGGGGAAAGGGAGAGGTTTCCAAGCTGAGCCAGGCTGGCTCAGGAATTCTGGGAGTTGAAGTCCACGAGTCATGAGGGGGCCATAGTTCCCCCATGCTGGCTCAGGAATTCTGGGAGTTGAAGTCCACGAGTTATGAAGGGCCATAGTTCACCCATTCTGGCTCAGGAATTCTGGGAGTTGAAGTCCACGAGTCATAAAAGAGCCGAGGTTGCCTACCCCTGCATTTTGCAATGCAGGTTTTCCTCCCGCCGTTCATGGGTCGCAGAGGAAGCCGCCCCCTCCCCAAAATGATTGCATTGTTTGTGGGGGGGGAGGCCTGCACCCCAAATGGCCCTTTGCTCCCTTCCGAGCCTGGCCCGGCCCAACTTCCCAGCCCGGCTGACGGTCAGCATTACCAAAGGAACCAGGGGGTCAAGGGCAGCTGCCTTCCCCAGGGCCTTTTGGGGTGGGGAGGGGTTTCCACGGCTCCACTCACCCATTCCTCCACGTTGGGACCCTCCTCCATCGCCGGCGGGCGGTCCCAGTAAATATTATGCTTCCCAAACTGCCAGATCTTCTGGCGGGTCTTGTGGGCGAAAAAGCAGATGACGCAAAGCAGGATCACCAGGAGGAATCCGCAGACGATGGCGACGGCCTGGGGGGGGCGAGGAACAGAGGGGGGGCAGTTAAACCCCTTCCAGATCTCCCTCCCCTCCCCCAAATTCCCGAGAGCAAAACGTGGCTCCCTCCCCCCATGGGAAGGGACGCTGGGCTGGGGTTCAGGGTCTCCATGGTGAGGGGGGGGTCTCTTTCTCCACTGAAGGAGATGTCCACAGAGCAAGGAGAGCCCCCCCCCCAGAAGACCTCACAGCAAGCCACAAGGAGGTTGTGTGCCTCCACAGAGGAGCAATTAGGCAGTCCACGGCACGGTGGCACGTGTGAGATCCGTGGCCTTCCGGGGCCTCCTTGCAAGGTGTCCCCCACGGCTGTGCCACCTGCCCCGCAGCCCTCAGGATGCCAGCCTTTAATCTGGAGACAGTGAGGACACCCATTTGGGGGGTCGGCACAACTCCCTGTGCATCACACACATACACAAAGCCTTGGGATTTCAGGACACAAAAGGACACTAAGCTAGGTTAAAGCCCTCCAGGCTGTGCTTGCTGTGGAAACGTGAGAATTTGGGGAGGGGGGTCAGGGCATTGGACCCCGAGAATTCAGAATGGAATAGAATAGAGCTGGAAGGGACCTTGGAGGTCTTCTAGTCCAGCCCCCTGCTCAGGCAGGAGAACCTATACCACCTCAGACAAGTGACAATTCCCCAAGGGGATTGTCAAAGTGGAGACGAAAAGGCAGGAATGGGGGAGGGGAGTGACACTCCCCTCCCCAAAAGCAAAGCTTCCTTGCCTAAACTTGAAGAGAAGGTTTCCGCCCTGCCTGGAGCATCGGGACGACCACCTGGCACCCTCAATGGCTGGGCATAACCACCCACCCCAGCCTCCTCCCAAATTTTTTTCCCTCCCATGCCCAGGGCCTCACGTCTGAGCTGGTCAGTCCTGGGACGGGACACCACCAGGAAACCCAAGACGTTTAAATTAAGCTAGGAGTCAATGAGGAAGCCAGCAGTAAAGATGTCTCACTTAATGACCACACGGCTGGTCCCAGTTGCTTTGCTATTAAGCGAAGACTACCTGTTGCGCTCCAAAAGTTGGCAGATATGTTTCCTCCCCCCCCCCCAAAAAAATCCGGGGGTCTTGAGGAAGGGTCTGGAGCAGGGCGGGGCAAGTAGGGCAACTCCCAAAGTCCCTGAGCTGGCCAAGCGGGCAGGTCGTAAAGTTGCCACCGTTGCCCACCCCCCACTCCCACCCCACTCCGGTCCTGAGGAAGGAGCAGCAGCCTTACGCACGCCCTCCCAGGTGATTCACGAGCCCATCAGCCCCGTCCCCAGGCTGGGCAGAGAAGAACACCTGGGCTTATCTTGTTTGCTCAACTGGGCAGTTCCGAGGGTGCCACTGCCGTGCCCGGCCCGTTGATAAGGCTCCCGGATTGCTCTCGGCCATGCCCGAAACCGATTTCCCGATAAGCCCTTTCGCTCGCTGGGAACAAAAGTCCTTCCTGTGTGCTTTCATCACACACACACACACACACACACACACACACACACACACACACACACCCTGTGGTGACTTCCGAGGTTGGTTTTTCGGGCCAAGCAGGTGATAAAAAGAGAAGCGGTGAAAAGTCGTGTCAGGCAGGCAGAGGGGCTGCCCCAGCTTTACCCCCCAACCGGTGCCCGTCCCTGAGAAAGGTCAGCCTCACCCACAAGTGGCACAGTCCTGCCCAAGGTTCCAGGGCTCCTGTCCCCTGGCACGAAAGTCCGGTGGCTGGGCCGGCTCAGCCGGGGACAGGGAGGGAAGGTGAGGGGTGGGCCCTGCTGGTGGCAGCCATTTGTTTGGGATGGCCTGCCTGAGCAAGGGGCTGGACTAGAAGACCTCCAAGGTCCCTTACAGCTCTATTCTATCCTATCCTATCCTCCTTCTATTCTATTCTATTCTATTCTATTCTATTCTATTCTATTCTATTCCATTCCATTATTATTTTATTCTATTCTATTCTATTCTATTCTATTCCATATTTTCTATTCTATTCTATTCCATTCCATTATTATTTTATTCTATTCTATTCTATTCTATTCTATTCCATATTTTCTATTCTATTCTATTCTATTCTATTCTATTCCATATTTTCTATTCTATTCTATTCTATTCTATTCTATTCTATTCCATTCCATATTTTCTATTCTATTCTATTCTATTCTATTCTATTCTATTCCATTCCATATTTTCTATTCTATTCTATTCTATTCTATTCTATTCTATTCCATATTTTCTATTCTATTCTATTCTATTCTATTGTATTCTATTCTATTCCATTCCATATTTTCTATTCTATTCTATTCTATATTCTACATTCTATTCCAGTGATGACGAACCTTTTAGAGACTGAGTGCCCCAACTGCAACCCAAAACCCACTTATGTATCGTCAGATGCCCGGTGGACGTGGCCCATTGGGTGGGTGTGGCTGCGGTGGAAATGGCAGACTGAGTGGGACTAAAAAGTTCAATCTATCAATTCCAACTTTGCGAGATCTTTTTTTTCGTGCAAGAAGTTGAAATTGATTGATTGAACTTTTTTTTTTTGCACACGGCGGCCTAAAGCGAAAAGGTTTTGTACAACCCAGCTGAAGGCCTAGGACTGGGGCGATGGCACGTGTGCCCACAGAGAGGGCTCTGAGTGCCGCCTCTGGCACCCGTGCCATAGGTTCGCCACCATGGCTCTATTCTATTCTCTATTCTGCATCCTATTCTGTTCTCTTCTTATTCTATCCTACCTTTCCCTTTCTTATTCTTAGCCTGGGCCACAGCTGCTTCCGCACCCACCAGCCGTGTCCCCACAGAAAGCAGGTGCACAAGGAGCAGGCATGGCCCCCTCTTCTCGCACCCTCCCATCCCCCCATCCAGGCCCTCACCTCCTGGGGGTCCACGATGCAGTAGTGGTAGAGATACTGGTTGTAGTAGGCTCCCCCGGCGTAGATCTGGTTGCACATGGCCAGCATGGGGTTGTAGCTGCCGGACATCTGGGCCTGGGGGTTGACCCCCATGATGTAGACGATGGAGGCGATCAGCATGAGGAAGGCCATCAGGGGGCAGACCACCAGGACCACCAGGTAGAAGCGCCTGGACCGGGCCCCGCCGGACTTGGTGAGGCTGGTGATGGCCAGGGCCAGCAGGGCGATGAAGCACAGCACCGACATGGAGATCATGAAGCCGTTGGCCGCGCGGGGGTTGGTCATGCCCCCGTAGTAGCCCCCCATGCCGTAGCCGCCATAGTAGCCACCACCCAGGCCTCCGCCGTAGTAGCCGCCCCCCAGGCCCCCGCCGTAGCCCCCGCCGTAGCCTCCCATGGTGCCGCCGTAGATCCCCCCATAGCCGTAGTCCCACATGAGGGTGGAGGCCACGCAGGCGAAGATGGCCACGCAAAGGAGGATGCCCAGCCCCTCCAGGATCCGCACCACCCTGGGGGGGGAGGTCCACTTGTAGAAGTGCTGAGGCTGGTCCTCCACGTAGTAGGAGCCCGGGGGGGGCGACTGGATGGGGTACCCGTAGTCCTCCCCAGGGGGGCCGTAGCCGGCAGGGGGGCTGTCGTAGGGCTTCTTCGGGCTGAACATCCTTGGTGCAGAATGGCGGTCAGGAGCCTCAGAGGAGTCCCAGGTGCTGCGGATGGGGGGGGCCCCAGAGCCCCGTCAAGATTCACGGAGCAGTCAAAAGGCTCCTGGGCCAAGTCCGGCTGGCTCTGCCAAAGACAGGAGGAAGAGAAAGTCAGCATCCCTTCTGGTGTCCTTGGGCACTTCTGGCACCCACCCAGTGTCGGTCAGATGTGAACTGGACTGGAACAAATATCTGAGGGGGGGCAAGAAATTCAGCACAGATCTCTTCCCCCAAATATTAAGGATAGCCGAGGATCTGCCTGGACACTGCATGTTGGGACCTTAAAAAAAAAAATCTATTCCCTCTACACTGTTGGTAAGCACAGCAATTTTCTCTACATCAGTGGTTCTCAACTTTTTAATGCCGCGACCCCAACCGGTCGTAAGTCGAGGACTACTCAACTGGTGCAGCCCCGTTTGCAGAATGGGGCTTTTGGCGGGCTCAGCAGGGCAGAGACAGCCTGGACAATTCCTATTGGCTTTGGAAAGCCAATAGAATTAGACTCTATTCAAGAGAGTCTCTTCTATTGGCTTTCAAAAGCCAACAGAATAAAAGGGAGTAGCACAGCTAAGGAAAAGGGGGGGAAAAATGGCGGACTGCGTTGTTTGACGACCCCCGTGAAATGGTCGTTCGACCCCAAATGGGGTCCCGACCCACAGGTTGAGAACCAGTGCTATACATTGTCCTGCCTGAGCAGGGGGTTGGACTAGAAGACCTCCAAGACCCCTTCCAGTTCTGTATTCTAGGTTCTATGTTGTTGGTTGTGAAAAAAGAGCCACAATGGGTGGGAGACACCCATCCCTGGGCGACTGGGTGTTATTCCCTTTCCAGTGTCCCGGAGGAGGGGCCAGAGGTGCCCCTCCCACCGTTATGCTGCCAAATAAGGCAGGCCAAAATCCTTGCTCCGGTGACTTCAGCGATGTGTTCTCGGCCACGGGGCGTGGGCGTTCCCGGCCTCTCAGGGTGGGTTTGTGGCACTTCCTGGGCTCCCAGCCAACCTTTAAGGGTGAGAGCAGGTAAGGAGAATCCCCAGTAAGTAGCCCTGAGGACGGGAGACAGGGACGTCGAAGTATCACAAAGCCCATCAGAGGGCAGCTGGGGCCCAGGGGCTCCTCCTGCTGCTTCTGTCTAATGCTACCAGAGGTTTTTCAAAATTCAGCAGCTCAGGGTAACATTACAAATTGATCTTTATTTTTATCACCATCTTTTCGATCTAGAGCAGTGGTTTTCAACCTTTTTAATGCCGCAACCCCCAACTGGTCGTAAGTCGAGGACTACTCAACCGGTCGTAAGTCGAGGACTACTCAACCGGTGCAGCACCGTTTGCAGAATGGGACTTTTGGCGGGCTCAGCAGAGCAGAGACAGCCTGGACAATTCCTATTGGCTTTTGAAAGCCAATAAGACTCTATTCGAGAGCGTCTATTCTATTGGCTTTCAAAAGCCAATAGAATAAAAGGGAGTAGCACAGCTAAGGAAAAGGGGGGGAAAAATGGCGGACTGCGTTGTTTGGCGACCCCCGTGAAATGGTCGTTCGACCCCAAATGGGGTCCCCACCCACAGGTTGAGAATCACTGCTCTAGAGTAACCGCCTCTCATCTGCTGCTTGCCTGGTTTTTATAAAGCCTGCAGGATCCCTCTTAATTGCAAACGGTATAGCCGTAGCCGTAACCTATTTCTCACACTGCTGTCAAAGGTCGATTTGTAATGTTCTCCTCCGATGCTGTCACTGGAGGGCTGAACATGGCCTGCCCTGCCCCAGACTTTGGGGTCTTCGGCTTTTGTCTTCCTGAACCGGAGAATGGGCAGATTGATTAAATTTGCAGATGGCACAAACTGGGGCTGCCAGTTCTTTAGATCGGCGCTTCCTGGCAACTTTAAGAGGCCTGGACTTCCAACTCCCACAATTCCCCAGTGAACAACCCCAGATCCTGGTTGGCCACAGGTCAGCATGATAAAAAGAATAAATATAAAAACAGTTAAAATTAGAAAAAAATTAAAGAGAGACGAAAAACCCAGAGGACCAGTGGCAGAGGGGCAGGGTTCTTTCTCTGACCCCATCAACCATCTCCCACAGTGCCACTCTGGGAAAAATGGTGGCAGCAAAGCGTCGCCCTCAGTGGGGGCACCCGATCTTCCCCGCAGCGTGCCTGCTGCGGCCGCAGGGTAGGTGCCAAGAGGGTGCAGAACAGCCTCTGCCCTTCTTAGTGAAGGCTGCCTTGACCTTCAGCTGCTGCTGGCGATGGTCAGACGTGGCTGAATGCCCGGCAAGCACAGCCCGAGCCATGGCTCTCTCGGCTGCCCATTCCCGCCCTGGCACTGGGGGAGAGGCCCCCTTGCAAAGCCCAGCTGGATCTCTCCAGTCAAGGCTGGCGCGTCCACCGGACAGTCCTAACTGCAGTGGGGAAACTCAAAGACTTCTCCTGGCGGAGGGGGATTCCAAAAATCTTGGGCGCTCCATCACTAGAAGTTTTTTAAGAAGAGGCTGGACAGTCACTTGTCTGAGATGAGATAAGTCCTCCTGCTTGAGCAGGAGCTGGACTAGAAGACCTCCAAGGTCCCTTCCAGATTCTATTCTATTCTAAGAAACTTGCCAATGGTGAGAACTAATAAGCAGTGGAACAGCTTGCCACCAGAAATTGTGGGTGCTTCCTCACTGGAGGTCTTTATGAAATAGAATAGGGTCTCCTGCTTGAGCAGGGGGTTGGACTAGAACAGGGGTCCCCAACCCCCGGTCCGTGGACCAGGCCGTGGCATGCCAGCAACTGGTCTGCACAAACAAGCAAAGTCCCATCCACAGGATGCAGGCAGCACACAAAACCACACACCCTCCGGTCCACAGAAAAAAACTCTCTCCACGGAACAAGTCCCTGGTGCCCATATTTAAGTGATTGTCCACCAGGACTCCGAGATCCCTCTCACAGTTACTACTATTGAGCAAAGTACCCCCTATACCAGGGGTAGGCAACCTTGGCTCTTTTATGACTTGTGGACTTCAACTCCCAGAATTCCTGAGCCAACATGGCTCAGCTTGGAAACCTCTCCCTTTCCCCTCAGCTTGGCTGGCTCAGGAATTCTGGGAGTTGAAGTCCACAAGTCATAAAAGAGCCAAGGTTGCCTACCCCTGGCCTATACTATATCTGTACATTTGGTTTTTCTTTCCTAAATGTAGAACATGCCTTTTTTCACCACTGAATTTCATTTTGTTAGTTAGTGCCCAGTGTTCAAGTCTGTCCAGATCCTCCTGTATCCTAAGCCTGTCTTCTGGAGGGTTGGCTATTCCTGCCAGCTTGGTGTCGTCTGCAAATTTGATGAGTTCCCCAACTATCCCTTCGTCCAAATCGTTGATGAAGATGTTGAAGAGCATTGGGCCCAGAACAGAGCCCTGGGGCACCCCACTACATACTTCTCTCCATGTAGATGCGGTTCCATTGAGGACCACTCGCTGAGTACGGCTGGTCAGCCAGCTACAGATCCATCTGGTGGTGGTTCTGTCTACCCCACATTTTTCTATCTTATCAAGTAGTAGGTTGTGATCTACTTTATCAAATGCCTTACTGAAGTCCAAGTAAATTATGTCAGCAGCATTCCTCTGATCCACTAATTTTGTCTGAAAGAAAGAAAGAAAGAAAGAAAGAAAGAAAGAAAGAAAGAAAGAAAGAAAGAAAGAAAGAAAGAAAGAAAGAAAGAGAAAAATTTGGCCAAAAGGGTGGGCGAGGAGGTGAAGGGGGGTCTGTGGACTGCTGCTCCTAATCCTGATGCCCTGATTGGAAAAGAGGCAGAGGTTCACCCTGCATAGTGCCATTCCCCCCCCCCCCCATGGAACAGTCCCATGAGCAGGACACATCTCCCCCCAAAAAATCCCTGGGACCAGGAAGCAGCCCCGCCCTCCTTTCTCCAGGAGCTGCGCTGGCTGTTCCCGAATGCTCTGGACACACTTTGCTCCCATCCCAGGGCTGCTTACCCCACGTGCCCTCCTCCACCTCCACTTCCTTGCCAACCGGCGGTTCCCTTGGGACCCAGCTGCTCCGTGCCAGAACGGGTTCTGTCGGCCTGCCTGCCTGCCAAATCCCCGCGGGTTGCTTTGCAACTCTGTCTCCAGATTTCAAGGTTGTTCCTGGAAGCCACAAAGGGAAAACAAAAGTCTGGCTGTGCCTGGCCTCTCCCTGGCTCAACCCGGGAGGCCCTCAGCGCTTCCTTCTCTGCCACCAGCAGGCACGCTGGGGGGGGGGCTTCTTCTGCCCCCACCCCCTGCGAAACCACAGAGCTTCCCCCACTTCTGTGGGTTGAATTTTAACACAAGAGGCAAGTCTCTAGGAGGGCACAGTTATCCTGTGGTAAGATGGGCAGCCGATGATAGAGGATGACAAACAGACAGACAGACAGATGATGGATGGAGAGAAAGAGAGAGAGAGAGAGAGAGAGAGAGAGAGAGATATGATATAGATATAGATAGATGATAGATAGATAGATAGATAGATAGATAGATAGATAGATAGATAGATAGATAGATAGATAGATAGATAGATAGTTGTTTTTTGAGGTTTTTGCGGGTGTTTGTATGTAGGTCTTTGGTTATTCGGGTTTTCTCCCACATAAAATTGGAAGTGTCTTGGCGACGTTTCAATGACGTTTCGGCTTCGTGCTTCTAGGAGCAATGAGCTCCTAGAAGCACGAAGCGGAAAGCACCAGCCTGAAGATGACGAATGAGACTTCGTCGAAACATCGCCAAGACACTTCCAATTTTACGCCCAAATAACCAAAGACCTACATACATAGATAGATATAGATATATAGATGATGGATGGATGGATGGATGGATGGATGGATGGATAGATAGATATGATATAGATATAGATGATAGATAGATATAGATATAGATAGATGATGGATGGATAGATAGATAGATAGATAGATAGATAGATAGATAGATGATAGGCAGATTATAGTTAGATAGATCAATAGATCAATCAATCCATTTAGAGCAAGCCACATCCCCAGCCGTGGGCCCTTCCAGGAGGACCTGTTGGCTCCACTGAGCCCTGAAGGAAGGGAATAATAATAATAATAATAATAATAATAATAATAATAATAATAATAATAATAATAGTAAAGTTGGAAGGGACCTTGGAGGTCATCTAGTCCAACCCCCTGCTCGGGCAGGAAACCCTACACCATTTCGGACAAATGGCTGTCCAGTCTCTTCTTAAAAACTTCCAGTGTTGGAGCATTTACTGCTTCTGGAGGCAATCTGTTCCACTGATTAATTGTTCTAACTGTCAGGAAGTTTCTCCTTAGTTCTAGGTTGCTTCTCTCCTTGATTAGTTTCCACCCGTTGCTTCTTGTCCTGCCTTCAGGTGCTTTGGAGAATAGCTTAATTCCCTCTTCTTTATGGCAGCCCCTGAGATATTGGAACACTGCTATCATGTCCCCCCTTGTCCTTCTCTTCGTTAAACTAGACCTACCCAATTCTAGCAACCGTTCCTTATATGTTTTAGCCTCCAGTCCCCTAATCAGCTTTGTTGCTCTTCTCTGTACTCTTTCTAGAGTCTCAACATCTTTTTTACATCGTGGTGACCAAAACTGGATGCAGTATTCCAAGTGTGGCCTTACCAAGGCATTAAAGAGTGGTATTAATACTTCACGTGATCTTGATTCTATCCCTCTGTTAATGCAGCCTAGCACTGTGTTGGCCTTTTTGGCAGCTGCAGCACATTGCTGGCTCATATTTAAGTGATTGTCTACTAGGAAGGCCTGAGGGATGGGAATCCAGGGCTTTGCTAATTCCACCAGGGGTCACAGGACCCCTTTGGGGCTTTGTGGGGCCCAGCCCAGCCTTGAGATTTCCACTGAGGCTTCCTGGCTGAGCCCCCAATCTTTTCTTCCTGCCAGGGCCCCAATCCTGGGCAGTTTCTCAAGCATAAAGAGCTTACTTAAGCTGTGTGGGTCTCTGCCCCCCTCCCCCCAGACACCGAGGCCAGGCAACCACCCTCATCCAAGTGAGGGAGCGTTTATTGCTTCCACTTATCAGCCCTTCACAGCAGTAGTTCTCAACCCTTTTAATGCCGCGACCCCCAACCAGTTGTAAGTCGAGGACTACTCAACCGGTCGTAAGTCGAGGACTACTCAACTGGTGCAGCACCGTTTGCAGAATGGGACTTTTGGTGGGCTTAGCAGGGCAGAGACAGCCTGGACAATTCCTATTGGCTCTTGAAAGCCAATAGGATTAGACTCTATTCAAGAGAGTCTATTCTATTGGCTTTCAAAAGCCAATAGAATAAAAGGGAGTAGCACAGCTAAGGAAAAGGGGGGAAAAATGGCGGACTGCGTTGTTTGGCGACCCCCGTGAAATGGTGGTTCGACCCCAAATGGGGTCCCGACCCACAGGTGGAGAACCACTGATTCAGTTTCTTCCCCAGCATCTCCCGCTCCGGGTGCCTCTTGCAGGGACTCAAGGAAGCACCGTGGTTACAAGCAAGTAATCAGATTGCTCTTTAACCCATAAATTTGGACCCCTTTGCTTCTGAGCAATCAATCAATTAATCAGAATAGAGCTGGAAGGGCCCTTGGAGGTCTTCTAGTCCAACCCCCTGCTCAGGCAGGAGACCTATACAATTTGAGGCAGATGGCTGCCCAGTGTCTTCTTAAAAACCTCCAGTGATGGAGCCCCCACGATTTCTGAAGGCAACTTTTGTTCCATTGGTTAATTGTCCTCACTGTTAGGAAATTTTTCCTTAATTCCAGATTGCTTCTCTCCTTGATTAGTTTCCATCCGTTGCTTCTTGTCCTGCCTTCTGGTGCTTTGGAAAACAAGTCTACCCCCTCCTCATCTTTGTGGCAGCCCCCCAAATACTGGAATACTCCTATCATGTCCCCCCCTGGTCCTTCTTTTCTCTGGACTGGCCATTCCCAAGTCCTGCAACTGCTCTTCCTATGTTTTAGTCTCCAGGCTTTTAATCATCTGAGTTGCTCTTCTCTGCACTTTTTCCAAAGCCTCATCATCTTTTTTGTAATGTGGTGACCAAAACTGGATGCAGGTATGGTTTGACTAAGGCTTTATAAAGCAGCACTAATACTTCACGTGATCTTGATTCTATGCCTCTGTTTCTACAGCCCAGGATTGTTAATACTATACAATCAAGGACCAGTCCAGCGTTTCTTTTTCTGCATGTGCATAAAAGAAGGGTTAACCCAGAGGGGGGTACCTGGGAAACAGGCCCCAACGGAGGGCAGGAGGAAAAGGCCCCATCCCAACTCTGTGGGGCGCCCCAGACTGGCCAGAGTGCAGGGGCTGCGGGCAGGGCTGGAGGAGGAGGAAGAGAAGGAGGAGGAAACCCAGTGAGACCTGGGATGGATAAAGGGCCCATTCAGAGGAGACAGGTGAGCAGAAGCCAGCCCCAGGGGTGGGGGAGGGGGGGCATCTACAAAAATGATCTTTCAGGATGAGGAAAAGTCAGCCTACATTTTGTTCTCCCTATCTTAGCTATAAAACTGAATGTTGTTTTCATTTACTACAGGGAGCAGAGATTTATTATTTGATGGATTTTACAGCCGCATTTGTGTTTATGATCTTAACTGGTGCAGCCTTTTGGGTGGGGCACACGATAAAAACCGGAAAGCCCCCCCCCCCGCCCGCCCAGAAAAGCTGCAGAGCCACCAAGAAGCTGCATCCCAAAACTGGCCTGGGGGAGCTTAAATAGCCTTGCAAGGCAGCCAGTTTCCCTCCCCCCCCATCTCAGAGGCCAAGGCCAGCCCTCCCCTCCCCTCCCCACCGCCGTGGAAAAGAGAGAAACTTTACCCACGTGGCCCCCCCTCCCTCCCCCCCACTTCTGGCTGAGCCTCCAGACTGCAACCTGCTGGGATCACACAGCCGTCTCCCCCCCCCCCCCAACCCGGAGGCTCCGGCGGGCAGATCTGTGAAGCTCGCTCGATTGATGCCCGGCCAAATTCCGGAGAGTCTCCCCCCCCCCCATAGCGGTGCGGACGTGCGCGGACGTGTGTCTTCGAAGGGCCCCCGCGGCTCCGGGGTACAAAGCAGCGCGGAGCCGGGCTGGGCCGGTCGGCGGGCAGAGGGCGAAAGAATTCGGGGCGGGAAGGCAGCCCCGCCGCCCGCAGAGGGGAGACGGGCGGACCCTCCCCGCCGCGGAGCCCCCGCCGCCCCTTCGCCGCTCCAGCCGCTAAGGAGGAGACGACCCGCCGCTCTGCGCGCGGCCCTCGGCCCGGGAGCTGAGGACCGTCATCCACAGCCACCTGGGAGGGATGGGAAGCGGAGTCCCTGGGCTCTGCTTTGCTTTGCTTCGCCCGGCGCCCCTCGCACCCCGCCGGCCTTTGCTCGTCCCGCCGTCCCGCTCCAGGAAGTGAGGCGGCGCGCTGGTTTCCCGTCTAACGGAAAGGCTGGGAATCAGGTTGAGCGGGTCTCGCTCCCGGCGGGGAGTTTGCCCGGGAAGGAAGGAAGGAGGGAGGGAGGGAGGAAAAGAGGGAAAGGGAAGAAAGGAAAAGAGAGAGAGAAAGGAAGGAAGGAAGGAAGGAAGGAAGGAAGGAAGGAAGGAAGGAAGGAAGGAAGGAAGGAAAAGAGAGAAAGAGAAGGAAGGAAGGAAGGAAGGAAAAGAGAGAAAGAGAAAGAAGGAAGGAAGGGATGGAACAAAGGAGGGAGAAAGAAAGAAAGAGAAAGAAAGAAAGAAAGAAAGAAAGAAAGAAAGAAAGAAAGAAAGAAAGAAAGAAAGAAAGAAAGAAAGGAGGGAGGGAGGGCAGACAGAAGATGGAAGGAGAGGAAGAGAAGGAATAAAAGAACAGGGAGGGTGGAATAACGGAGGAAAGAAGAAAAGAAAGGATAGGAAGAAAAAAGGGTGGAAGAACAGAAGGAAAGAGAAAGGCAAGAAGGAGATAGGAAGAAAGGAAGGAGAAAGGAAGGAAGAAGGGAAGAATTTAAAGAATGAAGGAGGAAGAAAGACACACAGAGAGAGAAGGGAAGAAACGGGGGGGGGGTCCCTGGAGCGGAATCAGCAGCTCCCGGGCGCGATGAGGGAAGGGCAGCCCGCCCCGGGAGGCCAGGGTGCGCGTTCAGCGCCGGCCTTCCTGCTCCCGGCCTTCGCCGCGCCTCCCCCACCACCGGGCGCCAGCAAGCGGGGCAGAGGCGGGGAGCGGAGGAGCTGAGGCGCTCCGGTCCCCGCCAGCCCATCCAGAGCCCCTCCGGAGCTGCCGATCGGCGAGGAGCGCCGCTGCCCCCCCCCCAGCCCGCCCTGCCCGGTGCCCGGGCTCCCCGCAGCGCCGCCTCGCCCGGGGCCGCCTGGGCGCCCGAGGGCCCCGCCGGGCACAGGCAGCCCGAGGGAGGCGGCCAAGCGGGGGGAGCGAACCGGGCCTCCTAGCGCCCCTCTCCCGCGCCCCCCCCCCCGCTCAAGGGGCTCCGAGCGCCGCCCGCCCCGCACCTGCCGCGATCCCGGCCTCACCTGGCTGCGCGCGCGGCCTGGCCGGACACCGGGCGCAGGACTGGCGGCCTCCGGAGGCCTCGGCGCCGGCGGCGGACTGAGCCAGCAGGGGCGGCTGCGCGGCCCTCCCCCTCCCCGGAGGCCACACACGCCCCCGCCCCGCCCCTCCTTCCACCTGGCCGGCGCCCCGCCCCTCCGCGGGGCCCATCCCGGCTGGCGGGGGAGGGAAGGGCGGCGGGACCCCCGCCCGAGCGCCCCACGGCCGCCTCCCAGGCCCCCTAACCCCCCCCCCAGAAGCGCTCCCGGAGGCTTCGGGACTCTGCGGCCCAGGAGCGGCGGGGGACGCCGGCAGCCCTTCGCTTCCGCCCCAAAAGCCCGGGTGGCCGCCTGGGCGCGATGGGAACTGTAGTCCCGGAGCCCCGGGCTGGGAGCGGCTGCTGGGTAGAGGCGGCGCGGGAAGCCGGCCCAGATCGGCCGGGCTGAACGCGGAGAGTTTCCGATCTTCGTGGCGTTTCCCGGGGCTGCGCTGGCTCAGCGGCCGCGCGTGGAAGCGGGGCAAGGCGGGCGAGGGCGGCGTCCTTGGCGCTCTCGGGGGCTCGCAGAGCTTTGGTTGACCGAGCGGCTAACCGGTTAACGAGGCTGGCAGAGGAGGTTAACGTGTTCCCCGGTTGGGTCATGAAACGTCTGGAAGGAAACGGCCACGATTCAGAGATTCTCTGGAGCCAAGTTTGTGCCGAGCCGGAAGAGCCGGACACACACCGCACAACCAACTTATCTGAAGTGACTCCTGCCTGACACCCCACACACAAACACACACACACACCACACCTAAATTTCACCACCTTTGTTGATAAGGCTTGAAATCCTTTTTCCCGGCTCTGCTTCCTGCTCTGCCAGGAGGAAATCCAGGCTTTAATGCTCCCAGAAGGGGGGAGGGGGGAGAGAGAGCGAGAGAGAAAAAAAAGTGGAGACCCTCCCCCTGGCAAGCAAGACCCTCTGCTCAGTCTCCTGGTTGAAGCCCCTTTGACCTAACCGGGTCTCCTGCCTTCCCACAGAGTGGAATATTATATTTCAGCATGACTGGTCACTTTCCCCCAAGGCTCCAGCAATTTCAACTCCTTCTATCACTTCTTCCCTATTAGTAAGAATTAGGTCCAGTGTAGCTTTACTTATAGTTCTCTCCTCTAACTTTTGGGGGACAAAATTGTCAGCTAAGTTGGTTAAGAATCTGTTTGATCTTCCACTTGGTGCAGAGTTTGTCTCCCTGTTGATTTCAGGGTAGTATAATAATAATAATAATAATAATAATAATAATAATAATAATAGTAGTAGTAGTAGTAATAGTAATAGTGATGATGTTGATGATGATGATGATAAAATTGGAAGGAACCTTGGAGGTCATCTAGTCCAACCCCCTGCTCAGGCAGGAGACCCGATGCCAGTGATGTCGAACCTTTTAGAGACCAAGTGTCCAAACTGCAACCCAAAACCCACTTATGCATCATCGAGTGCTGGGTGGGTGTGGCCCTTTGGGTGGGCGTGGCTATGGTGGTAACGGCAGACCAGGTGGGACTAAAAAGTTCAATCAATCAATTCCAACTTTGCAAGATCTTTTTTTTCCCCACGAGAAGTTGAATTTGACTGATTGATTGAACCTTTTTTTTTTTTTTTGCACACGGCAGCGGAGGCCTAAAGCGAAAAGGTTTTATAAAACCCAGCTGAAGGCCCAGGACTGGGGCGACGGCGCCCGTGCCCACAGAGAGGGCTCTGAGTGCCGCCTCTGGCACCGGTGCCATAGGGTCGCCACCACTGCCCTATACCATTTCAGACAAATGGCTGTCCAGTCTCCTCTTAAAAACTTCCAGTGTTGGAGCGTTCACCGCTTCTGGAGGCAGGTGGTTCCACTGGTTAATTGTTCCGACTGTCAGGAAGTTTCTCCTTAGTTCCAAGTTGCTTCTCTCCTTGATTAGTTTCCATCTGTTGCTTCTTGTCCTGCCTTCAGGTGCTTTGGAGAATAGCTTGACTCCCTCTTTTTGGGGGAAGCCCTTGAGATATTGGAACGCTGCTATCATGTCCCCCCTCATCATTAAACTAGACATCCCCAATTCCAGCAACCATTCCTTATATGCTTAGTTGAATTCTCCCCTTACTACTGTGGTGTGCTTCCTACATACTGTTTGTTAACTGGTTGGCAAAGAGTCCATCTATTTTTTCTGACTGGTTGGGTGGCCTGTAGTATACCCCTATGGCAGGGGTAGGCAACCTTGGCCCTTTTATGACTCGTGGACTTCAACTACCCCTGCCTATGGCAATGTCACTTTTCCCCACTTTTATGTTGACCCATATAGATTCTGCAAGGGTTTTACCTTTGATTTCTGTAGATAGGTAGCGTTCTCTTACATAGAGTGCAACTTAGTTTCAACTGATTTGCGGATTTGATTTTAAAAAGAGGTCTCTAATTTTGGGGACCCGAGAGGTGCATGCAGAAGCCCAGAGCCCCCCCAAAAACCGCCCCACTGCCTAGAGTCCCTCCTTCCCTCTCTAGCCCTGCCACGCCAGCCAATCCTTTCTTCTGGGTTTCCCCACCAGAGCTGGGGGGGGGCTTTCCAGGGGCGGTTTTTCTTCAGGCAAAGACTGAATTGTGCAGAAAGTCACCCGAATCTCTTCTCTCCACTCTGTATTTCCCCAAAAGAGCTCCGAGGAGCTGCCCAAAGTGGAAAGATTGCCGGTTCTGTGCATCCTGTGGAAGGGCCCCCATCTGCCCTCCCCCCCTTTATTTATTTAGTTATTTATTAAAATTTATAGACCACCCCACTCCCGCAGGATTCCCGGCGGCTTACAATAAAAACACAACATAACAAAACAAACAATACAATAACATTCATCCAGGGGTCGAATTTTATAAACCCCAGGCCTGCCGGGAAAAGCCAGGTCTTAAGCAGCTTGCGGAAAACCAACAGGATGGGAGCGGTCCTAATCTCCAGGGGGAAGCTGGTTCCAAGACGTGGGCGCCATCACAGAGAAAGCCCTCCCCCGCGGCCCCGCCAAATGGCACTGCTTGGCCGACGGGACCTGAAGGAGGCCCAGCCTGTGGGATCTAACCGGATTGGGGTGGGCGAAGGGGGGGCATGAACTGCCCTGAGGCCGACCTGGGGAAGGAGCCTCAGGACGGACGGGGCACCCCCAGCTGCCCGGGAGGGATTGATCCCACGCCGTCAGGATGGCATCACCCCCCCCCCATAGAGAGATTCCCATAGAGAGTCCTCCAGGAGGGTGGAAGCTGGTCCTTCAGCACTCCCAACGGTCAGTCCCGCGGTCCCCCTTCGCCCTGACGGCCGGTCTTCGTCCTCTTCCTCTTTGCCAGCCTGAGGGGCTTTCCTGAAGGGCAGCTGGGTCTGCCGTCTGGCGTCCGAATCCCATTCTCCATGGCCAGGGCTGGGCTTCGGCCCCCTGGTCAAAGAATTGTGGAGGGCTCGCTCCGATCGGAGTCGAAGGTCTGGATCTGAGTCTTGAGATGGGAGAGCTTCTTCCTAAGGTAGTCACAGCGCTCCTGCTTCTCCAGGAAGGAGGGGTCCTGGGAGGGGCAGGGGGGCAAGCGGGGGCAGAGGAAGGAGGGTTGGTCTTGAGGCCGATGCTGCTACTGGTGCCAAAAGCATTCGGCCTCCCTAATTTTAACTTTTTTCCATTACAGGTAGTCCTCGTCTTATCACCCAAAAATTAGGTTGCTGAATGAGACAGCCATGCAGTGAGTTTTGCCCCCATTTTACGACCTTTCCTGCCTCAGTTGTTAAGTGGGTCACTGCAGTTGTTCAGTTACTAACACGGCTGTTAAAAGTGAATTTTGCTTCCCCTCCATTGACTTTCCTTGGTGGAAGTTCGCAAAATGGGGTCACATGACCTGGGGACAATGCGGCCGTCATAAATACGAGTCAGCTGTCAAAGGTCTGAATGTAAATCATGTGACCCTGGGGATGCAGCAACGGTCATAAGTGTGAAAATCGGTCACAAGTCATTTTTTCAGTGCTGTTGTAACTTTGGTCACTAAAGAAGAGACTGGACAGTCACTTGTCTGAGATGGTATAGGTTCTCCTGCTTCAGCAGGGGGCTGGACTAGAAGACCTCCAAAGTCCCCTCCAGCTTCTATTCTATTCTATTCTATTCTATTCTATTCTATTCTATTCTATTCTATTCTATTCTATCATTATTCTGTTTTATTCTATTCTATTCTACTCTGCATTCTGTTCTATTCTATTCTATTCTACATTCTATTCTCTATTCTATTCTCTATTCTCTATTCTCTATTCTATTCTGTTCTACTATTCTGCTTTCTATTCTATTCTATCATTATTCTGTTTTATTCTATTCTATTCTATTCTATTCTATTCTATTGTATTCTTTTCTATTCTATTCTGCGTTCTATTCTGCATTCTGTTCTGTTCTATTCTACATTCTATTCTCTATTCTATTCTCTATTCTTTATTCTCTATTCTATTCTACATTCTATTCTGTTCTGTTCTGTTCTATTCTATTCTGCTTTCTATTCTATTCTATCATTATTCTGTTCTGTTCTATTCTGTTCTGTCATTATTCTATTCTATTCTGCATTCTATTCTTTTCTATTTTGTTCTATAACTATTCTATTCTATTCTATTCTATTCCGTAATTCTATTCTATTCTATTCTATTTTATTCTATTTTATTCTATTCTATTCTATATACTAATCTGTATTCTATTCTCTTCTATTCTGTTCTGTTCTGTTCTGTTCTGTTCTATTCCAAACCATTGCAAGTTGAGAGGTACCCTTGTCCCAGATGCAAAAAACAGCCTTGTGTCTTCACACATTCAGGGTCTGCAGCCCCCAGACCCAAATAGTTCAGGAGCAACCGCATTGGGCATTGCCCAAACCTGCCAGGGGCCAAGAAGGGCTGCCCTTTGCCCCTGCAGGAGGAGATGAGGCCCCCTCAGTAGGGCAGGCAGCTCCCCCATCCTCCATGGGAGACCCCCGCCCCATGAAGCCCCGGCCATTGAGTAACTGGGAAAACAGCCCCCCCCTTACCTTCTTCTTGCCTCTGTACGTCCGCCAAACAGCCGAGAGGCGGCTTTGCTCCTGCAGAGGAGAAGAGAGGTTTGGCTCCTTTAGAGAAGCCCAGAGACCCTTCCCCACCATAGCAGGTTCAGGAAGGGAGCCAAGGGCCCACCCAGGAGAGCTCCCCCAGGCCCTTTGGGTCAGGGGTGACGCAAAGCCCGAGTGGGGCAGCCCCTTAGCAGAACCACCCAGGGGAAGAACTGGGGGGAATGAGGATGTCTGTGGGTCCAGCGCTGCCCTCCGAGCCTGGCCCACAGCCGCTGCTCAGAAGCACCCAGAGCCTCGCAGGCTCAGTGGGGAGCAAAGGGGGCTGGGAAGACTTTGGGGGGGAAGGCAGCTTTGCAACTATCCAGCAACCAAACAGGGCCCCCCCGTGAAGAAAAGAGCTGAATTTCCTGCCAGGAGGGGGGAGTGAATGTGTTGAATGCCATCACAAATCACAAGTACACAACTCCTTGTAGGTGCTCAGGCCCCGCCCCACAGAGGAACCCCCCCCTTCCTCAGGGCATGGCCAGGAATCCATCTTCCTCTCAGCTGTTGTTTTCTGAATTTAATCCTTTTGGGGGGGGTAATTTTATTTGGGCTCCTGACCCCCACACACCCCGTCTGGGAGAGTGCCTCAAGTTCAAAGCCTATTGACCCATTTTTTGACCCGCAAAAACCATTTGGGGGGAAAACCCCTGAAGTTAGCTGAGCAAGAATTGGTACATTCCTCTCTGACTCTCTGCCGAATTGATTTTGCCCCGAAGGATGAAGTGCCTTGGATGAGCAACGAAAGGTCTCCGTTTTGCAAAGTTTGGTCCAGTTGCTGTGATTCAAGTTTTGGACACCTTTAGCAGAAATGGCTAAAATTTCTGCTTATTTAAAGAATCATACTCAAGAAAGATATATTGTAGTATGGAGAAGATAGATAGATTATATTAAGATTAAATATGGAACTGAAAAGTTCCACTTATTTTATGATTAAATAAGTATTCTTAATAATATTTAAATTAATTTTTTCTTTTATTATATAATAATTGATTATAAATGGATTTGTTTATGATATGTTATTAAGGTTCAAAGGGAGTTAAGGTTTAAGTATGATTTTAATGATTGTATAAATTGTTAAACTTGTTTAGCCTATGATTAATATATTTGTTAATTTAATTAGATTATGTTTAATACGTTTGAAATACCCTGTAGTTGGCTCCGGGAAGTCGGGGGGTGGGGGTTGGGGGGAGGGTAAATGGGTTCATTTTATTTTGTAATTTCTAATAAAACTTTTTGAATAATAAAAAGTTTTGGATCCCTTTGGCCTGGAGAATTCACTGACCTATTCAGACCAGGCAAGGAGATTGGCTGCTTTTCAAGCGTGAATGGCTGCCGTAGGCATGGAGGGTGCTAAATTCTGCCCGTTAGAAGCTGCTCCTGGTCCGTATTTGGAAAAGCTCTTTGGAAAACATGGGATCTACTTTAGCATTTATGATTTACTCTCCCTTTTTTATAACTTGAATAAAGTTTGGTGTTCTTTACTCCACTGGACTAAGGCTCCTATGTCACTCTTCTTGGCAATCTTGGCAACTTTAAAACTCCCAGAATTCCTCAGCCAGCTTGGGGACCCCTGCTTCCCTGAATGGGGAGGGACCTTGGAAGTTTTCAACCATTTGCTCAAGCAGGAGACCCTACACTGTTCTGGACAAATGGCTGTCCAGTCTCCTCTTAAAAACCTCCAGTGTTGCAGCACTCATAACTTCTGGGGGCAGGCTGTTCCAGTGGTTAATTGTCCTCACTGTCAGGAAGTTTCTCCTTAGTTCTAGGTTGCTTCTCTCCTTGATTAGTTTCCATCTGATGCTTCTTGTCCTGCCTTCAGGTGCTTTGGAAAATAGCTTGACTCCCTCTTCTTTGGGGCAGCCCCTGAGATACTGGAAGGCTGTTATCATGTCCCCTCTCGTCCTTCTCTTCATGAAACTAAACATACCAATTCCAGCAATTGTTCCTTGTATGTTTTGGCCTCCAGTCCCCTAGTCATCTTTGCTGCTCTTCTCTGCACTATTTCTAGAATCTCAACATATTTTTTTTTACATCGTGGTGACCAAAACTGGCCCATATTTCGAGCAGCTCAGCATATACAGACTTGCATTTTAGGAAGGCCTTTATTTGCCCTATCCTAAAGCACCAGGAAATTGGTCCTAATGTCCTATAACAGTGGTTCTCAACCTGTGGGTCGGGACCCCATTTGGGGTCAAACGACCATTTCACGGGGGTCGCCAAACAACGCAGTCCGTCATTTTTTCCCCCTTTTGCTTAGCTGTGCTACTCCCTTTTATTCTATTGGCTTTTGAAAGCCAATAGAAGAGACTCTCTTGAATAGAGACTAATTCTATTGGCTTTCAAAAGCTAATAGGAATTGTCCAGGCTGTCTCTGCCCTGCTGAGCCTGCCAAAAGTCCCATTCTGCAAACGGTGCTGCACCAGTTGAGTAGTCCTCGACTTACGACCGGTTGAGTAGTCCTCGACTTACGACTGGTTGGGGGTCGCGGCATTAAAAAGGTTGAGAACCACTGTCCTATAATTATTTAGAGGAGAGTCCTAGCTGCCTTGGGGATACGTGCAAAGGCTGACCTCTCTGTTCTGCAGCTGGGCTGGCAACCTGGACATCAGGGCTTCCAGCTCTTTAAATCTCTGCCTCGTGGCCTGAATTTCACGGAAGAGCGACTGGTACTCCAGGTATTGGTCTTTGAAGATGGCCTTGTACTTCTCGCGCTCGGCCGGACTCCCAATGGCCGGGTACCTCCTGTGCGGAGGAGAGAAAGGAAAGGGTCAACGTGAAAGCAGACTCTGCTTTTGGGGAGACTGATTCCATTTGTGCAGTTAATCCCATCTGAATCTCAGAGAGTTCCAGGGCTGGGAGGGGGCATCTGAGACCCCCCCCCGGAGAGCTTGACTCTGCAGTTCCCTGGAGGGGGGCTGATTGCAGGCAGAGGTAGTGAGCTGTAGGAAAGGCTGGAATTGGGCAGAGAGTGCAGCCTGGCTGGCATGGATTCCAGAGGTGGGCGCCCTGCCCGTGCAGCCTCCTCCCTTCCAGGGCACCTTGAAACATCCCACCTGCTCAATTCCAGAGGACATAAAGCCCTGGGGGCTTCCCTGACAGACCCCAGCTGGCAGGGAGGGTTTAAAAAAATCTTTTGATACCTTCCGGTGGACGTAGCATCCTGAATCACCACCAGCCAGGGGCTTCTGAGTGTGATTTACAGGGGTCTCCACCCTTGGCAACTTTGAGACTTCTGGACTTCCAGAATCCCCCAGCCAGCATGGGGAACGTTGCCAAGGCTGGATGTCCCCGTCTTGGGCCAGAGTGTTTTTGATACTTGCATCAAATCAGTTAATAATAATAATAATAATAATAATAATGATTTGATAGGTAGACAAAATGTCAAATCCAGTCTGAACATCTGGCTGACTGTGCGATGATCCATAATAATAATAATAATAATAATAATAATAATAATAATAAAAAGTTGGAAGGGACCTTGGAGGTCATCCAGTCCAACCCCCTGCTCAGGCAGGAAACCCTATACCGTTTCAGACAAATGGCTGTCCAGTCTCTTCTTAAAAACTTCCAGTGTTGGAGTATTTACTGCTTCTGGAGGCAGGTGGTTCCACTGGTTAATTGTTCTCACTGTCAGGAAGTTTCTCCTTAGTTCCAGGTTGCTTCTCTCCTTGATTAGTTTCCATCCGTTGCTTCTTGTCCTGCCTTCAGGCGCTTTGGAGAATAGCTTGACTCCCTCTTCTTTGGGGCAGCCCCTGAGATATTGGAATGCTGCTATCCTGTCCCCCCTCGTCCTTCATTAGACTAGACATACCCAATTCCAGCAACCGTTCCTTATATGCTTTAGCCTCCAGTCCCCTGATCCTCTTTCTTGCTCTTCTCTACACTCTTTGTAGAGTCTCAACATCTTTTTTACATCGTAGTGACCAAAACTGGATGCAGGATTCCAAGTGTGGCCTTACCAAGGCCTTGTAAAGTGGTATCAACCCTTCACGTGATCTTGATTCTATCTCTCTGTGAATGCAGCCTAGCACTGTGTTGGTCTTTTTGGCAGCTGCAGCACATGGCTGGCTCATATTTAGGGGATTGTCCACCAGGACTCTTGAGGTCCCTCTCACAGTTGCTACTATTGAGCAAGGTACCCCCAATACTATACCTGTGCATTTGTTTTTTCTTGCCTAAATGTTTTGCCTAAATTCTTGTCTTGCTTTCCCCCTTAATTAGCTTACACCGCTCCAGAGTTTAAAATATTTTTCCTCTTTGGCTTATAACCGTGAAAACAGCGGCTGAAATGAACAAAAGTTAGGGCGAACCCCAAACTCTCCCTCCCTCTCTCTCTCCCTGGTACTTACACAATATAATCAGGGACGATAAGCGGGTCGGGGTTATGGCCCACCGGGATGGCCCCGTTCAACACCTCGGGTCCTCCTTCCTCCGAGAACATGACGCGCCTGGAGACCCGGCCGGCTGGACGCCCCGTGCCCAGAGGGATCCTCCGGTGCTCAGGGGAACCGCCTTGCGGGAGAACCAGCTTCGGCTGGGGGGGGGGGACAAAGAGAAGGAGGGAGGCAGGTCCCAATATGCCCCCCTCACCAGGAGGACATGACCCCTGCAGCCTTCTTAGCCCCAATCCTTTGCACCCAAGGGCAGATTCGCAACCGAGGGTGCCCGTTTGTTCACAGGGAAAGGGGGGGAAGTCCCCAGTTCCGGGCAACAGGCAACCTGGGGGGGGGGCTCCCTGATTGCCCTGGATACACTGGGAATTGTTTGAATTGAATCAGATACTTTATTTGGCCTAGTGTGGTTAGACAGACAAGAAATTTATCTCCAGGACAGAAGCTTTCAGTGAGAAGAAGGAGGAGGAGGAGGAGGAGGAGGAGGAGGAGGAGGAGGAGGAGGAGGAGGAGGAGGAGGAGGAGGAGGAGGAGGAGGAGGAGGAGGAGGAAGAAGAGAAGGAGAAAGAGAAGGAGGAGAAGGAGAAGAAGGAGAAGAAAGAGAAAGAGAAGGAAGGAGGAGGAGAAGGAGGAGAAGAAGGAAAGAAGGAAGGAGAAGGAAAGAGAAGGAAGAAGGAGCAGGAGGAGGAGAAAAAGAAAATCAATAAAAGGGGAAGTAGAAGATAGCAAGGAGGATAAATAAGAATGATGCAACAGCCACACTACATGGATTAATTAATAGACCTTAAGCAGCACTGAGAGAACCAGCCATTTAGCAGAGTGACGACCAGTGGTAAAAGCCGTCTTTGTGTCTGGTTGTTTTGGTGTGCAATGCCCTGTACAGCGCCATCCTGAGGGGAGGAGTTGAAACAGCTGATGTCCAGGATATGAGGGATCTGCAGGGGTCTCCCTCTGACCTGGCAGTATGCATCTCTCCATCCACATTGCACAGTCTCTCCCACAAGGGTGTGTGTGTGTGTGTGTGTGTGTGTTTGAGGGCTGCCACCCACCCAGGTCTCTTCCACCAATTTCCCTCCCTGGAGACACTGACACCCAGGATGGCAACCAGGAGCCCCTGTGGATCTCCCGGAAGGTGGAGATTTCCCCCCCCATCTATGCCCCATCCAGCAACACCCCCCCTTCACTGACCCCCCCACCCCTTTTCCAGAGGGGTCTTACCGGGAGCAGCATCCTCCGGGCTGCTTCGCGCCGCCACATCTTGAGGGAGACGAGGGAGCCCGTCAGGTACAGCACGGGGGTGAGGAAGAGGAAGGTCGTGGCAGCCACCTGCCCCCCTTCCACCCGGCACAGAGCCATGAGGAGGGGGCCGTAGGCAAAGGCGGAGTAGCAGAGCCCACCCCGGTTGAGGTCATTGATGTAGGCAATGGCGGCCGCCAGGTAGAGCAGGAACATGGACAGGTTGAGGGCAAACTCGGCCAGGGGCCACCAGTGGGAGCGGAGGAGGATGACCCTGTAGTGCGTGGTCACCCCCAGGGCCAGCAGGATGACCGTCAGCAGCCACACCAGGCTGACCACCACCAGCACAAACGGGGTCATTGGGACATAGGAACCGTAGTCCATTCCGGGGAAGCCGTTGCCATAAAACTGGGACCACTGGTAGTCCTTCTGGATGTAGGCCGCCGTGCAGGCGAAGACCGTCCCACCCAAAAGGAGCTCCAGCCCCCCCAGCAGCCGCAGGAGGCCAGGCCAGGACTTCAGGTGGGCGTATTTGTGGTCTCCATAGGCCTCCAGCTTCTCCTTATATGCTGGTGGAGCTGGGGAGGCCCCACCGTGGCTACCGACGGTCGTGCTCTTTCCGGATGTGGAAGAGGTGGTGGCATCTGAGAGGGGTTCCTTACCCTCATCCTTCCTCTCACTACTGGTGGAACCATCCCCCCCATCCAGGGTGGCTCTCTGAGGACCCTCCAAACCTGGTGGGGGGGTTGGGAATCCCGGGGGGTGGGCCAAGGGAGAGGGCTCTTGCGGGGGCCACCTCCACCACGTCCTGAAAGCGTTCTTCCAGGACGGAGGAAAGAAGCGTCGGATGGGCTTCAGAGAGGGCCCTCCCGGGTCCTGAGGTCCATCGGGGAAGGCTGGCCGGGCTGACCATTGGTAGGCACCAGGTGGGGAAGCAGCTGGAGAGCCGGACCAAGAGCTGCGTCCAGAACTGGGGGTCCTCAGTGCCCCTGGATGGAGAGGGCTGGAGGGAAGGCGTGGGTCTGCCCCCAGGTCCACCAGAGGCTGCCTCTCTGCCCCGGCTGAAAGAGGCTTCTCAATGGCCATTGATGCCCCCCCCCTCCAGGCACCACCACGAAGTCTCCTGTGAGGAGGGGGTCTCTCTCTCTCTGCCCCCCCCCTCGTCCCTCGCAGCTTGGCTAAGTCTCGTCCTCAGGGCTGAAATGCTGATTTGGAAAAGAAAAAAAAAGAGAAAGGCTTATCCTAGTAGGGAGATCCTTCCATGAGCCCAATCAAATTAAGAAAAAAGAAAGAAAGAAAGAAAGAAAGAGAAAGAAAGAAAAAAGAAAGAAGGAAGGAAGGAAGGAAGGAGGGAGGGAGGAAGGAAGGAAGGAAGGAAGGAAGGGAAAGAAGAAAGAAGGAAGGAACAAAGAAGGAAGGAAGGAACAAAGAAAGAAAGAAAGAAAGAAAGGAAGGAAGGAAGGAAGGAAGGAAGGAAGGAAGAAAGAAAGAAAAAAGAAAAAAGGAAGGAAGGAAGAGAAAGACGAAAGGAACAAAGAAAGAAGGAAGGAACAAAGAAAGAAAGAAAGAAAGAAAGAAAGAAAGAAAGAAAGAAAGAAAGAAAGAAGAAAAAGGAAGAAAGACGAAACAAAGGAAGAAGGAAGGAAGGAAGGAAGGAAGGAAGGAAGGAAGGAAGAAAGAAAGAAAGAAAGAAAGAAAGAAAGAAAGAAAGATTAGTCGTCTTGGCTAAAAACCTAAAAACTTTCTTCTCTGCTTCTCCCAAACTTCCTGCCTCAACCTTTAACGGGGCTCTTCCTAGGCGGACTTAGAACCAAATAATGGGATGGTGCTCAATGACGGGGCTGTTGGGGTTAGGATCGGGGCCTCGGGGCCGCCCGTCGGTTGGAAAGGGGAGGATCTGACTCCCCCAGGGGGGACCCCCACCCACCCTCTCCCCTCCTCCGGGCCAAGAGGGGAGGCAAGGCGGGAGCAGAGCTGGCGTGGCCCCATCCAAAGGCCCAGAGAGAGAAAGGCAGCTGGCTGTGCCCATGGTGCCAATTGCTGAGACGGCAGGCAGCCCCCGGCCCTTGCCCAGCTCCGCACCCGGCACCTCCCGGCCGACCTCAAGCAAAGGCCGACTCGGCCGGTCTCCGGACAAGGGCGCTGATTGTCCCGGCTGCCCTGAGTCCCTTTGTTTGCTGGGGGGGGGGCTGATAAAGGATACCGAGGGCTCCCGAGAGTGGGGGCTTTGACAAACGGGAGGCATGGGGGGGCATCCGCCTCTCCTGAACCCCCAACCTGCCCAGCGTGTGCTCCAGTAGTTGGTCTGTGCCTCCACCGGGTCCCCCCCATGGGAAAGATCCCACCTCTGGCTTTGCCCATCTGCTCTGAGGCCATCTGACCTTTGATCCCTCTGCCAGGCCCCACTGCCCAGTGGAAGGTCTCTGAGGAGGAGGAGGAAGACAGAGAAGAGGGGAGGAACAAGACGAAGAGGAAGATAGAGCAAAGGAGGAAGAACAAGAAAACAAAGAGGAGGGGGAGGAGGAGAGAGACCCCCTCCCAGCAAGACCACCTCTGGCTGCTCCTTCTCAGTCCACCTCCAGGTGTTCATCTTTCATTCCCCCCCACCGACACACAGCTGGAGGACCCCATGGCTGGACCCTTCCCTCCCCCTGGACGGCCCCCCTACCTTCCACTTGCCTGCGGTTCCCTCTCTGGAGGGGAAGAGGGTGGGGAGGGGGATCCGGGCCGGGCCAGGCCCACTTCAAAGGGCCAGTCAGGAAGCCTGCTGCGTCCTCCTCCCTTCCGCCCAGCCAGGGACGGCTCCGGTCTGCTGGGGCCCTGCTGGCTGTGGTGCAGGGAGAGAGCTGGGCTCCAAGTGAGCATCTTATCGGGCTCCTGGGAGGTTAATGATTAACTGCAGCCCAGCCAGAAGGCTGCCCGAGAGGAGAGCACCAGGCCCAGAGCGGGGCAGGGCGAGCTGGGCAGGAGCCCCCGAAGGACCCCGAATTTCCCCATTTCACTGCGGGGCCCAGAGGCCCATGGGGCAGTGCCCAGGGGGTCTCGATTGCAAGAGCCACTTTGCAAGGGACCCATGGATTTAAAAACAAACCAGCAAAACATTAATACTACTTTAAAAATGATTCTTAATGTGTTTGGGGTAAATTGCCATTGTAAGTAAAACTTTTAGAATAGAATAGAATAGAATAGAATAGAATAGAATAGAATAGAATAGAATAGAATAGAATAGAGCTGGAAGGGACCTTGGAGGTCTTCTAGTCCAGCCCCCTGCCCAATCAGGAGAACCTATACCAGGGGTAGGCAACCTCGGCTCTTTTATAACTCATGGACTTCAACTCCCAGAATTCCCGAGTCAGTAGCTGACTCGGGAATTCTGGGAGTTGAAGTCCATGAGTCATAAAAGAGCCGAGGTTGCCTACCCCTGACCTATACCATCTCAGGCAGGAGATTGTCCAGTCTCTTCTTAAAAATCTTCTTGATGTCTACAATTAAAAGTAATAAAATTCTGAGCTCCGAGTAAGAAAAAAACCCACAACACGCAGACCTTTAAAGTGTTTATTTAGAAATGATATCCCGTTCTGGAGCCTTCAAAGGGCTTGCATAAAAAATTAAAAACCGAAACCGGCTCCCAAATCATAAATCGATGTGCAAAATAAAATGGCAAGTCTATTTTAGTGCTTCCTCTCCAGCTCTTTATAACTAAATCATAAAAGGCTGTCTCGCTTATTGCCCGCAGAGCCTGCAGTTTGCTTTAAGGTGGGCTCGCGAATGTTTTGGAGGCTTCGCCGGGGGACGCCTTAAACCGTAACTCCTGTGTGGGTCTCTCTCTTCCTGTAAATGGTCTGGATTGCCTTTTAAGATAAGGATGCCACAGGAAATCAATACACAAGAAATTATTCATAGGGTCGGTTCATAAGCATTCCTGGCAGTCCTCCACTTACGAACGTCATTGGGACTAGAATGTCTGTAACTAAGCAAGGCAATTTTGATTTTACGACCTTTTTTTTTTTGACATGGCTGTTAAACAAACCACTGTGGTTATTAAGCCAATTATAGGGTCATTAAGAGAATGTGGCTCCTCCCATTCGGAAGTCGTAAATGGCTTTAGGATGCCACCAGTACAGGCCAATTGCCGAGTGCCCAGATTTTGATCATGGGGATGCTGTGACGGTCGTTAAGTGCGAGAACCAATCGTAAGTCACTTATTTTCAGCGCCGTCGTAACTTTGAGGGATTGCTAAACAGTGGTTGTAAATTGAGGACTGCCTGAATATCTATCAACCCTCAAATCATTTTTATATCATGATAATTTCTTATTATAATCAGGCAGAAAATATAAAACACCGCAGAAAAGCATGATTACATTTGCGCCGATTACAGAACGCTGCAAAGCGTGCGGTTGTGTTAGCTTAGTGCGTTTCTATTTCACACAAGGCTAAAAAAACAAATTTGCAACTTTAGCTTGGTGTGAGGGTTATCTTTGATTTCGCTGAGATCCTTTGGGTGTTGTGTAATTTAGGGGTGCTCAACCTTGGCGACTTTAAGACTTGTGGACTTCAATTCCCAGAATTCCTCAGCCAGCAAAGCTGGCTGAAGAATTCTGGGAGTTGAAGTCCACAAGTCTTAAAGTCACCACGGTTGAGCACCCCTGGTGTAATTAGGGATCTCAGCGTATAAGAGAGGGGGGGGGGAAAGGCGCAGATACCCCGGAAGCGCCATTGAAGCAAAGATAAATTCTTTCCTTGCCATCCTTAAACTTGCAGTTTTCTAGGATGCCCAAGGAGCCGGCTTGGCCAGGATTTCAAACCGATTTCACCCCAATCCACATTTTCCAGACTGGGGTGCAGGCGGAACCCAGCTGTCTTTCGGGTTACACGCTTCCCTTTTACGCGATGCCCATTCTGGACTCCAAAAGTATCAAAAATGCATAGAAAAGTATTCATCAGGATCAAACTCATATAAAAATTGTGTATTCCATGAGAAAGTACTTTTGAAATAAGCCTCTAAAAATATTTCTGCGTGGTTTTATAAAACGGACCGATGCGGAACGCAAAACAGAGACGAAAGGAGCGAAGCGAAGCCCTGGTGGTGATGGGTGTCAGGAATGGTATCAGCCAAGACAAAAAGGGGAGGGTCTCCGAGCGAGTTGCATACTTCCCAAGGGGGGGGGGGTTAATATGGCCGGCGGCCTTAATGGCTCAAACTGGAGCCCTAAGAAAGAAACCAGTTCATTCCCTTTTGGGAAATTGTGATATAGGAAGGAGCCGGAAGGAATCTGTGAATCTAATCAGCTGCCCCCCCCCCACATACATTCCTCTTCCCATAAATTTTAGGAGCAAATCTGTGCAGGTGTTTCCTCTCCTGTGTATGACCCCCCCCAAATACCTGATGTTCACCCTTTGTTCCAGTAACTGACCCTCCCAATCCCAATTCAAATCCAGCTGTTGGACGGAAGCTGCTGTAAAGGATTTGATGGTTGTCCTCAATCCTGTGGACTGCTGTGTGACACACACACACACACACACACACACACACACACACACACAAAACCTTCACCATCAGCCCAGCCTCTGCTGTAGGCAACTGACAAGGACAGGATAACCCCCTAAACAGGGCAGATCCCCAAATGGGGGCAGGGGGAGGAGTTTTCTATGCAAAACAAGCTAAAAGGGTTAAAATTGTGTTTCCCGGGAGGAGTTGGGGATGTGAGTGTGTGTGTGAGAGGGAGATTGTGTGCTGGGATAGTCCAATTAGGTTTTAGGTCCCCCAGAGGGATTGTGAACATGCAGGCTTTCTAAAACCAGTCAGCAATGAAAGGAGCATCCAGTGTTGGCTTTGGGGTGTCGGGTGCAGGCCAGGCTCCGGCCCAGAGTAGGGAGACCCTGCAGAGGACCCGCCAATCCAGCAAGACCAAGGACACGTCCCCTCGCCCTGCCTTAGCCCAGACCAGGGGTAGGCAATCTTGGCTCTTCAACTCCCAGAATCCCTCAGCCAGCATGGGGGAACTATGGCCCCTTCATGACTCGTGGACTTCAACTCCCAGAATTCCTGAACCAGCATGGGGGAACTATGGCCCCCTCATGACAGGTGGACTTCAACTCCCAGAATTCCTGAGCCAGCATGGGGGAACTATGGCCCCCTCATGACTCATGGACTTCAACTCCCAGAATCCCTCAGCCAGCATGGGGGAACTATGGCCCCTTCATGACTCGTGGACTTCAACTCCCAGAATTCCTGAGCCAGCATGGGGGAACTATGGCCCCCTCATGACTCATGGACTTCAACTCCCAGAATCCCTCAGCCAGCATGGGGGAACTATGGCCCCTTCATGACTCGTGGACTTCAACTCCCAGAATTCCTGAGCCAGCATGGGGGAATATGGCCCCTTCATGACTCGTGGACTTCAACTCCCAGAATTCCTGAGCCAGCATGGCTCAGCTTGGAAACCTCTCCCTTTCCCCTCAGCATGGCTGGCTCAGGAATTCTGGGAGTTGAAGTCCACCAGTCATCAAAGAGCCGAGGTGGCCTACCCCTGGTCCAGACACTTGGTTCCTGTAACATATTCGGCTTAAACAAGAACACAACACACACACAAAGGACATTGTTATTCTGAACACCTGGGCAAGCCAATTCCCTATTGCTCTCTGCCTAGCTGGCTTGTGCTGCGCTTCTCAGGCCCCAACAACACCCCCCCAGGCCAGACCCCCACCCACCCCCACCCGCACCTCCAATCGCAGGCCCAGCCCTCCCCAAAGGTCTCAGCCAAAGCCTCCCACAGGAGCCCCTTCCTCGCCCCCTCCCCCCATTAAGAACCCCTTGGAAAACAAAAAGCGCCCATTTCCTGCTAACACAGTTGCTCCCGTCCATCCCCCCCCCCTGTGGAAATTGGAAGGGAAAAGCATAAAATAAACATTCTAAGTCAGTGGTGGCGAACCTTTTAGAGCAGTGTTTCTCAACCTTGACAATTTTAAGGCATGTGGACTTCAACTCCCAGAATTCCTCAGCCAGCATTGCTGGCTGTGGAATTCTGGGAGTTGAAGTCCACATGCCTTAAAATTGTCAAGGCTGAGAAACACTGTTTTAGAGACCGAGTGCCCAAACTGCGACCCAAAGCCCATGTATTTATCGCTGGGTGCCAGGTGGGCGTGGCTGTGGTGGTCATGGCAGATTGGGTGGGCGTGGCCAGGGTGGGCGTGGTCATCACCTCAATGTTGCTCATGGGGAAGGACGCCTGTGGGGGTGGGCAGGGTTGGGGGAGATCCAGGGGGTCTGGCAGGTGGGGCGGGAGTCTTGTCCTGCGGGGTGAGGCGAGGCAGGGCGGGGGTGCCATTGCCATGGGGCAAGGCAAGGGCCAGGGCACCTGCTCCCTGACACCATTGGCCTCCGCACACAGATGCCAGCGAGCGCATGGGGGCCAATGGTGTCGGTGAGCAGCCACAGCGTGCCAGCCCCTAGACTGGTGCACTCTGGGGCTCCACAGCCCGCTGCCAGCAGTTCAAAGAAGCCGCCTCTGAGCTGGAACGCTGGCCGATAGCTGAGGAGGCGATGCAGTGGATCGTGTCCGGGAAAAGGAGAGCATGCGAAGTCAGGAGGGACGGGACAGGGGGGGGGAGAGAAACCAGCCTTGTCGGGATGCATCCGGCCATGTGGGACCTCAGCGAGTTAGCGGGCGGCTGGTTGAAGAGAGATGGTTGCCATCTCCGGGGCATGGCACGCATGCCCACAGAGAGGGCTCGGAGTGCCGCCTCTGGCATGCGTGCCATAGGTTCGCCACCACTGTTCTAAATGAAATAAAGTAAATGCTATTTGTTTTCTGCTATTTGAAGGGGCCGAAAATTTTTATTATTATTTTTCATAGAATTCTAATGAATTTTCTGAATTCTAAACTTGGGCTTTAGAAAGGTCTCCCCCCCCCCGCTTTAAGCAAAGAGGAATGCAACCCCCTCCCTTTTTCGCCAAATTGTAGGACCCCTGCCCAGGATAAAGCTGGCAGCTCCCCCGAGAAGCAGCAACTGAGGAGGCCTTTGAACCAAGTTAGAACTGCGGCCTAAAAGCCACAGAAAGGCCAGCCCTGCGTCAGATTTCACAGCATCTGATGAGGTACTTAACTGAGCCTTGCAAGGGCTGTAACATTTGCATCCGGGATCACCAACCCCGTTGGGACAACCTGGCCTGGAGGACCCTCCTAGCCCTGGTTCCAGCCAGGCACGCAGTGGGAGCTGAGAGGAAGCAGATTTTAAAAACAGCAGCATCCCAAACCTGTGACTTTGGGATGGCAAATTCTGATTCTGCAGCGGAAATAGTTCCTTGCTGCTCAAAACTATACTCTGAGCACAAAAGGCAGCCAGAATCTCTCCCAAAATTCTGCACACAACCTGACTTGGGGCACTTTTTTTAAAGAAGGAATTGTATCAGACTGTTTGTGTTGGAATAACCCTAAGTCGTAATGCAGGGGTCTTCAAACTTGGCCCTTTTATCACTTGTGGACTTCAGCTGGCTGAGGAATTCTGGGAGTTGGTCCACAAGTCATAAAAAGGCCAAGTTTGAAGACCCCTGTCTTAATGTGATTAAAATTAAAGTCTCAGATAGGAGGATCTGACCCCCTCCCCCCATACACCGACTCAGGAAACGCCAGAGTCCATCCCTTTGAGGACTCCAAGGCTGCAAATGACAATCTAGACCAGTGTTTCTCAGTCCTAGCAACCGGAAGAGGTATGGATTTCAATTCCCAGAAGTCCCCACGCTGGGGGATTCTGGGAATTGAAGTCCACAAGTCTTCCAGTGGCTAAGATCCAGAGAGACCTTACAGATGCTAGTCAATTGTGATTAGGGCTTGTAACGGATCGACCACTAGAGAGCAGCAAAGGGTTACAATTTGAATTTAGTGTTTTTTTTTTTCCTAGTGGGTTCCTGCTGATGGTGTGGACTAGTCACTAGGGAGGTTTGCAGGGAAAAGGGGGGGGGGGAAACCAAGCTGAGAACAGGGAAACTTCAGCCCTGAGCTCCCAGGTTCCTCTCCTAGGCAATAGCGTGTCTGGCTGCCTTTTGTGAGTTGCCTGGATTTGGCATCTCGGATCAGATGGATGCAGCTTTGGCCTTGGGTTCGAAAGGCATCCAACTTGATCTGGTTTCAGCAGAGCTTCCTTTTCCCAAGAATTTATATCTGATTGTCCCTTGCTGGGAGACCCCTTAGAAATAAGGGGAGGGGAGAGCCACAATGCCACTGAACTGAACTGGAATTGAATTAAAGGGGACCTGGAGGACTGGGGGGGGGGGAGGCTGGCTGCCCATCCCATTTCAGAAGCAGGAAGACCCTCTGGCTAAGCTGGGGCAGGAGACAATCATCCCCCACTTTAAAAAGAAGTTTTAACTTTGACCAGACTGTTTGCTGTATTCTTTTGATCTCCACAAAGACTTGCAGCTGATTCTCACAATACATTCACCCCTAAACCTAGGTGATCAAGCCTTCATTGATGCATTCCCGTCACAATGCCCAAGTAAGAAACCCTGTTAGGGCTTACATTGATGGCTTTAGTTCATACACACACACACCCCCCCCCACACACATAGAATCCCCCCCTCTGCTCCATCTTCTTTCAGCCTGGTCAGTTATGGGAAGGAGGGAGGCCCAGCACCAGAGGCGTTCAAGAGGAGACTGGACAGCCACTTGCTTGAAATGGTATATAGCAGTGATGGCGAACTTTTTAGAGACCCAGTACCCCAAAACCGCCTCGCCCCTGCCCTGCCCCCGCCTCTCCTGCCCGCAGGGCCACCCACCACCTCCACGGCCTGCCACAGCAAATTGCCCAGGCGGCCCAGCAGCGTCATGGCGGCCATGCCCTCTGTCCATACCCCGCAGCATCATCTGTATGCGATGGGGCGCGAGGGCGGAGTCTTGTCCCCGCTGCCATGTCCTTGTGTTGTTGTGCACAGGCCGTGCCCTGGGCAACTCTCCTCCAGGAGGGCTGCTGGTAAGGAGGGGGCCACAGGGAGTGGCGGGGCTGGGGCGACAGTGTGCGTGCCCACAGGGAGGGCTCTGAGTGCCGCCTCTGGCACCTGTGCCATAGGTTCACCACCACTGGTATATAGACTCTCCTGCTGATGCAGGGAGTTGGACTAGATGACCTCCAAGGTCCCTTCCAACTCTTATTCTGCTCTATGGAGTAAAGTGGGACTGTAGGAAAACTGCAGGCGGGGAAGCGGGATCCCCAGGAAGCCTCCTAAGTGAGGAACAGGGACTGGATCAGGATTTGGGTTGGATGCCGGTGGGGGCACAGAGGGAGGGAGTCCAAAATGAGCTTAGGGGCTACTGTGTCATTTTAAAAAAAAGGAAAAGTCCTCTGCCAAGAGTCATGCCCAGGGACAGCCCCTCCCTCCGGCAGTGAGCCCCCCAGGGCCAGTTTCAATGCAACATTTTGCTTTGCTCTGCTCCCTCCTGGCCCCTTTGCCTCCCATGCAACCCTGGAGGGGCTTTCGAATCCAGAAGACCCTCGGGGGTCTGGAAGACCCTTCCCTTCCTGGCTCTCCTTCCTTCCACCCCACATTCACTCAGGGCAAGGAAGAGCCAGGACCGGCCACTCAGCCTGCAGAAAGACATGGGCAGTTATCAAGCCATTTTCTGGGGCTGAGAAACAGCTCGAAGCATCCACCAAGTGAGCAGGTGGGCACCACATCCCACATATTAGCCCGTGAAAAACATAATTTAACAGACCTCTCCTGATCTGCAAAAAGCTGGTTCAACACACTGCATGAAGGCCACCCTCACCTCCCCATGTGGAGGCAAAGGAACACAGGCCAACTTCTGCAAAGGAAAGGATCGGATAATTTGGACACGGCAGCAGTAAAAGCAGCCAGGTTTCTGGGACCGTTGCAGGCCAAAAGCTACACCCGATTCAGTGGGCGATGAGGTTGCAACAAAGCCAAGCTTTGATGTTTGCAGCACCTTCTGCAGTTATCCAGCCTCGCCTGGAATGCCATGTTTGGGATCAAGTGCTATGAAAAGGGCGGAGGCCAGATGAATTGGCCAAAAGGACACGGCCGAGGCATGCAAAGCAGGATTCCCAAGGGAAAATGGGCACACGACAGCCGTGAAGGGGGCTTGGGGTCAGGAGGAGCCCCTCCGTGTTCCAGGAGAGGACAGCAGGCGGTGGCTGAATGCGAGGAGGAACACCCCAAAGGGAAGTGAACCGCTGCTGGGCCCTCGGATGTTCATGGGTGCATATGGTGTGTGGAGTCAACGCACCTCCGCTTGGAATCTTAAACCTCACCTGGCAAACTGGAGGCTGCCCCTCCCTCAGGGATGCCCGGTTGCCTCCAACACTTTAGGCAGTACATTGTCAGTTTCCCCTTCATGTGTGAATTTGATCCAGGGAAGGTGTTACTGAGTAGGTGGGGTGTTTCTTCAATTTGGGAGCGTCTGATGATGACGAAGGTGGCATCCATGTTGTGTGTCCAGAATCTTGGATGGTGGGTAGAGCAATGGATTCAAGGCGTTGCGTGACTGCTCCTGCTACGAGGCCTGATATGGGGGATCCCATTCAGGGTGCCTTGTGCTTGCTTGTACATTTTCCCATTCAATTTCATTGAATTTGAAGTGTGTTATGTTGAGGCACAGATCCAGGAGTTTCATGATGGTTTCTGTGGATGTGGTGGTATCCACTTTATGGGTATGGTGTTCGGTGAATAGGTGGTATATGGTTTGTTCAGCCAGGTTGACGTCAGGTGAAGAGGGCGGTGACGTTGAAGGAGACCACAATTTCTTCCTTGTTGATCTTCGTGTGTTTGATGCATTGGAGAAATTGTTCTGGGGAGTTTAGTTGAGTTGTTGACCAGGTGTCTAAAGTGTTTCTTCTGCAGGGTTTTTGCTAATTTGTACATCGGTGTTCCAGGTAGAGACACAATTGGGCGTAAGGGGATCCTGTCCTTGTGTATTTGGGGGTGTCCGTAGAACCTGGGTGTGAGGGGTCTTCCGGTTGCATATGCTTTTTCTCTAGGGGTGTTAGCTGTTTCTTTTTCCATTTTTCTTAGGGTGCCTTTTCAGTTTCAATTTTGCCTCCTTCTTCCAAACTATTTCAGGCTTATCAAGGTTTTCTTTTGTGTATCTTGGGCAATGGTAGATTTGTTTTTGACAACTGCCCCAATGACTGTTGAATAAACAACATACGGTGTGGGTCAGGAGATAACAACTCAAGTAGCAACAAACTTTTCTGCTGCTTCTTTGCAGTGATTTGCGGACTCTTGTTTCCCCATCAGATTAGATTTCAGGCAGTTTTCTTATTCTGCATCTGTAAATAACTGCACATAAATATTATGCCTTCTGACGTATGGAAGGACATCGCGTTTCCTTTCGCAGCATCATAGGCAGAAGGGGTGTGCTGACAGAAACAACTTAAAACGAAGCCTTTCACACCGGCGTCTCCAGACTGAACACTTTGCTGCAAGAGCTCTTAAAAACACTGCTTAAGCCACACCAAGGTCTTAAGCTGCTGATGACGTATCCGGTGCCCAAATTCACGTACGAGGTCACACCAGATCATGCGCAGCACATCTTGAAGAAATTGGACTGCCCAGTTCACTCTGCAGTGGGACCCTGGCTGCGACTACTGAAGGACACTCCCCTGGGCTACTTCCATGCCAATGTCAAAGATGGAGGCTTTGGGGGGGGGGTGTCCCCTGCTTCTCCACCTCAATGCCACTTCTGCAGAAGGCCCGGCCTGAGAAGACTGCATTGAACTCCACCACGGTGTTTGACATCCTGCAACAAGATGCCTTTCGCTCCACGCGGTGGAAGCTTAACAAGCCATGCAAACTGAACTCTACAGTCGTCACCAGAAAGGCAAAAGTACAAGCTGAGTGGAGGATTCTGCTCTTGAAATCTATCGGTGGCCGAGAACAGAGTATCCCAAATGTTGACACAGCCAGTCATGTGTGGTTGTTGTCCCCCCCCCAGGTGTTCCCCACCTGTATTTATGGGACATCCAGCTGAGGGGCCTCTTATTCCACACCAAGTCAAGGAGGGCACAGGACACTTGCTGCCAAGTCATCGACAAGTGCCACAGAGGAGCCTGTCGTGCCCCCCCGAAACCGTCAAAGGTCCTACGTGTCTGCAAACTCACCCACAATGCAAGATGTGCACGACACAACTGTGTACGTCAGTGCCTCGAATAGCTCCTGTGCAAGAAAGCATTTACTCATGGTGGAACCCATTATCCCATCCGGTTCATCTTTCATCAAACAGGACTTGATTGTGCATGGAATGAACCCATTGACATCTCTGTGGTCAAGAGTGAGAAAGGCCCAGGACTTCAAAATTGCAAAGTATGGACATCCTCTCTGTATCGCCAACCTTCATCATTGGGCTAAAGCTTCCGCTTCTGTTCCGGTACACCATCTGCCCATCATAATCTCCAACCAGGGATTGTTCTACGACTCATCGGGTGGTGGACTTGACGCTTTGGGCTTGAGCCGCAGGGACATTACGGACCTGTGTTTACTCACCATCAGCGGCTCACTCAAATGCTACAACCTCTCTATGCCTGGAACCGAGACTGGGTGTTCCTGAACCGTAAGAATACACCAGTGATATATGAGCTGCCTGGTGGTCCTCCTGCCAGATCCCACGGTTGTCCTCACTGCCCTCCTCCTGCAGGGTCTTTGTGGTCAAGGGGGCTGACAGCCGGGTAGCTCAACAGAATGGAAGGGCTGCACTAGACACCTAATTTCTGCCTGGAGGGCACAGACCAGAGACTCTAGATAAGCAATCTGTCCACGTAGACTAATAACTTCCTTACAAAGAGGACAGTATACAAATTTTGAAAGAGTACCATAAAAGATAGCTGCAAAACAAGTATTGCGGTGAACTAAGCCAGGCATCCTAAAATAAAATTGCCATCCCAGAAGCGCTTAACAGGGATGAGCTACTGCTGGGTTAGATTTTCAGTTATATGATTCATGCGCAGTTAAGTGTGTGGGCCAGTAACTTGGTCCACCGGAGTTTGTCTCAATCCCCCTGAACTCACAGTGAGCAGCTTTCCCAGCCACCTCTGGGGCTATGCAAATGCAATGCAGATGTAACCAGCGACTCTGACATGGCTGTCTAGCAGCGAAGCACATTGTCTTAGAACAGTGTTTCCCAAACTTGACAATTTTAAGGCATGAGGACTTCAACTCCCAGAATTCCACAGCCAGCAACGCTGGCTGTGGAATTCTGGGAGTTGAAGTCCACATGCCTTAAAATTGTCAAGTTTGGGAAACACTGTCTTAGAAGGCTGACTTGTGAGGGGAAGAAAGGGTTGTGTTAAACTTTGTTTTCCTGTATGGTTGACCTATCTAATAATAAAATGTTCGCTTGCCAAGTTTGGAGACCCTGCTTTAATATTCCCTCAAGTCTCTTGGGAATCCCCCCCTCTCGTGAATAGATCAGGGGTGAGCAGTTAATTTTCCCAAAGGGCCACCTGAGAAACCAGAACCGTTGTGGAGGGCCACCCCCTCCGTGCTGGCACCGCCCTGCCCTCGTTGTCACTAGCCCACCCACAGCAACACCCCACTTCCACCAATGCCACACATCTCCCCCCACACAGCAGCATCACTGCCCTGCCCTCTGCTGAGACCTCTCCCCCACTGCCGACACCCCGTCACGCTAACGATCCACAGATTCTAATGCTGCAGGCCAGAATGGGACTGCCTGCAGGCTGGATGTGGCCCGCAGGCCATAAAAATGCCCAGGTCTGGTACAGATAGTACAACTCTCCTGGCAGAGAAGGCTGAGAACCTGCAGAGATACGCCATGGCTTTAAAGCCATCCTTAACTGTCATTTATTAACAATGAGGCGATAGACAAGGTGGCCTAGGCTGACACCATCAGCGCTAAGGAGGACCACTCGTAGCAGCTGAACCCGTGAAAGCTGCCAGTCAGCTCTCTAGCGTCAAAGCCTCAGGGGCAGATGCCACACCTGCTGAGATCTACAACATTGGTAACACTATATTCATGGGAAAACTTACCTGAGTCATTCTAGTTTTTTCAAAAGCAAAGATCCATTCCTCAGGAACTCAAAGATGCATCCGCTGTAACTTCTATGGGAAAAAGGACAAACAACACATCCGCAACAGCCACTGAGGAATCTCGCTCTCTTCAACCCAGGAAAAACTCTTGCAGGTTTTTTTTTCTGGTCACACACCTGAAGCTGTACCTGTTGCCAGAGTCACAGTGTGACTTCCATAAAAATTCTGGGACCGTTGACATCAATTTTGCCAAGCACCAACTTCAGAAGAAAAGTCATGAGCATTGTGAACTCTGTACAATCCTTGTTGACCTCACCAAAGCCTTCAATGCGTCACCCATTCGTGTCCCAAGCAGTGACCGCCGAGACTGAACTGAATTGCACAAGAGCCAAGTTGTGCTTTCGGTGGGCTGTGCTTGAGCAATCCATCCAGCAACAAAACTGAAGGTCTGCAGAGCTGTGGGAATCCTTTTCTTTCTGTCTGCCTGTGGGACGCGGATGGTGTGTCAGACACGCAAGACAGCTCAGCCACTTCCACATGGCTGCTCTTCGCAGAATGCTGGGCATCAGATGGCGAGATGAAGCAGCAGAGATCAAAGTCCTCCCAAGAGCAGGCCTACCATCTGCCCACATGTGGCTGGTGAGAGCACAGACTGGTGGGGGGGGTCATGCCACCCACGTGCCAGACAAGCGCGTATCCAAGCAGCTTTTTTTGGGGGGAGGGAAACACTCAGACGGAGGGGAGAAGAAACTCCACAAAGACACTTAAAGGCCTCCCTGAAGTTGTTGGACACAGACACAAGTCCCTGGGAAGAGCTGACACGGAAGCACCCTAGCCGGCACGGCCTCATCCACAAGGGCTGTCAAACCTACAGAGTAAAGCGCACGGCGGAAGCACAACGTGTGAGCTGTCTAGAGCTAGCAATAAAATAACTGTGGTGCTTACACATTTTTCCCTTGCCCAACGTATGCCAGGACAGGGGTCTGTGGCCCAGTGCTGAACCACAACCCTTTCGGAACCGGGCTATGGAAGTGACAGGTGAGTACACTTGCACAAAGCTGCATTTGTGAAAGTGGCACACCCAAACACAACCATCCCCTCTCCCCCCCCCCCGCTGTCATTTCCACCGGTCTGCCGAGCTGTGCCAAGACATTCTGTGCGGCTGGAAACCACCCCCTCCCCAATTCAGTTTTAACATGACTAATAGTGTTGAGATCTACATCGGCAACAATGAATGAACAACAACAACCACACAGAGGTAGTGTCAGTTTCTCTTCACTTCACTTTTCCTTGAAACACTCGACTCGGCCAGGGCTGCCACCCCTTTTCATGCTGTTAACAGACACATCCGTGTGGGGTACATCTAGGGCAGGGGTAGGCAACCTGGGCTCTTTTATGACTCGTGGACTTCAACTCCCAGAATTCCTGAGCCAGCCGTGCTGAGGGGACAGGGAGAAGTTTCCAAGCTGAGCCAGGCTGGCTTAGCAATTCTGGGAGTTGAAGTCCACGCGTCATAAAAGAGCCCAGGCTGCCTATCCCTGATCTAGGGCAACAGCCTGGAATACCCACAGTGGCAAGTGACGCGATGCACTTCGAGACTGCCCCAATTTTATTATAAAAAGCAAAGTGCCCACCCTGCCCACCTGTGCTCCCTGGAAGCCGAAGGGTCTGGTTCAAATCAAGTCACGTGATACACAGTGATGTCATTCCCCCACAGGCTGTAACCCATTCCCTGCAGTGCCCACGGGGAAGGGGGCAGCCCCCTACATCCTGAGAGTGCTCAGATTTTTCCTTATTTCTTCAATTGAAAATCTGAGGCCGCCCACCATTTTCCCATCTCCTTCCTTCCTTCCTTCCTTCCTTCCTTCCTTCCTTCCTTCCTTCCTTCCTTCCCTTCCTTTGAACATGCATTATTTCTACCAAGACTGCCCCCCGCCCTGCCCCAAAGCTTTGCCAAATGTTGCACTGGAACTGGCCTGGCACGATGGCTTCTTCTCCAGGCCGAGCCAAAGACAAGCCAGACCTCCCTCTCCATCTGGCACTGGGGGGGGGGGAGGTGGCCGTGCTTCGGGGGCTTTCCAGAAAAAAAGCTCAGAGGCAATCCGGCCACACGATGGCCATAGGGGAGCAGAGCCGCTCTGGGGCTCCGGCGCTCGTCACCCGCTGTTGGAGGATGTGTGGGGGGCAGTGGAGGGAGACTCCCGCCGCCGCGTGGGGGTCCACAGAGAGCGCTCGGAGCCGTGGGAGGTGCTGTGGCCCCGGGGCAGGGCCCGGTGCTGGTGCTGCTGCTGCCAGATGGCTTGGCTGACGAGGCCGGGCAGCGCGTGCAGGGTGAATCCCAGCGTGTCAATTTTGCCCTCCAGCGCACTGATCCGCTTCTCCAGGTCTTCGTTGCGCTCCTGCAGTTCGGACACCACGTCGTACATGATATTCTGGGTCTGCTGAGGAAGAGAAACGAGGTTACCCGCATATGGATAGACTGTGGCTAGACTGCTACGTTGCTTTCTTTGTGGGGCTGCCCTTATGAGCCAGTTAGAGTGCAGTACTGCAGGCCACTTTAGCTGACTGTGTTCAGCAGGTTCAAATCTCACCGGCTCAAGGTTGACTCAGCCTTCCATCCTTCCGGGGTAGGTAAAATGAGGACCCAGATTGTTGGGGGCAATGTAAATATATATATACATTGCTTACTGGTGTACACCGCCTAGAGAGTGCTCGCACTTAAAGCGGTATATAAGTCTAATAAATAAATAAATAAAATAAATACAGAGTCTCAGGGGTGGAGGGGAACGGGTGGAAGAGGGGCAGCGGCTGCAGCTTGCTTGCTAGGCAGTGCACAGTCCTGTGACCACCACAGCACCCCCCATCCTGCCAGCCACCTCTTCCCCCCCCCCTCAGGGTCCACCCAACCCCCTGGACTGGCCTGAAAGTCTTTGACGGCTGAGACGTCCCTGCCCCACCTTCACCCATAGATTTCCCACAGACTGAAGAGCTGAATTGTTCAATCTGTCAAGTTCCTCAACACGATCCAATTTGAAAACAAATAGGAAGCCACACAACGCTACTAATAGATTTTTAAGAAAAGATTGGACAACCATTTGTTTAAAATGGTCTGGGGTCTCCGGCTTGAGCAGGGGGTTGGGCTAGAATCTAGAAGACCTCCAAGGTCGCTTCCAACCCTATAATTCTGTTAAAAAAGCAGGGCAGGACGTGCTTAAACCAAGAAAGCTGAGCAACTCGCACTGAATGTTGGACAGATTGGGTGCTGCCACAAGGAACCCGAATCTGAAAATTAAGGGATCCGCGGCTAACACAGATGGCGGTAGGGAGGTGAGAGTGGGGTCCACGCCTGGGAACAACGATGGAAGTTGAGGGCAGTGAGAACAGAGAAGAAATGTGGGGGCCAGGGGGGCATGGGCAAAGCATGGTCAAGAAATGTCAAGATGGCAAAGACAACGGTGGATCAAAATTTCACCTGTTTTTTCTTAAAAAAATGTTGTTGCACGCGCAACACAAACAGGCAAGCTTTTCAAACTTGGCTGTTACCGATTAAGGGAACGGGCTAAACTTTTGTGCTTTAGAAATGCCCCCCAAGACAAATATTTAGTAAAGTGAGTGAAGGCAAACATGGGGGTCCCAGGGACTGACCCAGACTGGATTCCATAAAGCTGCTCTGGGCAAAGGTGGGAGGATTCGAATTCTTCTCCCGGCCCAAAGGTTTTCCGGACCCAGCACCACCACCCCCCCAGGAAAGTCCCTCTGGGCGACCCAGTGACTTAGACAGGCAGCAGGGGGGAGCCCTCCCCACCACCAGAATCCCCTCCTGCCTTTCCGGGTTTCCCCACAGACCTTGGATAGATCCACCAGCATGTTGGCTTGATCGCTCAGCTTCCTTTGCTCCATCTTCACGCTTCTTAACCTGGAAAGCAAAATCTGGGGTCGCCCTCAGCTTCCTCTTCACGAGGACCGAGTGGCAAACTAGGTGGGGAGGGGGAGGGAGCGAGGAGCAGCTTCCCCCTCCCCTGCAGGCAACCCCCCCCCCCAGTCCCCGGGTTCAGAGGCAAGTCCTGCGAGGCACCCCGCCTCCCTTGCCTCCGGGGAGGGCAGAGGGGGGGACAGCCACCCCTTCCCCAAAGCCCTTTCTCCCAGCTGCCTTTCTGCTTTTATCTTCCCTCATTTCGGCACCCTTTGGGGGTCCTTCCCTGACCCACCCACCCCCCACAGGCTGCAGAACCCTGTAAAGCTTCTGAACGCGCAGCCCAAACTGCCGGGTGGTGCAGCCACACGACGGAAGAGTTGCTAGATTGAGAGGAGGGCTCTGCCCGAAGGTGGCCGTCCTGCCCACTCAGGACGCTGCCCACGAACCCACATTTAAAGGGAGAAAATGGGCCCACTCCAGCTGTCTCCTCTGGAGGACAGCCACAGGGTTAGCGGAGTCCTCCGTGGCCCCACTTCCCCATTCAGAAACATGTTGCAAACAGCCCCCACGCGCACCCCAGGCCCCCGCGGAGGTTCACCCAGGGGGCAGGACATGCCAAGGGAGGAGGGCCCGCTTGGCCCTGCCCTCGATGCCCCCGTTCAGCACAGGGCCTGGGGCTCCGGGGCAGAGCGCCCGGCTGGGTGGCAGAGCCCGGCGGTCCTTGCGAGGGTCAAGCCCTGCCAAGGCCAGCAAAGGGGCTTCTCTGCCCGCCGAAGCCTTGCTGACCAGCCGCCCACAGCCCTGCACGATGGAGGGATGCCCTGCCCAACCCTTTGCCACCACCCGACTGGCACTGCCCTCCCTGACTCAGCCCCCCCTCGAGAAGCGCTAGAGGCAGCCGCTCCCAATTTGGGGGAACAACCACCCCCATTTCTGGACGATGCTGGGCGGGGCCAAGTTCCCAACACCTGCCTTGAACAGGCGGGGCAGGGGGGCATCGAATGGCCAAATGCCACCTGCCTCCCTCTGGGCACAGCCAATCAGAGGCCTGGAGGTTCTGGGTGGTGACTGGGGGGGCCCCTCCCGGAGGGGTTCCCTGGGTCAGTGGGGAGGAGGCGTGGCAGGGAAGGGGGGCAGGTGGGGTGGGGGGCGCAGGAAGCAGGTAAACAGGTGAACTTACTGATGGATGGCTTGGAGGAACTTACGCTGGTGTTTCCGCACCTTGGCCTGGTCGAGCTTTTTCACCAGCTTGGTGTGCTTGTAGATCAGCCACGTTTCCCTGAGCACGTTGGCCGCCGAGTTCTTCACCTGGGGAGGGTGGGGGGGGACACAAAGTGAGAAGGGAAAGCCCCCCCCTTGAATGGGCAAGGGAGGAGAACCAAAACGGCCCCCGGAGAATCCTTTTTCCTCCCTCGGTGCCCACCGAGGCATGCCTCCTTTGCCAGGGAGGGGGCTCCAAAGTCTTGAGGGGGGCTCCCTTCTCAAGGGATCCCAAGGGGGGCTTTGTGGAAACCCCCCAAAAAAAACCAGAAGAAGGGAGGAGCAAAAGGTTCCCTCTATGCCGAGAGACGTGCAAAGGGGGTCTCCAGAGGGCTCCAGGCTCTCTCTGAGGACCCCCAAAGAAAGACCCAGCAGTGGGGCACCCCACAGTTGTGGATGATCCCACCGTCCAGGGTCAAAGTCAGGAGGGATCGGGAACGGATCCCAGTGGATCTCTCCCAGGGAAGACCGGGCTTCCAAAGGGTCAGCCTGGGCCAGCACAGAGGACGCCCCTCCCCTTCCTCGTGGTCTTACCCGCTTTGTTAATTGTGTGTCCATCATGAAGTTGTGGACATGTTTCTCGGCTTTGGTGAGTTCCAGTTTCCGGGCCACAACGGCAACCACAAGCGCTGTACACCCTGCACCCTGAAACACAACAAAGGAGAGTGAAAAGTCTCCTTTCGCCCTGGAGAGAGGAAAGAACGGGGGACCCCCAGCCCCCCCCCCTTGCTTAGAAGGCGCCTCGTCATATCCTCGAGGGCTGTGTCCGTTTTGTGGCAGTTGCGTAGGTCGAGTCATTTGCCCTCTTGCTTTGCTTTCTCAAGAATGCTTAAAATCCCTTGCAAGGAAAAATCTAGCAGGTCAGGAAAACGGAACAGAATCCAGCAGAGCTGAAATTTCAGGCTGTAACGGAGCGCGGGAGGGATTTTAAACGCCCTCCTCGACTTACGACCACAGCCGTAAGTTTTGTCTGCAAAGCGAGATGTTTCTTCAGTGGGCTCTGCCCCATTTTATGACCTTTCCTGACGGTTGTTAAGTGAATTCAGCTGGTAACACTTCTCTTGTCAGAAGGTCGCAAAAGCAGATCGCGTGACCTTGCGACTCTGCGACCGTCGTAAGTATGAGTCAGCTGCCAAGCATCCGAATTTTGATCGTGTGACCGTGAGGATGTCGCAATGGTCATAAGTGTGAAAAATGGCCATGTCACTTTTTTCAATGTGCTGTAACTTTAAACGGTCACTAAATGAATGATCGTTAAGTTAAGGACTGTCCGTATAGGGGGGGGGAAAGGTAATTGGCAAAAAAATGTGTTGGAGGAAATTCAAATCCTGCTACGTTAGATTTCTACCTGCAGGGAGGTTAGACTTTCCTTGCAATCCGCAGAAACCTTCAATGTGAAAAACAGTGCAGTGCCCCCTCCTCCCCCCCCACCCCCACCCCCCCCCCGTTAGGGGTCCTTCCGGCCTCTTTTGGAGTTTGGAGTGAAATTCTTGGGAGAAAAAAACCAGGCTGGAGGGCTGCAGAAGGCAGAGCACCCCGCTTCAAAGTCTGGGTGGAAAAATCAGATTTTTTAAAAATGTCTCAGCCGCCTCTGGCGGGCCCGCTAATTGTGGGCTCCCTGCCAGCGCCCCGCGAGGGCTCAACCCGGCCTGATCTCCAAAATGCCGCTTGCCCCTATTCTTTCTGCCTCCTGGGGCAAGTTGCCCCTCGTGGCCCAATTATTGTGGGCGTCCTTGTTGTTGTTGTGCGTCTAATCACGCCTTTGAAACGCGGGCCAGGAGAAATCTCATCCATCCCGCCGAACTGAGTTGGGACCGTGTGTGTGTGTGTGTGTGTGTGTGTGTGTGTGTGTGTGTGTGTGTGTGTGTCTGTGTATGTGTGTGTGTCAGAAGCTTTGGCGCAGGAGCGTCGACGGTGGAGGGGAAGAGAGGCTCTGCTTTTCAGGGGCGCTGCCTTGCAAGCAGCCCAAATCTTGGCCCCGCGTTCGGGCCGCCCCACGTGCAAAGGCAGCCGCCGTGGCTGCGTTCACACCTGCGGTGCTTGGCTAGTTTTCTGTCGCGACAGGAACTCGGCCGCGTCAGCCTCTTGGATGCCAGCACCAGGAAGCTGGGCTTGATTCCCTGGAGCTGTTGCGGGGCGCAGCCAAGAGCGAGCCTTGCAGCCGCCTCGCTTGTCCCACTCCGCCAGCAGTGCCCACGCGAAGCCTTCGCCAAGAAGCCATCTCTCCCTTTGCCCCCCCAGATCCCCCAAGCAGCGTCCAACCAAACAGCTAACAGAGGCACACGAGGCAGCCTCGTCACTCAATATATAGGTTTCTTTTAATATAAAAAGTGTCTATTAAAAATTCCTTCCTAGGGGTGCGGGACAGGGAGCAGTAAAAGAAAAAAAAGAGGGGGGGGGATTCGGGGGCTGGACAAAGACGATTTTTTTGGGCCAGGGAGAGGAATCAAGCAAGCAGCAGCGGCTTAGATGGTGCCAATCTGGAGGATTTGAGTGTGTTCGCCTCCAAGCAACTACCAAGGCTGGTATATTTGCATAAATGGACAACACAGGATGGGGTGGGGTTTTCCCCCTTTTTTTTCTTTTCTGCACGATCCACAAAGCTGCACGGAAGTTTCCAAAACAGGAAAAGGAGAGAATAGAGAGCAGGACAAAAGGTGGGCGGGGGGGGGGCACGCACGCCTACACGCGCACGCACTCACCCTGAGCTCAGCACTGGCATAAAGGGATGCGGAGGTGGGAATACGGTACTCATTTGGGCTTACAGGTAGCCAAACTTCGCTCCCTTTTCCCCCCTCCCTCCCCCCTTCTTCAGCGAAAGGGTGTGTTAGCTTGTCTATTTTTTCCCTAGTTTTTTTTTAACACGAACTTGGGTCTTTGGGTGTGTCCTGCCCAAAAAAAAAACCCAAACAAACCCAAAACAATTTTTTTAAACTCCCCCAAACAACAGAAAAGCAACTGAAAACCTCAATGAAACCCATGCTGAAATTTGCACATGACAAAAGCACAGCAGATGTACAGATGCAATATAGTATACAATTCACGATTTATAATAAAACATTATATACCATAAATAGGTTCTTGTTACTTTTTTGTCAATCTGCAAATAGATTTCTCAGTGCATACTCGACACAATTAGAGAGAGGAAAGAGAAAGAGAAAGAGAGAAAGAGAAAGAGAAAGAGAGAAAGAGAAAGAGGGAAAGGAAAGAAAGAATGAGAGGAAAAGAAAGAGGCAGAAGAAAGAGGGAGAGGAAAGGAGAGGGGAAAGAGAGAAAGAGGAAAGAGGGAAAGAGAGAGAGGAAAGAAAGAGAGAGGGAGGGAAGAGAAAGGGAGAGGGAAGACAGAGAGAGAAGAAAGAGGAAAGAGGGGAAAGAGAAAGAATAAAGAGAAAGAGAGAGGAAAGAGAAAGGGAGAGAAAAGAGAGGGAGAAGAAAGAAAGAGAGGAAAGAGAGAGAGAAAGAGGAAAGAGGGAGAGGAAAGAGAGAGAGGAAAGAAAGAGAAAGAGGGAGGGAAGAAAAAGGGAGAGGGAAGAAAGAGAGAGAAGAAAGAGGGAAGGGAAAGAGAAAGAGAGAGGAAAGAGAAAAATAAAGAGAGAGGAAAGAGAAAGAGGGAGAAGAAAGAAGGAGAGAGGAAAGAGAGGGAGAGGAAAGAGGGAGGAAAGAGAAAGGGAGAGGGAGAGGGAAGAGAGAGAGGAAAGAGAGGAAGAAAGAAGGAGAGAGGAAAGAGAGAAAGGAAAGAAAGAGAGAGGAAAGAGAGACATAGAGAGACCCTTTTGACATCTAAAATGAAGATAACACTGCATATATCCTTTTTTACCTTTATTTTACACACACACACACACAGACACACACACAAACAAACAATAAAGGTAAAAAAGGATATATGCAGTGTTATCTTCATTTTAGATGTCCAAAGTGTTTTGTGGCTCCCAGTGTTTTGTTTTCGGTGGGAAACGGGCCCAAGTGGCTCTTTGAGTGTTTTGGGTTGCCTACCCCTGGACTAGATGATCTTTTAGGGATCCATGCCATCCAGCTCGCCGGCCCCGGAGCCTTACCATAATCCCGGTGAGCAAGCAGACCCCTTTCCCGCAGTAGGTGTGGGGAACCATGTCCCCATATCCGATGGAGAGGAAGGTGATGGAGATCAGCCACATGGCGCCCAGGAAGTTGCTGGTCACGTCCTGCTTGTCGTGGTACCTGAGTGAGGGAGAGGGGGGGGGCGTCACACCACATGCACGCACACACACACACACACACACACACACAGACAAACACAAACACACAACGACAAACAGCCCAAAGTCTGCGGAAGGACGGAGATGCCCTGCCTGATGCAGCTCACCTCTTGGGTGCAAGTCTTCAACTCACCCTATGATCTGGGCACGCTGGCTGGGCATCATAAGTACTGGAATCCAACCCGGCAGCAGGCCCAGATCTTCCAATAACAGAGCAACAGAGTTGGAAGGGACCTTGGAGGTCATCTAGTCCAGTCCCCTGCTCAGGCAGGGACCCCTATACCATTTCAGACAAATGGCTGTCCAGTCTCTTCTTAAAAACTTCCAGTGTTGACGCGTTCAGAGCTTCTGGAGGCAGGTAGTTCCACTGGTGAATTGTTCTAACTGTCAGGAAGTTTCTCCTTAGTTCTAGGTTGCTTCTCTCCTTGGTTAGTTTTCATCTGTTGCTTCTTATCCTGCCTTCAGGCGCTTTGGAGAATAGCTTGACTTCCTCTTCTTTGGGGCAGCCCCTGAAATACTGGAACTCTGCTATCCTGTCCCCCCCGCGTCTTTCATTAAAGTAGACACACCAATTCCAGCAACCGTTCCTTATATGTTTTAGCCTCCAATCCCCTAATCATCTTGGTTGCTCTTCTCTGTACTCTTTCTAGAGCAGTGGTTCTCAACCTTTTTAATGCCGCAACCCCCAACTGGTCGTAAGTCGAGGACTACTCAACCGGTCGTAAGTCGAGGACTACTCAACTGGTGCAGCCCCGTTTGCAGAATGGGACTTTTGGCGGGCTCAGCAGGGCAAAGACATCCTGGACAATTCCTATTGGCTTTTGAAAGCCAATAGAATTAGACTCTATTCAAGAGAGTCTATTCTATTGGCTTCCAAAAGCCAATAGAATAAAAGGGAGTAGCACAGCTAAGGAAAAGGGGGGAAAAATGGCGGACTGCGTTCGTTCGACCCCAAATGGGGTCCCGACCCAAAGGTTGAGAACCACTGATTTAAACTTTTTTTAAATCGTGGTGACCAAAACTGGATGCAGCATTCCAAGTCTGGCCTTACCAGGGCATTATAAAGCGGGACTGTCGCTTACAGAGACGGGGGCTCCTAAGGTTTGCCAACCTGCCTGTGCGCCCGCTCCATCGCTGGGCACATTGGGACTTCCGCCTGGCCTCCCGCTAGCTGGGGTGGGGCTGGGGGGGTCTCCTACCTCTCGCAGACGCGCACTGTCCAGGCGGCGATGATCCAGGAGGAGATGCTGAAGACCAGGAGGACGGTGCCCGGGCAGATGGTCATGAGGGTCTTCATGATGAAGCGGGTGTTGAAGTTGATCTTGTTCAGGGCGCCGATGCTGCGCGAAGAGGCGTCGGTGAAGAGCTTGCTGTGCAACAGCATCACGCGGCCAATCAGGTAGAGGCGCAGGAACATGGGGAGGGAGAGCGTGATGTCCACGTCGGTGCTGACCTCCGAGGTGGTGTAGGTGAAGGCCAGCCGGGTGGTCCAGGTGAAGACGTACTGCCCGGGGATGGGGTGGACGGCGCAGACCAGCAGCTCCAGCGTGATGAAGGAGATGCGCTCACAGGTCATGGCGATGCGCCAGTCGTCCGCCCCGTTGTCCACCATGAACAGCTGGAGGGGGTCAGAGGGGGGATGGTTGGGGGGCACACAGCTCTGGGGGTCGAGCTCTAGAGAGCCGGCCTGGTAGCCCCCACCCCTTCCAGGCCCAGCTTCTGCCCGGGGCCCTTTCTCTGCTCTGGCTCGCCAGTCTGCGGCGGGCAGGACGAGGAAAGGCTATGCAAATAGTCCTCGGTTTATGACAGCTCGTTTAGTGACCGCTCAAAGCTACCTCAGCAATGGGAAAAGGGACTTATGACTGTTATTCACAGTTACGACCGTGGTCACGTGATCAGAATTCAGAAGCTTGGCAACCGGCTCACCTTTATGACGGTCGCAGCGATCCCGTTTTGCGCCCTTCTGAACGAGCAAAGTCAACGGGGGAAGCCGGATTCACTTAACAACCCTGTTGCTAATTTAGCAGTTGCAGCGATTCGCTTAACAACGGTGGCAAAGAAAGCCGTAAAATGGGGCGAAACTCACTTAAGAAACATCTCGCTCAGGAGCAGAAATTTTGGCCATAAACCGAGGACTGCCTGTGCAGCGGGCAAGTGCAGTGAGCCGAAGTGGCCAGGTGCAAAAGGGATGTGGGGGCAGGCAAAGCCCGGGCAGCACCTTGACCCTTGGCAGTCCAGCTGCTGCCCCCCAGGAGGGCCAAGAGAGAGGCTCGGATCTGGCCGGCGTGACTAGAGATTGCCGACTCCAAAAGCTTAATTCAGAGCAGGTTGGGGTGCTTCCCAGTTGCAGTATTAGGGGGTTCACCCGCCCCAGCTGCCCCCCTGGGCATCGGCCCACAGCAGAAACATCTGTGCCTGCCATCTGGGCCAAGAGCTCAGAAGAGGGTCAGGGGCAGCCCTGCTGGACCGCCTGCCTCTTCCTGGACCCTCCCCTTCCCCCAATCCCCTCCCCATCCCGTAGCTGGGCAGGCCCAGGTGCCCCACCCTCTGCTCCTCCTACCCCCCCCCAGGAGCGCCTTCACCCCAGGGAGGCCGGCTGATGCTGGGCTGCTGCATCTCCTCCCAGATTGGGGGGGGGGCAAGGCCCTTGGGGTGGGGCAGAGGGGCAGCCCCTCCCTCCCTCCCTCCGGGCGCCTCACCTGGATCTCCCGGGCGTGGTACATGATGATCAGCCCCAGCAGGATGGCGGTGGAGAGGCTGATGAGGCATTTCAGGGCGAAGGAGTAGGAGGAATCCTGGTAGAGGGAGAAGGGGGGAGGGAGGGAGAGGGAGGGTCAGGCAGGAAGGAAGCCCACCTGCCACAGATGGGTTCCTGTGGGGGGCCCTGTCACACTTTGGGGGAGGCAGGTGAGGGGAAGGGGTTGGAGCCAAGGCAACATCCTGGCACTCCGGGGGTGACTTGAGCCAACCTGGTGGGTTACAGCCCGAGGGTTCTGGGTGCCCCAACAGTGGACGTTTTTCAGAAGAAACCGGACAGCCCTTTGCCTGGATCGGGAGAGGGCAGAGGCGTCTAGTCTTGGCAACTTTGAGATGTGTGGACTTCAATTCCCAGAATTCCTTCCCCAGCCAGCTTTACTAAGATGTCTGCTCTTCTGGCAGTTGGTCCACACGTCTTAAAAGTTGCCAAAGTTGCACACCCCTGCTATAGGGCCTCCCACTTGGGCAAAGGGGGTAGACTAGAAGACCTCCAAGATCCCTTCCAACTCTGTCAGTCTGTATCTCAGCAACCTTCTCGTTGAAACCTCTGAAAGGCTTCCAGCAGCTGTGAACCGCTCCAACACTGGAAGTTTTTAAGAAGAGACTGAACTGTCTGAAATGGTATGGGGTTTCCTGCCTGAGCAGGGGGTTGGACTAGATGACCTCCAAGGTACCTCCCAACTCTATTATTATTATTATTATTATGGATCATCGCACAGTCAGCCAGATGTTCAGACTGGATTTGGCATTTTGTCTACCTATCGAGTCCTTACCCAGGACCTGGATAGGCAGATGTGGATGTTTGATGGTATTACAGATATCGTCGCAGGATGGAAGCAGTTCCTAATAAGGCTGCCTTTTGCAATTGACTAATAGCGAATTTGTCAATGCCAATGGTGTTCAAGTGGTGCTCCAGTTGTTTTGGGATTGCACCCAAGGAGCCTATGACTATTGGTACTACCCTTGCTTGCTTTTGCCACAGTCTTTCTATTTCTATTTGTAGGTCTTTGTATTTTGTTATCTTCTCCAGCTCTTTCTCTTCTATTCTGCTGTCTCCAGGCACATCCGCTATCCAGATTATCATCATCATCATCATCATCCTCTTCATCATCATTATCATTATCATTATTATTATTATTATATAGAATAGAATAGAATAGAATAGAATAGAATAGAATAGAATAGAACAATACTAATAATAATAGTAAAGTTGGAAGGGATCTTGGAGGTCATCTAGTCCAACCTCCTGCTCAGGCAGGAAACCCTAGACCATTATGGACAAATGGCTGTCCAGTCTCTTCTTAAAAACTTCCAGTGTTGGAGCATTCACCGCTTCTGGAGGCAGGTTGTTCCACTGGTTAATTGTTCTCACTGTCAGGAAGTTTCTCCTTAGTTCTAGATTGCTTCTCTCCTTGGTTAGTTTCCACCCGTTGCTTCTTGTCCTGCCTTCAGGCGCTTTGGAGAATAGCTTGACTCCCTCTTCTTTGGGGCAACCCCTGAGATACTGGAATGCTGCTATCATGTCCCCCTCGTCCTTCTCTTCGTTAAACTAGACATACCCAATTCCAGCAACCATTCCTTGTATATTTTAGCCTCCAGTCTCCTAATCATCTTTGTTGCTCTTCTCTGCACTCTTTCTAGAGTCTCAGCATCTTTTTTACATCGTGGTGACCAAAACTGGATGCAGTATTCCAAGTGTGGCCTTACCAGGGCCTTGTAAAGTGGTATCAATACTTTACATGATCTTGATTCTATCCCTGTTAATGCAGCCCAGCACTGTGTTGGCCTTTTTGGCAGCTGCAGCACATGGCTGGCTCATATAAAAGAATAATATAGAATAGAATAGAATAGAATAGAATAGAATAGAATAGAATAGAATAGAATAGAATAGAATAGAATAGAATAGAATAGAATAGAATATGGAATATAGAATAGAATAGAATAGAATAGAATAGAATTAGGAATAGGAATAGGAATAGAATAGAACAGAAGTTGGAAGGGACCTTGGAGGTCTTCTAGTCCAGCCCCCTGTACCTATACCTATACCATTTCAGACAAGTGACTTCCAGTCTCTTCTTTAAAATCTCCAGTAATGGAGCACCCACAACTTCTGGAGGCAAGCTGTTCCACTTGTTAATTGTCCTTACTTTTAGGAAGTTTCTCCTTAATAATAATAATTATAGTATTATTATTATTATTATTAGTAGTAGTAATAGTATTGTGAGGTGGGGGGGCCCCAGAGCCCGTCCTCTCCAAGGGTTGGGGCCCCGGGGCAGCCCCGGCCGGAGCGCAGGCCTCACCTTGGAGTAGATGGCCCAGGAGAGCTCCGTCTCCGTCACCATGACGACGATGCCGAACATGCCGAAGATGAGCGCGTAGTCGCTCAGCCGCTTGCGCTTCTCGAAGAGGGCCCGCCGGTGGCCCAGCCGGTGTCCGACGTTCTGGTTCCTCCTCTGGCGGGGGTTGCGCCCCCCGGGCCCCTCCGCCCTGCCGTCCAGCTGGGGCTCCACGCCCCCCTTGCCCGGCTCGGCCTTGGCCACCACCACCTCCAAGTCGGAGTCGGGGAAGGTCTGCAGGGGCTGCATCTCGGTGTCCAGCTCGCCCAGGTGGCGGGGGGAGACGCCCAGGCGGCCCAGCGGTCGGATGGCCCCCCCGTTGTGCCGGCAGCTGTTCATGGCTATCTCGGTGAAGGGGCTGCACTCGCCGGACGGGCGCCCGGACCCCGCATGGCTCAGAGGGGGGCAATTCGCATTGACCTGGAGGAGGGGTAGAGGGAGAAAGACCCCGTCAGAAGGTCGCCAAAGGGGATCGTGTGCTCCAGGGACCCTGCGACCGTCACAAGTGGGAGCCAGTTCCCACGTGACCGAAGGTTGATCCCGTGACCGCAGGGAATGCTGCAACAGTTGTTAAGTGTGAAAAACAACCCTAAGTCACTTTTTTCAGTGCTGTTGTGACTTTGAGCGGTCACTAAACGAAGGAGGACCACCTGTAACAGCCTGTGGGGAAGGCCGGGGCCTGAGGGCCTCCAGGAGGCCTTTCCCCACGTCCGGCCAGGTCAGCTCCAGTCGCCAGAATGTGTCCCTGGGCCCAGTGGAGAGGGTGCCCCCCCACTCCAATTGATGCTGCCCTGTCCTGAGCACCCAAGACGCCCACCGAGTCCCGGGCTGGAGTGACCCTCAAGGGGGGGTGCCAGGACCCTCCCTTGGGGATGGAGGCCCCCCTTTCCGGGAGGAACAGGCCTTCTCCAGTCCCCCCCCCCACGCAGGGCTCCCGTCTCAGCAGAAACGCACTTCATAGGCCGGGCTGGGAACGTCCAACTGGCCCCCTGCCCTGCAGAGCTTCCGTGCCCCCCACCCAGGGGCATCACCAGCGCTGGCCTTTCAGAGAAGGCCGGAGGGCTGCCTCCCCCCCCCAGAACTAGACTCTACCTATAGACCCCAGAGAAGCCCCAAGCAGACACCCAGCGGCAGCCCACCAGCTCAAACCATCAAAATCAACCAGCCCTCCCCCTTGCTATCACCAGCCCAGCAGTCCAGGCCTTTGCTGCCAACCGGCCGCTCATGCTACCCACCCCACAGGAACAGCCAATCTCTGCCAAGGGAGGACTCCGCCAGCACAGGAACTCCCCCCCCCCCGCCTGGCACAGGAGGCCATGCCAGGGGGCCTCCGTCTCCCAGAGTGATGGGTGACCCCCACAGGGCACCGAAACGTCCCAACCAACCCACAGCACTGCGGCCAGCCAGTCTGCCAGCCCCGAGCTGCACAGATTCGCCACCCGGGTGCCAGCAGGGCCTGGTCCAAGAAAGAGAAGGTGGCAGCCATGCCAGTGGGGCCCAAGCTGTTTTTAATACAGATAACTTGGCACTGGGTTAATTTTGTTGGTTCTTAACATGGGCATCTACTAGGTTTATTCTACCTCTCAGCTGGCATGTAGCCAGACAGCGATATGGAGGACCCTGCGCAGAAGATCTCCCGCTCGGAGGAAGGCAGGTCCAGTCCCTCCTGGAAACTGCCAGGGAACCAGCCACAAGGGTCACAAAGGTGCATCTGAGCTACAGGCAACTTTGCCCACCCAGCCCGCCCTTTGCCCTCCTTGCTTCCTGCCCAGCACCCCAAAACTGCCAGTGAGCATGGGTTTGGCACCTGTTTCTCCCCTCCTGTTCCACTAATCTCACTTAGCCCTCCTGGTTGGCACCTGGGTGCCACCTGAGCCTGGAACCCCTTGTGCCAGGCGGCACCTCCCTCCCCCCACCGTTGGGACCTTCGTTCCGGCCCTCCTGGTGATGTTTCCCTGGCTGTGCCTGCGCAGGGCTCAAAGCCTTGGCACCTGGGCTGCCCTGCCAGAGAACCCAAATCCGCACATGGCTTTGAGGGTGTTTGGCTTACCCAAAAAGCAGAGGGGGGAGGGGAGGCAGGAGAAAGCCGGAATTCAGCTGGAATGCAAAACAAGGCAAGATACTATGACAACCCCCCCCCCATTCCTATCCTTAATTAGCCCTTCCCTCCTTTTGCAAAAACGTGTTCCAAATTCATTAAGACCCTTTGGAGGATTAAAGTCTCAAGGGCCACATACAGGTTTACTGGCAAAACCTGAATCCAGAGCCTCCTGTGGGCAAACAATGGCAGGGTCCTCAGCATAAGCCTCCCTCTCCCTCCTCACTTTAGTGGGGTTCACACAGGATCTTAGACTCCAGATGAACAAGGCACAGTGACCATCTTCATGCAATAGATAGCCAGAGCACATAGACTTATGTACCGCTTTATAGCCCTCTCTAAGCGGTTTACAGAATCAGCCTATTTGCCCCCAGCAATCTGAGTCCTCATTTTACGACCTCGGAAAGATGGAAGGACTGAGTCAAGCCTGGACCGGTCAGGACTGAACCCCTGGCAGTGAGCTGTGGGTTAGCCTGCAGTGCTGCCTTCAAACCTCTGCGCCGACACAGCTCCTTCTGCCATCAGGAGCCCCCAACCAGGAGGCAGATTAAGGCTCCCCACAATTGCCCCACCCCTCCTCCGCCCTCCCAGGGGATGACCTTGAAGGAGATGGGGGAGGTTTGGAAAACCTTCCCAGAAAAGACCCCTCCCTCAGTCACAGGAGTATAAGGGGGGGAGGAGAGTCAGACAGAGGAGATTTTGCTCCTGCAGCCATTTCTGGTATGGCCTCTTTGCCTTCTTTGCCTGGTCTGGGCACCAACCTTGCCCACCTGGTGTGCTCTGCCCCCTCCCCTTCTTATAGGCCTGTGAATTGGGGGGGTCCATCTGAGAATCTGCATATACGTGTCCCCACTAGATGGGTGACCAATGAATGAATATAAATAAATAGGAAGGAAGGAAGGAAGGAAGGAGAGGGAGGAAGGAAGGAAGGAAGGAAGGAAGGAAGGAAGGAAGGAAGGAAGGAAGGAAGGAAGGAAGGAAGGAAGGAAGGAAGGAAGGAGAGGAGGGAGGAAGGAGGAAGGAAGGAAGGAAGGAGAGGGAGGGAGGGAGGGAGGGAGGGAGGGAAGGAAGGAAGGAAGGAAGGAAGGAAGGAAGGAAGGAAGGAAGGAAGGAAGGAAGGAAGGAAGGAAGGAAGGAAGGAAGGAAGTAGAAAGCTAAAGCAGTGCTGCTGTCTGGTTGGTGGAAAAGTATGGCCCTCCGGGCAGAGCCACATTCAGCCAGGGATCTTCCTGGACCATTGTCTGAAACGGTCTTCTGTTTGAGCAGGGGGTTGGACTAGAAGACCTCCAAAGTCCCTTCCAAGCCTATTATTCTGTTATTGCCGGATGCTTCTCAAGGGTACTGGTGCAGGAAAGGGGAGAGGAGACCCTCCCCCGCACCAGCAAAGGTCCTGCCAGGTGATCCAGTGCCATGGGAGGGGAGCAGCAGTGGGAGGGGAGCCTAGTCTGGGCACCTGGGCATCCAGCTAGGTCAGGGGTAGGCATCCTGGGCTCTTTTATGACTCGTGGACTTCAACTCCCAGAATTCCTCAGCCAGCATGGGGGAAACTATGGCCCCTTCGTGACTCCTGGACTTCAACTCCCAGAATTCCTCAGCCAGCATGGGGGAACTATGGCCCCCTCATGACTCGTGGACTTCAGCTCCCAGAATTCCTGAGCCAGCCTGGCTCAGCTTGGAAACCTCTCCCTTTCCCCTCAGCATGGCTGGCTCAGGAATTCTGGGAGTTGAAGTCCACCAGTCATAAAAGAGCCAAGGCGGCCTACCCCTGACCTAGGCCTTCAGCCTGTGCCAGCCCCCAATCTGCACCAGTCGCTGGAACGGAAGAGCAGCCCAGAAGAAAAGGAAGGGGTGCCTAGGAAAGAAGGTGGGGAGGGGGCTGGGGATGCCCCCTTGCCCAAGTGGGCCCCATATACACAACTCCCCAAACTTCCCACCTTTCCCTCCACAGTGCCGGAGCTGGCGGGGGGGGGGGAAGAGAAGGGGAGAGCCTGCCTGGGCCTCCCACCCCACCTGGCTGCTGGTAAAGGTTGTGAGGAGGGTCCACTGGGGATCGCTGGGCCAAAGAAGGGGGCACTGATGGGGTAGAGGAAATTGGGAGTGCAGGCTCTCCCCCCCCCAAGGACAAAGGCCTTCCTTACCTTAAGGAGGGGGCGTGCAGAGGGGGAGAATTGACCAGCCAGGTAGCCAATCAAAAAGGGTTCCCCCTCCCCTCAGAGGGGGGCTCCCGGGGCATCCTGGCGGGGGGGCAGCGCCGGTGAGGACAAGGCAGCCTGTTTGGGGCAAAGGGGGGGATCTGAACCCCACCCACCCATCCCAGGGGCAACCCTGGGCACCTCCCTCTTGGCCAGGGCTGTGAAAGGGGGCAGTTCACTCTGGACACCCCAGAAAACCACCACTGGCCTCAACCGGCTTTCAACAGACCACGATGGCTGGGAATGCTGGACATCGTAGTCCGCCAAGCCAGGGAAGATGACCACTTCCAAAAATGTGCCACAGAGGCCTCAAGGCCTCTCTTGCAGCCAGATGCTCCTCTGCCCAGCGGCCTGGATTTCGGTCCCAGCCCTGCCTCCCCCCCCTATACACCACCACCCCCGGAACCTGGGCAAAGCAGGGCGAAGGAGAGAGACAAGCAGCTGGGCCTGTGCTGGGCAGAGGGTCCGGCTCTCCCGCTGCTCTTCCTTCTGGGTCTGGGGTCCGTTCCAGCAGGGTGCAGGGAGCCCCCCCCCCGCCCGGGGCCTCTGGGGCAACTGGCTTGCTTGCAACCCAGACCGGGGGAGGGGTGCTCTGAAGAGGCAAACCTCAACTGCCAATTTGGGGGCAAGAGGGAAGAAGCCCTCTTTGGCGAGGCGCTGGTTAGCAACACCCAAAGGGGGGGGACTACAGCTCCCACCATCCAGAGCTATGACAACGGCTGGGGATGATGGGGTCATAACTCATTGCACCTAGGGGTCCTGGCTGGGGGAAAGCTGTTCCCTCCAACTGCAACAGCCCCCCCCCCAAAAAACACTGCAATACCCAAGCTCTGGCACAACTCAACTCAAGGATCCTTCCGGCAAAATGCTCAAAATGCAGCCCCCCCAGAGCCGACCCATCCCCAGGGCAGAAGTTGCCATCAGGCATGGGGGGGGCAGGGGATTCTGAAGCGAGAGAAGAGGGTCACCCTCCCTCACTTTTCCAGCCGGGGGTCTCAATGAATAAAAACCCGGCCAGCCAGGGCAAGGGTCCTGGATTGCCACGTTCAAGGGGATCCCGAACTCCCCAGCAGCAGAATTCACTCCCAGCACTCAAGGGAAACAGGCCCGCTCTCCATGCTGGCTCAGGGCTCAGCACCTGCACGCTGGTAGCTGGGGACAAATGGCTGCCTCAGCAGCAGCAGCAGCACCCCCCCCCAACCATGGGACCTCCGGAGGGCATCCAGCCAGTCGGGCAGGGAAACAGAGGGGGACCAGGCCTGGGGAGGTGGGCTCAGGGGGCCACACAAAGCTTCCACACCCAGCAGCCATCGATCATCTATTGGGGGCGAACGGGATGGGCCCCTTCAGGGGGCGCCAAGCCTCCTCGATCCGCGTTTGGGGCTCCCGGGATGTTCTCATCGGCCAACTCAGCCGGGGAGCCTCCTCGGCCCAGGGCAGTCTACCACGGGGCCCGGAGGCGCTGGCCGAGGGAGGGAGGGGCGGGGGGCGGCCCAGCGGCTCCCGCCTTGTCCTCCAAGGTCCGGACGGCGCAGCCCCCCCCCGCAGCCCCGCGCCGTCCGGGGGCTCTGCGGCTGCCGGGGCCGCCCCAGCCCGTCCAAGGGCAGAGCCAGCGGGCGGCCGGCCGGCCGGGCGGGGGGTCCGAGAAGCGCCGGGCCAACCGGGACAGCCCCCCCGGGCTCCCCCGCCCCTCCCCCCTCCCCCTCGCCGGCGGCTCCGACTCACCTGCTGGGCGCAGCGGGGCGGCGGCGGGGGAGGCGGGCCGGGGGGGCGGCGGGCGGGGGGCCAGCTGGCGGGGGGGCAGCCGAGCGGGAGGGGCCCGCCGCAGAGCACCTGCAGCGACAGGTAGACCAGCTGGCCGGGCGAGGGCCGGGGCGGGCCGGGCCGGGGCCGCGGGCGGGCGGCGAGCGGCTGGTCCGGCGCGGCGGGCTGGGCGCTGCGGGCGCGGGGACGCGCGGGCAGCGGCGGCGGCGGCGGGAGGAGGGCCACGGCGGGCGATCGCCACGGCATCCCCGGCCTCGTCTGCCCCGCCCGGCCGGCCGGCCCGACTCTCCGCAGGGGCCGCGGGGGGAGTCCGGTGCGGTCGGCGGGAGCGGCGGGGATGGGCGGGCGGGACCCCGCCTCCTTCCCTCCCTCCCTCCGCAGCCCCGCCCCCCCGCCCGCCCGCCCGCAACCGGACCCGCGCCCGCCGCAGCCCCCCCCGCCCGCCCGCCAGGCCAGTCCCGCGAAGCCGGCGGCTCTCCGGGCTCTGCCAGTCGGGGGGCGCGCCCGGCCTTCTTGCGGGGCCAAGGGGGGAGCGGCGAGGCCCCCTCGGCTGCCCCCGTGGGCAGGAGGCCGTGGGCGGGGGGGCTGCTTTGGGGGCCCTGCCCGGAGGGGGGCAGTTGGGGCAGAGATGCCTCCACGACCCCCCCCCTTGACAGCTGTTCTTCTCCCTTGGCGGGGGGGGCTTCGGGGCTGGGCTTTGCCTTCCCACTAACGACCCCCTGGGAAACCAGAGGAACCGCTTGTCCCGGGGAGCCTCTTGCAGGAACGAGAAAGACTCCGGAGACTCCCGCAGCACACGAGGCTTTGCCCGCCCACCTGCCCCTTCGGCCGGCCTGAACTGCCCTGCCCAGCTTGGGTTTGGGGGGCTCCCCTCCCATTCTGGTGGGGGGGGTGGAGGGAGGTAGCAGAGCTTCCCCCACCCAGATGCCCCTGATGCCACCCTCCCTATGCCCTTCCCCTCCCTTTGTCTGCTTTTCACCCCCCCCTCGCTCTCTGTATCCCTTGTGAGGTGCGGAGCCCAACCATGGCGGGGGGGGGGAGACACCCATCTGGAGTGACTGGAGCAGCGGTCCCGACTTCCCTTTGGAGCAGGTCAAGATGTCTGTCATTTAGGTTTTCCAAACCCTTTTAAAGCTCTTTCTCCCTGGGGAGGGATCCACTGGGATCTGTTCTGATTCCTTCCAACTTTGCCCCATGGTGGGGCTTCCTTGCCCCACTGCTTGGCCTTCCCTGAGGCTGAATGCAGGGCTCCTCCCTCCCCCACCCCGCTGCTCCTTGGAGACCCCCCTGTGCATGTCTCTCTGGGTGCGGGTGGCACCCTCTGTTGTTCCCCTCTGCTCCTTTTGAGGTTGGGGTCAACCCAGGTGGGCCCCTCCAGCTAAGATTGCCCCAAAGCCTCAGCCCAGGGGTCTTTGTCCCACAAACAGAATTCATCCTTTTTTGCCTCAACCTCCAGACTCCCCACACTCAGCAACAGCTAACAGTGCCAAAAATTGAAGCAGGGGCCAGGAACTGGAAGTGAACCCCTATTTCCGTATTTACATGAATTTCACCGAAAGCAAACAGTAGTGGCTTAAAGTAATTCCCAAGGAAGCACAAACAAAACCGACGATCTTAGTGGCAAAAAAACAACATTTAACTCTTAACCTCAAACAAACCCAGGGTGTCACTTTTGGTAGGCACACACCCCACAAAAAAACAAGCTAATAAAAAAAAAATAACACTTCTGAATGCCAGTCTAAGCAAAGCCCTCCACCCTCCCATGTTATTTTAACAAGACAATTTCTAAACACGCCGGAGCATTCTTCAGAAGCAAAGGCATTCCTACGGGCTGGCATGTGGCCGTCCGCCATGCCCACCACAATGTTTTAAAAAACTAAATAAACCGCATAGCGGCAGGAGAGCAACTTAGCGGAGGTTTTGCCACCAAAAATGCTCTCGGTCCCCACAGGAGAATTCCAGGAATGGGGAGCGGGGGCGGCCGTGCCCACCCCTGTCCCAAAGGAGGGGGCAGGTTTAGCCTGGCGAAGGGAGGGCAGAGGGAGGAAGGAATCACCCTTTGGAGGATGCCCCACCGAAGATGCCCAGCTGGCCCTTCGTGTTCCAGAGGGAGAGCAGGAAAGCAAAGCCCTTGAGAGGCAGAAGGACTCAATCCCAGCTGAAAGTTTTTTTAAAAAATCCCAAAGATACGTTTTCACGATGTTTTTCTTTGAAGATGTTTCCCTTCTCATCCCAGAAGCTTCGCCAGCTCTGACTCAGGAGCTGAGCTGCAAAAACTTCTTGGGATGAGAAGCAAAACGTTTTCAAAGAAACATAAGAAAGTCCACTTGCCTCGTGAAAAAGCATCTTTGGCATAGCTGACCTGGATGACTGGGAGTCTCCACATATATTTTTTAAAAACAAAACCACTTTCTAAGAGCAGCCAAACCACCGGATGGCCTCTCCAGGCCCTTTGCAGCTGCTTCCTAGCTGAAGCCCTGGCCGTTTCCTCCCTCTGGCTCTGGAGGGGCGTTGTGGGGCTTACCTGCTCAACTCCAGTCATAGGGGCCGGTCTGTAGGGGCTCAACGCCTCGACCTACGCTTGGCCCACCGTGGAGAGAGGCCGAGCAAGCTCTCTGCCTTCCTTGGTTCAGGTAGCCATTGGCTTCGGCGTCCACCTGGAAGGGAAGAAGGAGGAGGGGGTGGGAGAGAAGACAGCACCGGTCAGTCACCAAAAGTCAGGGGGCTCAGAAGGAAGAGAGGAAGGTCAGGGAAATGCAGCCCCCTCCACCCCCCTCAATTGCCACAAACTGCAATCAGGCACATCATCGTAGTGATGTGTTTCAAGGCATCGTCTGCAACACAGAACCAGAAGTGACAAGGATCTCCCCCCCCCCTCCCTTTCATGGCCAAAGCCTGTTGAAAAATAGAAGTAACAGAATAAAAGAGTTAGAAGGGTCCTTGCAGGTCTTCTAGTGGTGAAAAAAGCGAGATTCTACATTTAGGCAAGAAAAACCAAACGTACAGGTATAGTATAGGGCAGGGGTAGGCAACCTTAGCTCTTTTATGACTCATGGACTTCAACTCCTAGAATTCCTGAGCCAGCTATGCTGGCTCAGGAATTCTGGGAGTTGAAGTCCATGAGTCATAAAAGAGCCAAGGTTGCCTACCCCTGATATAGGGGGCACCTTGCTCAATAGTAGCAACTGCGAGAGGGACCTCGGAGTCCTAGTGGACAATCCCTTAAATGTGAGCCAGCCATGTGCTGCAGCTGCCAAAAAGGCCAACACAGTGCTAGGCTGCATTGACAGAGGGATAGAATCAAGATCACGTGAAGTGTTAATACCACTTTACAAGGCCTTGGTAAGGCCACACTTGGAATACTGCATCCAGTTTTAGTCACCATGATGTAAAAAAGATGTTGAGACTCTAGAAAGAGTGCAGAGAAGAGCAACAAAGATGATTAGGGGACTGGAGGCTAAAACATATAAGGAACGGTTGCTGGAATTGAGTATGTTTAGTTTAATGAAGAGAAGGACGAAGGGGGACAATATCTCAGGGGCTGCCTCAAAGAAGAGTGAGTCAAGTTGTTCTCCAAAGCTCCTGAAGGCAGGACAAGAAGCAACGGATGGAAACTGATCAAGGAGAGAAGCAACCTAGAACTAAGGAGGAATTTCCTGACAGTGAGGACAATCAACCAGTGGAACAAGGTTGCCTTCAGAATGTGGGAAAAAGAGTTTATTTTTTTTACAGAACTGTGAGAGGCCATGCTAGCCTGTGGAGAAAAGGTCTCTGCTACATCCTAACCAGAATCTACTGATACGATAGGAACTAACAACCATAAAAGATAATTTGTAAATAAGGGCCAGGGTGATAAAATTAGAGGAATGGGAGAAGTAATCAGGAGTGAAGATAATGTATTCACTTTAGGAGCTTTGGATAGGTTGTGACGACTGGTTACAGCATGATTGCTAAGCCAATGAAGAAGAGGAGGGAGGAATTCTGGGAGTTGAAGTCCACAAGTCATAAAAGGGCCAAGTTTGAAGACCCCTGATTTAAGGTGTGTCCACTGTGTGCTTGCATGCACAAGGAGCGCCCCCTTTGCAAAGGGGTACAACTAAATCACCATTGCTTTCTCTTAGAAGTTTTGGCTTGTGATTTTCATTTCAACTAGACAACGAATCCCACAAGAAGTTGTGGGTGCTTGATTGCTGGAGGTTTTTAAGAAGAGATTGGACAGCCACCTATCTGAAATGGTATTGGGTCTTCTGCTTGAGCAGGGGGTTGGACTAGAAGATCTCCAAGGTCCCTTCCAATTTTGTAATTCTCTTATTCTGTTAGTCCAACCCCTGCTCAGGCAGGAAACTCTAGAGCAGGGTTTTTCAACCAGTGGTACGGGTACCACCTGTGGTCCATTGGCACCTGGCAGGTGGTACGTGACCATCCTAGAAAAGTGGTAGTGGGGGAAGGGAATGAGCTGAACCAGTGGCAGCACCGCACAAGCCTGAGCGAGAGACGGCTGGAGCTGCAGGACTGTCAGGGCTCAGCGGAACCGCCAGGATCAGCACCAGGCTCCAGGATCAGCTCAGGGCTGATCCTGGCACTTTTGCTGAGCCCAGAAGAAGCGCCGATCAGCTGGAATGTTGCAGCCTCTCCAGGGTCTTGTGAGTTACATTCAGATGCTTGGCAATTGATTCATATTTATGATGGTCACAGTGTCCCAGGGTCATGTGAAGTGACCAAAACCTGCTGCAACCACCCAGCAGACGGGAGGGGGGGGAATAAAAACCAAACAATCCCCCACCCCACCTCCGCTGCCAATCCTCAACAGAAATGCTCACAACAATGAAAACCTCAGATAGGAGGAAGAGCGCCGCCGGATGGGCAGGCAGGTGTCTTGCTCGGCTGTGCCTTGGGGGGACTTTTTCAGTGCCATTGTAACTTCGAACAGTCACTAAGCGAACTGTTGTAAGTCGAGGACTACCTGTACTTCACCACTTTTTTCCTCTTTTTTTTTTTTTTTTTTGGTCATCAGGACCCAGATTGTTGGGGGCAATGTAAATATATATATACATTGCTTACTGGTGTACACTGCTTAGAGAGTGCTCGCACTTAAAGCGGTATATAAGTCTCATAAAATAAATAAATCAGGTTTTTGATACTTTGCTAGGCGACTGGTGGTACTCGGATATTGTCATATCCTAAAAGTGGTACAATGGGTGAAAAGATTGAAAAGCCCTGCCCTAGAGACCATTTGAGACAAATGGCTGTCCAGTCTCTTCTTAAAAACTTCCAGTGTTGGCGCATTCACCGCTTCTGGAGGCAGGTAGTTCCACTGGTTAATTGTTCTGACTGTCAGGAAGTTTCTCCTTAGTTCCAGGTTGCTTCTCTCCTTGATGAGTTTCCATCCATTGCTTACACTGACACACACACACAGAGAGAGTTACTTCCTGCAGAAGAAAAGCCGGCTGGAGTCTTTGCATCTTTGGTTTGATCAGTGGGGGAGACCGAAGAGGGGCAGCATATAAAACAGGGTCTGCGGCCCCACCTCCTCCCTGGAAGAAGGAGAGAAAGGGCGCTAAGGAGGTCAGAAAGGACAGGAACTAAAAACTAAATATTAGCTAGAAATTAATAACAGGATATGGACTGTCTATGAAGGCCTATTAAGATATGTATAAGCTAAAAATGCACTGATAAATGTAACAATGAAGTTTTTGTTGAGTTTGGTACAATTAGAAATGTACTAGTTCAGTGATGGCGAACCTTTTAGAGACCGAGTGCCCAAACTGCAACCCAAAACCCACTTATGCATTGTCGGATGCCGGATGGGTGTGGCCCATAGGGTGGGCGTGGTTGGAGCATTTACTGCTTCTGGAGGCAGGTAGTTCCACTGGTTAATTGTTCGAACAGTCAGGAAGTTTCTCCTTAGTTCCAGGTTGCTTCTCTCCTTGATGAGTTTCCATCCGTTGCTTCTTGTCCTGCCTGCAGGCGCCTTGGAGGATAGCTTGACTCCCTCTTCTTTGGGGCAGCCCCTGAGATACTGGAACCCTGTTATCATGTTTTCATATATAAAAGGAGGAATCTGCAGTAACTACAAGCCGGTGGGAAACACAGAAAGAGTCCCTAGCACAGTGTTTCTCAACCTTGAGAATTTTAAGGCATGTGGACTTCAACTCCCAGAATTCCACAGCCAGCATTGCTGGCTGTGGAATTCTGGGAGTTGAAGTCCACATACCTTAAAATTGTCAAGGTTGAGAAACACTGCCCTAGCAAGTTGTTTGCGCAACCTAGCCAATTCAGCTCAGAACAGAGCTTGGGGGTCTTCTACTCCAGCCCCCTGCTCAGGCAGGATATTTGACTAGTGGGAAGACAAAGCATTACATGGCCAGTACATTAAAAAAAATAGTAGGCCAAATAGATAATAATAATACCTATCAAGTTGTTGTCAGGAAACTTCTCCTTAATTCAGGTTGCTTCTCTCCTTCATCAGTGTCCATCCATTGTTTCTTGTCCTGCCTTCAGGTGCTTTGGAAAATAAATTGACTCCCTGCACCTTGTGGCAGCCCCACAAATACTGGAAGACTGCTATCTCGTCCCCCCTGGTCCTTCTTTTCTCTAGACTGGGCAGTCCCAAATCCTGCAGCCGTTCTTCATATGTTTTAGTCTCCAGGTCTTTCATCATCTTAGTTGCTCTTCTTTGCACTTTTTCCAAAGCCTCAACATCGATTAATAGAGGGACAGAATCAAGATCACGTGAAGTATTAATACCACTCTTCAATGCCTTGGTAAGGCCACCCTTGGAATACGGCATCCAATTTTGGTCACCATGATGTAAAAAAGATGTTGAGACTCTAGAAAGAGTACAGAGAAGAGCAACAAAGATGATGAGGGGACTGGAGGCTAAAGCATATAAGGAACGGTTGCTGGAATTGGGGATGTCTAGTTTAATGAAGAGAAGGACGAGGGGGGACAGGAGAGCAGTATTTCAATATCTCAGGGGCTGCCCCAAAGAAGAGGGAGTCAAGCTATTCTCCAAAGCGCCTGAAGGCAGGACAAGAAGCAACGGGTGGAAACTCATCAAAGAGAGAAGCAATCTAGAGAAACTTCCTGACAGTGAGAACAATTAACCAGTGGAACTACCTGCCTCCAGAAGCGGTGGATGCTCCAACACTGGAAGTTTTTAAGAAGAGACTGGAGAGCCATTTGTCCGAAATGGTATAGGGTTTCCTGCCTGAGCAGGGGGTTGGACTAGATGACCTCCAAGGTCCCTTCCAACTTTATTATCATCATCATCATCATCATCTTTTTTTTGTAATGCGGTGACCCAAAATGGATGCAGCATTCCAGGTGTAGCCTTACTAAGCCTTTATAAAGCAGTACTAAGACTTCACGTGATTTTTATTCAATGCCTCTGTTCATGCAACCCAGGATTGTGTTGGCTTTTTTGGCTGCCGCCGCACACAGCTGGCTTGTGTTTAAGGGATCGTCCACTAGGACTCCAAGGTCCCTCTCACAGTTACGGTTTTTGAGACACGTCTCGCCTAATCTGTACTTGTACTTTTTCCTGCCTAGGTGTAAACTATTGGTGTAAACCATTTTAAACTATTAGTTTAAAAAGAGCGCAGCAGTGCATACTGTATATAAAGAACGGGATAATGAAAATGAAACAGGCACCCAT